AGGTGTCGACAACGGAGACACGAGACAAGACTTAGAAAGATGATAAGGTGGCGATAGAAGAGACGTGCGTGTAAAATGTTAACGTCAGGCTATCTGACTTTCAGTCGCGGTTTGAAGTTCATCGCAAAAAGGTTCCCATATAATTGCTCCGCTCATGTGCCAGTAAAAACCCCACCGTCCCACGTGTAAAGTCCAAACCTCAGCCAAACCTCAGCATTTCATTAGCTCGCAGTCGTATCAGATACACAAAGCAGCAGCCAGAGAAGCCAGCATTTGTGGTGTGTCGTTGGGATTACTATCATTAATTAATGGAAGCTTATGGGTGTGAGTCATGGGCAATGACAACAGCTCACAGAAGCCAGCTGCAGGCCTCGGAAATGAGATATCTGAGAAAGGTGGTCCAAGTGACAAGAAGGGATAAAGTCCGCAATCAGACAATACGTCAAGATCTTGATACCCAGTCCTTACAAACCCGAGTGGATCAGTCACAGTTACGATGGTTTGGACATGTATGCAGAATGGGAGAAAATCGGCCACCATGGCATGCATGGGTGGCTAAGAACCAGGGAACTAGACCTCCAGGACGAACCAGGGTGCGCTGGGAAGACAACATCCGACAGTCCCTAACTGACAGAGGACTGGAATGGAACAAAGCCAGAAAGAAAACTGCTGATAGAGACGTCTGGCGATCTCTCTGGCAAACCTCTACACCGCAAGGTAGAAGAGGAGCGACTAAGTAAGTAAGTAAGTAATTGATGGAAGCAGTAGTAATAACAAACCAGCAGGCGTTAATGTGTTACTGTATAATGAACGCAGTCAATTCTGCGATAATCAGCCCCTCGCCATTTTCAAAATATGTAGTTTACAATATGTATCTCCGACAGCATAGACAATAAGCATTACCCTTGAAATAATTCACAGATCACAGTGTCGCACCGTGCGCTCAACTCAATAGTTGAGCAACGAAACGGGATTCCGCTTTTACCTCGTTTGTTGTCCTGTTTAGTTTCCCGCCGGGGAATGGAACCCAAACATTCTACTGGATTACTGGGCAGAACAGGGTCCACCATATGAAGCTGGGGTAGGCTTGAGCTGGAGAGGCTGAGTGAGACATTGAGAGCTTTCTAGTGCGCACCATTGCTCCGTTAGCACCCAAGAAAATAACTGGAACGCTCAACGTGTCATCCATGCACAGCGTCAATGCTTTCCTTCTTAGTAAGAGGACAATTTCCCACGCCTCTATGTGTATTGGGTATATAGGGCTAGCCCTATATTGTATAGGCCAATCAGAACTCGGTGCGTTATATGGTGTCAGCATCATCCCGGCCGCCTTTACTTCCCAGGGCTGGTACCCACTCAACGCATGATTGACCAGGAAACCAAGGTCATTTTGTTTAAAGAGTGGGGCTCCGTCAGGACCCGAACGCTTGGCGGCTCCCTGTCTTCTCTGTATCGTTCCAACTGTATAATATGTGCTCTGTGAACACTGCAGGCGGTAATGTCAGTGGCCCATGACGTGGCACAGAAAACGACGGGTGCAGTCCGCACCAAGTGCTCCCAGTGAGGGAGTGACAAAATGGCATAAATGTGTATTTGGGCACCGGGTCCTGTGAAGTAAAGGCGGCCGGTGTGATGGTAACCACATCATCTACTAAGTGCCGACTGGTCGATAAAAATATAGGTATACAGTAGTTCTATATTCCCATTTCGCCTAAACGAGTGGGAAAGTGATCTTGACTATATATATATATACGGGGTGGGGTGACAAAGTAGCCAGTGTTAACAAAATAAAAATCATACCGACACTGTGCTACCAATGCCAGACTTTTGTCAAAAAATTGTCAAAGGCTAACCTACGTAAAACTAACAACTGTGAAATGAGATGCCTGAGAAAATCCGCCAACTAAACAATCTGAGACAAAGTTAGAAATGATCATCACACAGGCTGTAGGAACAACACCATGAAGCAAATTCATTGAGAAACAGAAGATGAGATGGTTTGGATATTTGTTAGGAGTGCAGCTAGAACAGCTACCAACACAGGCGCTACACATGGCTAGATCTGAAATGAAAGCAAGAGGCCGCCCTAGGAGAACATGGATTGATAACATTAAAGAGCTTCTACATTGATACTGAATGACAAAAGCCAATACTGTCCATCAAGCAATGGATCACATACTGTTCCTCCCTACAACGCTTTATGACAGAAGTGAAAGTGTATAATGATGATGGTGTTAAAAGAAATATATAATTGTCAGTGTTGGGGAAAACTGGGTTGGGGGGGGGGGGGGGGGTGTCCTAAAAATGTTCCGCACCAGGTACCACCTGGCCTTGCTAAGCGACTGGGTACATGGACAACATTCTAAGAACCCTTGATCAAAGCAGACAAGCAGAAAATAAAGTAAAATATGGGCTACGTTAAAAAAAAAGATACGGCAATAAGAGATTAAAAAGCCAGGTCTAAAGCGTAAAAAATGGATGCGGGGGTAAGAGAGAAAGCAGCAGTCAGAAGATGAAACGTTGCCAAGCCCGTCAACCGCACAGAGGTTTAGATAACGTAACAATGATGCTCGGCAGGCGCAACGCAATATCGGCCAAAACTAAACGTCTCGCAAAGAACCAGAATTTGCATCTACCCAAAGAGATTTTGGCCATAAGTGGACAAATAAAATGATGAATGGCTAGATTGTGGCTCACTTGATGGCCCATAGAGAGGCAGCAAATTTCCCCATACTTCAGAACTCAATTGAGCTTCTGTTCGTTTTGTCTGGACAGGACACAACCTCTTCATTTGATAGATGATATTATGTCCAGCGTTCGGGGTTAATAGATGCAACCTCTGATTGGTTCTTGCATAATCAATGAGAGCCACTGGAAACCGCAATTTTGGCGAATTGGAGGTAAAAAAAAAGAACTCTTTTTTTAAAATGTCGATTTTTCTTAACTCTATCGTTCCCAGGTTGGACGCAAATTTTTTTTTTGGGGGGGGGGGGGGGGGTGGGGGTGGGGCTAACCTTAGCTTTTGCCGGGGGCCCTAAATATGGCCTGATGGCTGAACGGGGTTTTCGTGACCTCTCCAGGGGTGATCCTCATCCGCATGGTGGCACTTCGTGCCACAGGGTGTTTATCGCTTGTGTGGTGTTCTGGTGGGGTACAACTTACTTAATGCCGAACATAAATTAAACTGTGCAAAAGAGAGAGAGAGAGAGAGAGAGAGAGAGAGAGAGAGAGAGAGAGAGAGAGAGAGAGAGAGAGAGAGAGAGACTGACAACGTCTTCTTCTTCTTCTTCCTCTGATTATCCTTCTTCAGCATTCAGTTTTTGAGGTTCAATACTGCAGACATCACCCGCCTCCACTCATCTCTCTGGATTATCTTCTCTTTTCAGTTGGTGACACCAAGTGTTTGTAGGTCTGTCTGGATATTATCTCTCCATCGTCTTCTTGGTCTGCCTCATGGTTTACGACCACACAACTTCCTTGTGTACACAATTGTTACCTGTCATCTGACATTCTCCCAATGTACCCCAACAATTTCAGTCTGTTAGCACTCATGATGCCAGTGTGCAATGGTGATTTAAACAGATTATGAATTTAATTTTTGCTTCTTATTCTCCATTCCCCGAGTTTGTATCTTTGATGACAATATTGACAACATATTTTTTTAATGGTGCCGTCTCCACAACTAAGGTTGGCTGCTATACATCCACTGCTGTTATGGGAAATATTACATAGTGACGTTCCAGACTTTTCCACAGTCTCACTCTCCTACCACTCATGGGGAAAAATCGTGGCAAGAAGGTTGACCCAAACATGTGAGTCAGGTATTCTATTCCCCGCTACACTGGGGGGGGGGGGGGGGGGTGGGGTGTTCACCACCGGGAAGAAATACGTGGTACAATGCTGCAGTATTGACTTAGAAAATGCGTACAACGGAAAAGAATAGACGAATTCACCAGTAGACATGCATGGCATCTCTGAGGTTGTCATCGCCCTGGGGAGGTAGTGGGGGGATCAGATACATGCGGCCGTAGACACAGAGGTAAGGGCACAGATATATCAGCATTCACACCCAGAACACATCATTATCTACACAGATGGGTCTGTGAAGCGCGGATCACGGTCAGCATGGGCATACACAGCATAAAGGATGAGGAAAATAGTAAGAGGACAGTGGCGCTTACCAGGCAACTACGTCAAGTATGATCATGGAGATAGCCGCTGCTTCTAGAGCACTAGCCTGGGCAGCAGACCAAACAGCCACACGTGCGGTGATTGTATCAAAGTCCACGAACATGCTTCAGTAAATAGCAACGCGCTATGCGCTCTATATAAGTAGCAAGCATTCGAAAATCGCACTTAACCTCCTTCAACTGGATCTACACATCTGGTCCAAGTCCAAGTCCTTTTGAGAAAAAAAATAAAAGCTCGACCACGTTCAGACTGCTGCTAGCTAGCCGAGGCTGCTAACAGTCTCCGCCTATATTTGTGGTCTGGGTTATTTGCGTCACTTTCGTGACTAAATACTGGTGTTTGTGCCATTTCTGGCTTAAACACCAGTATTTAGATCTGGTCATGCATGCGTAAAGAGTAATGAGCGGGCGGACCAACTAGCAAGCAATGCACCAAAGTGTGTGGAAATAAGCATAGACAGAGCAGATCTCATCAGCGTTGTATAGACTGGGCCAGTGTAGATATTGTATTAGGCTATTGGTGAATTTCTGACTCTCAACACGATTGCGTTACATGGAAGTAAATCATTGTGAAGCTCCTCTATGCCGCCTTCGAGGCCGAGGTAAGAGACATTATAAGAAACCTCTCACGGGAACAATTAATAGATGTACCTGGAAGTGACTGCTGCATCGCAGGACTGCGCACGCATGGAAATACTAAATGTGCAGTTACGTCGATTGTGATAGCATAATATTGTGATAACAGAACATAATGAGTCTGTCATAGAATGTCGACAATTTGTGAATAGCCTCCCTTGGAAGTCAATCAAAATGGCCGATTGGGAAGAAGTTCGTCGTCTGGCCGCGGACTTTCAGAGAGTCCAGCTGTCTGCTACCAAACAAAAGTCAGTTCCCTTGTGCTTGTTGATCCTCAGATATACACGTTTAACACTTTTGACATTTATCCTGCTATATTTGTGTGTGTAGGCGAGAAATAAAGATCAGTGGTAGCGCCTCTTACGTGGACGTCACTGTGTTGTGTGTCATACATAATAATTTTTTTTGTTAAATTTAGTTGATTTGTTTGAAAATTAAACAACAAGCAATACTACTACATCGTAATGAGTATTCGTTTTTTTTCCCCGTTTGGGTTCTGAGACCCCTTTATGTGGAAAACCAGATTAGACCCACTGCCTTCCCCAAAAATCAAGTAAGAGTCGACTAATCACTAATTGGTGACTGCCTTCGAAGTCGAGTGCTGGTGACTGCCTTCGAAGTCGGAGTGCTGGTGACTGCCTTCGAAGTCGGAGTGCTGGTGACTGCCTTCGAAGTCGGAGTGCTGGTGACTGCCTTCGAAGTCGGAGTGCTGGTGACTGCCTTCGAAGTCGGAGTGCATCATCTGACGGCTGAGAGGCAAGGAACCAGCTGGCTGCATACAAATAGGTCAGCTCTGTAAGAAAAAAAAAAGTATGTGCTTGCAACACTCATCTTTTGATCAAATTAATGTCTAGAGGCGGACAAACAACTATAACTTTTTGCTGAAGTTTTCAGTTTACAGCCGGTGAATGCGAGTAAGAAGATTATTTAAATTTTTTGGCTCTCCTCCGAACTTCTACCCGATATTATTTGTGTGTAAAATGCGGACTTCCTGCGACGAACACATTGCGGCAAAACTAGGATTAATTGACAATTTCAAGAGACGCAACACTGCAGACAATAATAGCAAACTTTGACAATTTCGAGCATTTCTGCAGACGATAATAGCGACATGGCTGGGAGACCACTCGCTGCGATGCATATTAGCGTCGTCGTCCTGACACTTTTCGGCATGCTCAAAACACGGTTAAACTCACCTTAGACAGTATCCCCAGCACCGCTACGTGCGGCGCGGATGGGGATGTAAATTAGATGGCTGGGTATGGCATAGTCGCGGAAACAGGTCCGCAATTAACATATCGCTGAGACCCTGTTAAATCATTTTTTTTCGCTGTTCAGAGCCGATCCTAAATGTGTTCATCGCAGGACGTCCGCATTCTGCATAGGACTGTTAGGGTATTTGTTTGACCGCTATAATATCGAGTAGAAGTTCGGAGGAGAGCCGCATTTTTATATGTGTTTTCCTTGATTACATACAGTAACTGAAAGTTGTTTTGTAAATGAAAATAGCAGATCCATACGATAAGATACTGCCATTGTTGTGTACAGCTTTAGACCTTCATCTGTTCTATGAGGTTACAAAGTAATAAGATTATATATGGTCACTTTTCTTTAGGCTTATCACCTAATTCTGAACATTACCTCATGTCCTTTATGATGAGACTGACTGTATCCAACTGACAGTTCGAATGCGGGTTAACTGCGCAGACAGGGATGAACTGAACGGTCAGATCGATAATTAAATGCACTCATCAACCAGTCAGGTGCTGCCTCCACAATGAAGGATGCCTTCAGTCATCAACACCCCATCCCTCACCCGCTTGTACAGTTTCTCAGTGCCATTTATCTCCCATTTTTTATTCATGTCTGTTCCATGCCAGCATGCCTTTAACTTTTCCCTCGGCACATTGCTGAATGGTTAAGTTTGGTGGCTCTCATGTAGGACGGCCGGGCAGGGGTTTCTGTCGGGAGCAACAACAACAAAATCCTTACCTATATGGGCCATGGAAACCGCCATGGTGTAGTGGCTGTATACTCGCCTGCAGATCTGAAGGTTGTAGGCTCAAATCTGATCAGAGCCGTACTTAAAAAAATAACCTTGGCTCCCTGTTTGACTCAGCCTTGACTACCAGGTATAGCCCTGGGAGATAAAGGCTTTCAACACATAACCCACCAAGTGCCATTTGGTCTATTAAATATAGGCCTGCCCTTAACTGCACAAAATCCCTAAAGGCATAAAAAAGAGTAATTTTACTTGCAGTCCATGGATACTGCAGGTTGTCTGACCACTGGATCAGGGATTGTCCTCTTTATTTTCTGCAGGTTGTCTGACCACTGGATCTGGGATTGTCCTCTATATTTTCTGCAGGTTGTCTGATCACTGGATCTGGGATTGTCCTCTATATTTTCTGCAGGTCTGATCACTGGATCAGGGATTGTCCTCTATATTTTCTGCAGGTCTGATCACTGGATCAGGGATTGTCCTCTTTATTTTCTGCAGATTGTCTGATCACTAGATCTGTGATTGTCCTCTATATTTTCTGCAGGTTGTCTGATCGGAATGTGATTGAATTAGTGACGAGACTCGTAGACTTGAAACTGATCGATGTCTTGTACACGTCTGATGGGAAGACTTATCTCACACACCAGCAGCTGGCCAAGGAAATCAGGGACGAGCTGATTGTTCACCATGGTATGTACTCAGTTTTCTACTGACCATTGTTTGTATAGCATATATTATAGAAAGATACTGAGAGTAGCATCGACCAAGAAGAACAGAAGTACTGACATCCTAAAAGATCCGAACATCAAGAAAGGTTGGCTGGTAAACAGCATCTTGTCTCAAAAACTGCTGTGGTGGATTGGAAACAAATAAATGCCAAAGCCTTGGTTCCAAGAAACAGGGGTATCATCACAAAGATGGACACAGCAAATAATTGACACCTTGAGTAGGAAAGTACACGAGGTGGGAGATCTGGCCAGAGACCAATCTTCTTTCACGCAGGTTGTGATGAGTGCGACGCTCTGCAAAGGACCTGGTTCATAATGACGATGATTGCTTGTGATACCTGGCCAGTACTTTTGTGTTTTTGGCTATTCACAACTTTCAAGTATTTTGACTGACCCTAGTTTATCTTTTGCTAGCCATTGTTTGCATCTGCAATTGATTGATGGTTGCTGTCCAGTTTTTTCTTACACTGACCATTACTATCTAGTTTTTAGACTGACTTTTGTTATCCAGTTTATGAGACTGACCATACCTTGCAAATGTGTTGCCAGACCATTCTTTGCCAGTGTACACGTTTTTTTTAAATATATAATTGCTGTGCCCACTCCACAGTGAAGGTTCACTACAGTTTATACAGTTTACCGCGTTGTCTTTGGAAATATTTCCTGGCAAGGCCCAAATCTCTTCCACACTGTGACTCTCAAAAACCATGCGAATGATTATTTTTTTAACTGTCCGCTGCGGGAAATGAACTAAAGTGCTTGAGGATCATGAATTTGTTAACTGCATTGAGAATGCCCTGGTGCCAACTGCCATAGAGAGCCACTTTAAAAAAAATAATGCAGGTAACGTAAAAAAAGGTAGAGACAGCACGCCATATGGAATGACAGTATCAAAAACATTCTTTAAAAAAAAAAAAATGAAAACCCAGTTGTAGTGCCCGTAAGGAAGGGCCACACAGATGATCTTGATGTCTCCTCTTAACATTTTGCTGAGATAACTGGAGGAAGAAAATAAGAAGGAAAATAGGTACTTTTTCTTCTATATGTTAACCCTTAAAAGGGCATATGACATGTTGTGTTGTGGTTTACTGCAATTCTGCGATATTTTCCCCTTACAGTCCGACATATCCACTTTCATTAATCCCCTAATTAGTCATCCATTATGATAAGCTTTCCTTTGGAACAGTACATCTGTTGCCCCCTGTCCCCCTCCCAAACAACTGAGCCCTCAAAACCCATGGGCAGGGAAATTGTGTACAGCACTTTAACATTGTTCTGATGCTTTGGTCATTAACTTTTTAACAAAATGTTTTTGACAGGTCGAGTCAGCCTGGTGGATCTCCAACAGCTGCTGAATGTTGACTACAGTCATATTGAGGCCAAGGTGAACGATATGGTCAAGCATGATGGACATCTGACGCTGGTGTTGGGTCAGTTGATAGACAACTCTTACCGCCAGCTTCTGGCCCAGGAGATCAATGACCAGCTTCAGGAGAAAGGTCATGTGACCATCATTGACTTAGCAAAGTCTTATGATCTCCCCGCCGACTTTCTTCGCGAGGTTTGTAGTTGGCTGTTGGCAAAGATTTTTTTTTTTTGGTTTTTGTTGCTCATGCTGTGTTGTTGTTTTTCTTCGGGGGTAATTTATTTCCAGTTTGTTTCTCTGCCGTAATCATCGTCATCACCCTTTATATGCCGTCAGACATCATATAGGGCTCACATTTCTCCACTTCACTATGTTACATGCAACTTTCTCGATTTCTGACATGAAGTTTAGCCCAGCATTTTTTGCCTCTCGTAATAATGATCTTCTTAATGTTTACCTTGGAGGTCCTATTTTTCTCAGACCGTTTGTTTCCCATTTCAGTGCCTGTTTTGTATTTCTGTGCTCATTTCATCTTACAGTGTGCCCAATATATTTCCACCTTCTTAATCTTACTGCAATCGTTACAAGTATTTGTCCTCACAGGCTGTAAACTTGTCACTTGTCTACTTCTTGAGTTTGATATGGTTCCAGGACTTGAATGTTGGGGACACATCTGTTTCACAGTCGATATTACCTGCTCTCTGTTAATGCCAGATGTTGGGTGGCGTAAATCACACCTGACATTTTCTGCTATTGCTGAATGTTGGGCGACATTTACCTAACCTGACATCTCACATTGCCTCAACGGCTTTGGGCAGACAAGCACATTCTGGAGGACACAAGCCTTGTCCTCAAATCAGTAAAGGCTAATTGAGTTTCACAGCAGGACAGCCCAGGCCTGATCTTGGAGAGAAGCTGTTACAGGTGGACAGACAGAGTACTGCTCTTCTGATCTGGTGTGCTTTGCCCCAGACATATTAGAGTTACTTTTCCTTTGAAGTAAACAAGTCCAGCTGAGGGGAGGGGGGGTGCACAACAGCATAGAGATAAAGGAAGACCTAAAACACACATAAAAGGGAGCTCAAGAGTGAAGTTAAAATGATGGGAAGGACATGGGGAAAGCTGCATGCGATATCAAAGAAAAGAACGACTTGGTTGAGCGCCTATGCTCCATTGAGGATTAGAAAGACAGAAGAAGAACTGGTAGGTCTGTGTGTGAAAAAGAATCACTTCAACAATCATGTTTTATTGAACTGTAATATGATTTTCTATCTTCTACGTTTGCACTTTAGGATATCTGGTTGATTGTTTTGTGGTTTACAGCTAAGTTCCAGTATACGTGCCTTTTGGCCTAGCACATCTTATGTTAGTAAGTTTTTAATTAGTTACCTTTTATGGTATGCTTGTTAAAGGTCACTGGGTCTGTTTTTATAAGCTTTTATTAAGTTGGCTTTTGCTTTTTTGTCTGGTACAATTTGTTTTTTATTTCAAAAAGAGTCCCCAGAGCCTAATTGGGGATCATGATTGTTCAAAATGTGAATTTCTGATTTTCAGGTGATAGACCAGTACCTGGGCACACTTATCAAAGGTCAGGTTGATAACTATGACAAGGATGTGGTCTTTACTGATGGCTTTGTCTCCAGAATGAAGGCTCAGATCAAGGGAGCATTTACGGCAGTCACCATGTAAGGTTCACTCATACTTGAGTCGAATATAGGCAGTCACAGTCACAGTTTTTGTCCTTGTGTATAGTATAGGTCGTCACAGTAGGAGCTCAGTCATCTTTGTGTAGAATGTAGGCAGTCATTATTGTGTAGAATGTAGGCAGTCATCATTGTGTAGAATGTAGGCAGTCATCATTGTGTAGAATGTAGGCAGTCATCATTGTGTAGAATGTAGGCAGTCATCATTGTGTAGAATGTAGGCAGTCATCATTGTGTAGAATGTAGGCAGTCATCATTGTGTAGAATGCAGGCAGTCATCATTGTGTAGAATGCAGGCAGTCATCTTTGTGTAGAATGTAGGCAGTCATCTTTGTGTAGAATGTAGGCAGTCATCATTGTGTAGAATGCAGGCAGTCATCTTTGTGTTGAATGTTGGCAGTCATCATTGTGTAGAATGCAGGCAGTCATCATTGTGTAGAATGTAGGCAGTCATCATTGTGTTGAATGTAGGCAGTCATCACATTGTGTTGAATGTAGGCAGTCACCATTGTGTAGAATGTAGGCAGTCATCTTTGTGTAGAATGTAGACAGTCATCAGTGTTTTGAATGTTGGCAGTCATCTTTGTGTAGAATGTAGGCAGTCATCTTTGTGTAGAATGTAGGCAGTCATCATTGTGTAGAATGTAGGCAGTCATCTTTGTGTAGAATGTAGGCAGTCATCATTGTGTTGAATGTTGGCAGTCATCTTTGTGTAGAATGTAGACAGTCATCTTTGTGTAGAATGTTGGCAGTCATCTTTGTGTAGAATGTAGGCAGTCATCTTTGTGTAGAATGTAGACAGTCATCAGTGTTTTGAATGTTGGCAGTCATCTTTGTGTAGAATGTAGGCAGTCATCTTTGTGTAGAATGTAGGCAGTCATCATTGTGTAGAATGTAGGCAGTCATCTTTGTGTAGAATGTAGGCAGTCATCATTGTGTTGAATGTTGGCAGTCATCTTTGTGTAGAATGTAGACAGTCATCTTTGTGTAGAATGTTGGCAGTCATCTTTGTGTAGAATGTAGGCAGTCATCTTTGTGTAGAATGTAGGCAGTGATCATTGTGTAGAATGTTGGCAGTCATCTTTGTGTAGAATGTAGGCAGTCATCTTTGTGTAGAATGTAGGCAGTCATCTTTGTGTAGAATGTTGGCAGTCATCTTTGTGTAGAATGTTGGCAGTCATCTTTGTGTAGAATGTTGGCAGTCATCTTTGTGTAGAATGTAGGCAGTCATCATTGTGTAGAATGTAGGCAGTCATCTTTGTGTAGAATGTAGGCAGTCATCTTTGTGTAGAATGTAGGCAGTCATCATTGTGTAGAATGTAGGCAGTCATCTTTGTGTAGAATGTAGGCAGTCATCTTTGTGTAGAATGTAGGCAGTCATCATTGTGTAGAATGTAGGCAGTCATCATTGTGTAGAATGTTGGCAGTCATCTTTGTGTAGAATGTTGGCAGTCATCTTTGTGTAGAATGTAGGTAGTCATCATTGTGTAGAATGTAGGCAGTCATCTTTGTGTAGAATGTAGGCAGTCATCATTGTGTAGAATGTAGGCAGTCATCATTGTGTAGAATGTTGGCAGTCATCTTTGTGTAGAATGTAGGCAGTCATCTTTGTGTAGAATGTAGGCAGTCATCTTTGTGTAGAATGTTGGCAGTCATCTTTGTGTAGAATGTAGGCAGTCATCATTGTGTAGAATGTAGGCAGTCATCTTTGTGTAGAATGTAGGCAGTCATCATTGTGTTGAATGTTGGCAGTCATCTTTGTGTAGAATGTAGGCAGTCATCTTTGTGTAGAATGTAGGCAGTCATCTTTGTGTAGAATGTAGGCAGTCATCGTTGTGTAGAATGTAGGCAGTCATCAATGTGTTGAATGTTGGCAGTCATCTTTGTGTTGAATGTAGGCAGTCATCATTGTGTAGAATTGCAGGCAGTCATCATTGTGTAGAATGTAGGCAGTCATCATTGTGTAAAATGTAGGCAGTCATCTTTGTGTTGAATGTAGGCAGTCATCATTGTGTAGAATTGCAGGCAGTCATCATTGTGTAGAATGTAGGCAGTCATCATTGTGTAAAATGTAGGCAGTCATCTTTGTGTTGAATGTAGGCAGTCATCTTTATGTTGAATGTAGGCAGTCATCTTTGTGTAGAATGTAGGCAGTCATCTTTGTGTTGAATGTAGGCAGTCATCTTTGTGTAGAATGTAGGCAGTCATCTTTGTGTAGAATGTAGGCAGTCATCATGAGTTTCAGTCATCTCTGTGTAGAGAATAGACCATCACAGTGTTAGCTTGTCCATTTCAGTAATTTGTATGTATCATCTAGATAGCGTATAAGCTCAGTAATTCCCGTCACTACTTTGTAAGATAAAGGCAGTCACTGTTAGCTCAATCATAGGTGTGTAGGATATAAATTGTCAGAGTGTTAACTCAGTCATTTTAATTATTCCTGTTTAGGATATAAGCAGTAAGTGTCAGCTAAATAATTTCAGTCAGTTCTGTGTAATTTACAACAGTATAAGTTCAATCATTCATGGATAGTTTCAGTCAGTTCTGTGTAATTTACAACAGTATAAGTTCAATCATTCATGGATAGTTTCAGTCAGTTCTGTGTAATTTACAACAGTATAAGTTCAGTCATTCATGGATAGTTTCAGTCAGTTCTGTGTAATTTACAACAGTATAAGTTCAATCATTCATGGATAGTTTCAGTCAGTTCTGTGTAATTTACAACAGTATAAGTTCAATCATTCATGGATAGTTTCAGTCAGTTCTGTGTAATTTACAACAGTATAAGTTCAATCATTCATGGATAGTTTCAGTCAGTTCTGTGTAATTTACAACAGTATAAGTTCAGTCATTCATGGATAGTTTCAGTCAGTTCCATGTAATTTACAACAGTATAAGTTCAGTCATTCATGGATAGTTTCAGTCAGTTCTGTGTAATTTACAACAGTATAAGTTCAATCATTCATGGATAGTTTCAGTCAGTTCTGTGTAATTTACAACAGTATAAGTTCAGTCATTCATGGATAGTTTCAGTCAGTTCTGTGTAATTTACAACAGTATAAGTTCAGTCATTCATGGATAGTTTCAGTCAGTTCTGTGTAATTTACAACAGTATAAGTTCAATCATTCATGGATAGTTTCAGTCAGTTCTGTGTAATTTACAACAGTATAAGTTCAATCATTCATGGATAGTTTCAGTCAGTTCTGTGTAATTTACAACAGTATAAGTTCAATCATTCATGGATAGTTTCAGTCAGTTCTGTGTAATTTACAACAGTATAAGTTCAGTCATTCATGGATAGTTTCAGTCAGTTCCATGTAATTTACAACAGTATAAGTTCAGTCATTCATGGATAGTTTCAGTCAGTTCTGTGTAATTTACAACAGTATAAGTTCAATCATTCATGGATAGTTTCAGTCAGTTCTGTGTAATTTACAACAGTATAAGTTCAGTCATTCATGGATAGTTTCAGTCAGTTCTGTGTAATTTACAACAGTATAAGTTCAGTCATTCATGGATAGTTTCAGTCAGTTCTGTGTAATTTACAACAGTATAAGTTCAATCATTCATGGATAGTTTCAGTCAGTTCTGTGTAATTTACAACAGTATAAGTTCAGTCATTCATGGATAGTTTCAGTCAGTTCTGTGTAATTTACAACAGTATAAGTTCAGTCATTCATGGATAGTTTCAGTCAGTTCTGTGTAATTTACAACAGTATAAGTTCAATCATTCATGGATAGTTTCAGTCAGTTCTGTGTGTAGTTTCATTACAGAAACTTCATACATAATCTGCAGTGTAAGAACAATCCGGCAAATCTGACTGGTGCCCAGTGGAAACAGGAGTGGAACAAGGCTGTGTCCTATCACCAATGCTCTTTGGAGTAGCAGTCGACTGGGTTATGAGCAAATGCATATATAATACAAATACGGGTATCAAATTGGTTGACAAAAATTCTAGAAGACTTAGACTTTGCTGGCGACATAGTGCTTTTGAGTTTAACGCACCCAGATATTTAAGAGAAAACAAACCATCTTCAATATGTATCAGGACAAATCGGACTCCAAATTAATACAGCAAAAACACAAATGATTGATCTTACCAATAAATCAGATGACATTCAATTCTTGAAAAAGTCAACTGCTTTATATACCTTGAAAGTAAAATGACATCTACAGGGGACTCAACGGCAAAAATACCATCTGGAATCGCACTTGCATCTAGTGCCTTTAACAAACTTTCAAACATCTGGAAGCAAAAGACACTCAGCAAACACAAAACTTAAGATCTTCAACCCTTGTGTGATTCCAGTGCTAACTTATGGATGCGAGAGTTGGAAAGCAACAGTGGCTCTAGATAAAAAATTAGTTTTGAGAACAAATGTCTTGAGGAATACCACATCTCCACTGGACAGATTTCAGATCCAGTACACAAATAAGACAAGAGACCAAGCAAGACAGTGTATCCAGTTTTAAAAGAAAGTACCGCTGGAACTACAATAGCCATGCACTCAGAATGGATGAGGTGCAACTTCCCCATCAAGGTCTGATATGGACACCAGAAGGAAAAAAAAAATGAGGAAGACCAAGAGCAACTCTACGTAGAACCATCATCAGGGAAGGCTCAACCATGGGCCTGACAAACATCCAAGACCTACAGCAGGTGGCAACGAACCTTCAGACATGGAGAGTTATAACCTCTGCCCTATGCGCTGCCCACTAGGCTCAAATGAAAAGACTAACAGATCTGCAGTCAAGGTTAAGTTTAATCATTCATGCATAAACTACAACTATAAACTCTGCAGACAAGGTTAAGTTCAATCATTCATGTGTAAACTCCTATAAACTCAGTAATTGTAAGTTAAACTACCATTTGAGCCACCCACCTATAAACTACAACAGTAAGATCAATCATTCACCTGTAGACTACAATAGTAAGATCAATCATTCACCTGTAGACTACAATAGTAAGATCAATCATTCACCTGTAGACTACAATAGTAAGATCAATCATTCACCTGTAGACTACAACAGTAAGATCAATCATTCACCTGTAGACTACAACGTTAAGATCAATCATTCACCTTTAGACTGCAACGGTAAGATCAATCATTCACCTGTAAACTTTTAATCAATCATTCACCTGTAGATTACAACATTAAGATCAATCATTTACCTGTAGACTGCAACGGTAAGATCAATCATTCACCTGTAGACTACAATGATAAGATCAATCATTCACCTGTAGACTACAATGATAAGATCAATCATTCACCTGTAGACTACAATGATAAGATCAATCATTCACCTGTAGACTGCAACGGTAAGATCGATCATTCACCTGTAGACTACAATGATAAGATCAATCATTCACCTGTAGACTACAATGATAAGATCAATCATTCACCTGTAGACTACAATGATAAGATCAATCATTCACCTGTAGACTGCAACAATAAGATCAATCATTCACCTGTAAACTTGTAATAAATCATTCACCTGTAAACTGCAACAATACGTTCATTAATTCATGTGTTGACTACAACATGTATTTTGAGAAGAACAAACAGGAGAAGGTTGAAAATAAGAAAAGGCCTAACAATTCTTGCATGACCGTCCAACCATTTACTCTCTACTTTACAGACCTACAACTGTTGGACCAATCAGGCAGTTCATTGGATGCCAGGAGCATCTGTTTTTCAGTGAGTTTCTTTGATGTTGCTTTCCTTCATCCTGTTTCAATTTTAAGCTAGAGTCGAGGATTGACTTCATTGCACAGAGTTTTATCCAATATGGCTCAGTGTCTCTCTGTAAAATGGCTAGATATCTGCCAAGAGCCCTGCACAAAGCACAAACTCTTTAGCTCCAGGGTTGATCCCTAGGGATCTCTGTAAAAACTGCACTCGTGAACTGAGGATGAACCCACAGGTCACAAGGCAGATGGCTTGACTACTTTGCCATGGAGACCACATTATTCAGTTTTGTGTAATTGAGACGGCTTATATGTATGTTTAACATGAGCAGGTGTTTTTGTTTCTCATGATTTTCTTGTTTTTCATCTTCTTCTGTCCGGTCAGTCAAGTTCTGTGTTCGGGTCTTTCTTGGTCTGCCAATCCTCCTCTTCCCCTCTACTGAACCCTTGTAGTATTTTTTTTTTTTTTTTTTTTTGAGAGGCCCATAGATCTTATTACTTACATGATTCCTTAATTAGCCGTCCTTTACGACATGCTTGTTAAGGAGCTGTGGTTTTTTGTATTTTATTTTGCGCACCACAACCCACATGAAGAAACTCGCAGTGTTGACTGGATTTTTCACAAAAGAAGACCAACAAAAGTAGTATGCTAAACCAAGTTTGCGGTCATGAATCAGATTTCCATCTTGGTGAAGGTTCAGCTTAGAGAGGATATTTGAAAGTTCTGCACATAAAAATGCCCTTGATATTTGGAAATTGAAAAGAATAGGCTGAAAATATTACTGCCAAAGCTAAAAGTTAAGAAATGAGTTGTTGAGTCAAGAATTGACATTACAGCACTTGGGGCATTCCCATGCATGCTCCGTCCTCATCTTCATCAGCCAGCACAGAGTTCCACTACTGATGGTACCGTATGATCACAATCTGGTTATATGTCCGTCTTGCCTTTTCTCTGAGTGAAATGAGTCGGCCAGACCCTCTGGTTACACCCAGGTGCCTCATTCTCTCAAGGCCATAATAATCTTCTTTCTCTACTGATTCCGTTGCTTGTTCCCAAAGGGCCTTGACCACATCTGCCTTTTCATGTAACGATTCACCACCCAGTGGTGCAGATCCAGCCAACCTGTCTGACTGTTCATTACCCACTACGCCGGCATGGCCTAGAGAAAAGACCCAAAGTATGCTCACTACTCAAGATTACTAAGAGAAGGTGTGGCACGGTGATTTCGGCCACTGGCTTGAGGTAAAGTCTGGTGTGATGTCTGTAAGGAGATACTCTGTACCTCACCTCAGCCCATCCCCAATGCATGGGTGAAAACGTCTGTCAAAACTCATTTGAAACACGTTGAGTCGGCTTGCTGAATTTGCTACTAAATGACAACTCTCGGTTGAAAGTTCTCTATCCACATTTATGGATGTGTGCCCCTGCCTGACATTCCGGAAACTATACCCTTATATCAACATTCTGTCCAGCCACCACAACGTTTAAGATGACTAGAATGGGGACAGGATGCTGTTTATGAGCCAGATCTCCTTAATGCTCAGATCATATTGGATGTCAATGCTTTTATTCTTCTTGGTCTCTGTTATTGTTTTAAATAAAAATGTATTCAGCATTTTAATTCAAAATTTCCATTTTTTTTCTCTCGATGACTGAGTAAGTAAGATCCCATGACTCACATCCATAAATTGCCACCAGAAGGATGCATGATCTCAAAACTTGTATTTTTAACTCACTTGCAGGTGCTATGCCATAGGTTCTTCACGCCGTTCAGTCTGTGCATTTCTTCCCTTGAGTCTTATTTTCTGATGTCTCTTGTGCAGTCACCATTGATGTTCACTATTAGGTCTAAATATTATGTAATCATTGTAGCCAATTTTTTTTATTCAGAAAAAGATATTCTTCATGACTGTGCTTTTTTGACTGTCAGAATTAATATTTCAACCATATTTTCGGTTGCAGAAATCTTAGAGGAGTTAATAGCTTCCGGGCGTTTGGCAGGATCTGTGTCGGGCAGTCGCCAGGACAAATCACAGTATTTGCCAGATATATACACACAGGCTCAGAGTCAGTGGGTGGACTCTTTCTACAAACAGAATGGATACCTGGGTTTGTTTATACAATTGTTGTTGCTTACTTTGGATGTATGAATCAAGAATTTCAGCGCAGTGTTTCACCTATGTAGGTCCAGCTGTACTTTTTGTAAAGGATCTGCTGATTGATGATTACTGATAAGAGAATCCACATCATAGCCTCACAGAGCAGACCCATAGGTGCTCAGTCTCCCACAGTAGATGTACTTTACTGTAGATGCTGGTTGTTCCAGTAACACACAGGTTGTGAACACATGCTGCTTTTTCAACATACTCTGTGTCTTCCATCAGTATTCTTCCTCTTTTTCTGCGTTTACCCTTCAAAGGGCAGTTGGCACATTGTGTTGTGGTTTACAGCCAGGCTTTGATATCTGCAGTTTTCCACCCAACACATCTGATTTCAGCAAATCATTAATCAGTCACCATTTACACCATGCTTGTTAATGGGCACTGGGTAAAATCTTTTTTCCCCAGAATCCACACTGGGAGTGTCCTCCCTTAGCATTCGTTTATAGATTGTCTTCTGAATGTCTGCCCTAACTGTTATTACAATACTGTTTGAGTATTATCTGAGCACAAATTACCTGTCCCCTTGAGAGATCAAATTAGCGTTGCAATAGTCTATATTTGCTGTAGATTTATTACAGTTAAAATGGTTTTCTGTGGTTAGAAAGGTAGGTGTAATTTGAACACATTCCAGTGCTTGTATTTTATATTTAGCCACTGTTGCTAATGTTTATCGTTACTTGTTAACAGATGTATGAATGAAAGGAGGCAGATTGTTAGAAGGGCCTGTATGCCCAATTCGTAACCCTTTGAATGTCGAATTTTGAATTAAGAATCATCACATCACTTGGGACACTCCCATTAGCGTTGCATCCCCTATCTTCAGCAGCAAGCGAACAGTTCCAATTTCGATGGCACCAGTAACTGTCTAATTGTATATCCGTCTCCCCTTTCCCTTGAGTGTTGAGCATCAGCCAGATCCCCTGGTAACTCCTCACAGTGCCGTTTTCCTAGGACCATAATGATCTGTTTGTGCCTCCTTGTCATACATCAGTTCACCACCAAGTGGTGCAGAACCGACCAGCCTATCTGCTTGCTCATTTCCCAACACACCAACATCACCATGTGGAAATATCGAAAAGACGCTGACTACCCAGGATCTCGGAAGCTAGCAATAACTAACAAAGATACTTGGGAATTTTTAATTGAAATGTTATAGAACTTATCTTTCAATGCCATGAATCAAGAAAAAGAAAACTGCTGACAGTCTGCAAGATCTGAACATTGTGGAAAACTAGTTCATAATCACCATCATATTTTGGAAAATGAAATACCATATTTCAACAAGTATAGGATGTACTTTTTTTTCCAAAAATATAGTTAAGAAATGAGTTGTTGAGGCTCTAAAAACAGTTTGTGTCTTATACAACAATTGTATATGTTTTCTCCACATTTCCGGTCTCAGAATCAAGGTGCACCTGATACAGTGGATTGTCTTATACTTGGGAAGATACCATACTTTAGTTACCTTGAGCCATACGGTGGTTTTGGAAGAACAGCAATGCAAAGTGCTGTCACAAAGCTAGTTACAACTGTTGTAACTTGGATAAGAGTTTTAACAGACCTTGTTCTGTTTGTTGCAGCTTAGCCACACTTATACATTTCTAGGTTGGACTGTGTGTGTTAGCACTTGTGACAATTGCCTTATCCATTTAATGCTATTGGATATGCTGAGGCGGAAGTTAGTATACATTTTCCCACAAGAGACAGTGATGGACAATCTGTGTAGTTTTTGTTAGCAGAGGAACAGTGACCCATCTCCTGTGAAGTTGAAACTGTGATAACCTAATTACTTAGAGATTTTTATTTTCTTTACAGAGTATGATACCCTGATCCGGCTGGGTATTCCTGATCCCAAGAGTTACATCAAGAAAAAGTTTAAATCTGAGCCTTTGGTGTTCCTTAGTTCTTGCTGTGTGGGCCCTGTGATCTCAGAGCAAGTTCAGTACAGCGTGGATGAAACACTAGGTCAAGGAGGATGGCTTGACATAATGGTCAGAAATAGTATTTTTGGCAAGGCTTTTATGTTAGAATAAAATTGTTATTGTTTTTTCTCTCTCTCACAAGCTACTGTATTTCATTATTTCCTTTTAGTGTAGCCTATTTCTTCTTCTTCTTCTTCTTCTCCTCCTTCTTCTTCTTCTTTTTCTTCTTCTTCTTCTTCCTCTCCTCCTCCTCATTCTTCCTTTTCTTCTTCTTCTTCTTCTCTTTCTTCTTCTTCTACTTCTCCTCCTTCGCCCCATGCCTTTTACAGTAGTGTCTGTTACACCTGCTGGTTTGTCATAACTGCTGTTTCCATCTATAATAAACTGCAGTTCTAGTGACTGACTGTTGGTATTGGCACATTTTGTGACTTGCCTTATGCATTTAATGTGTGTGCAAGCTGTTAGTTTCTGCTGGGACTGCTGTCTATTTGACTTTTTTACATGAAAGTCATTTTGTATGATTTTGACTGGCACACTTATTGGGTAACCTGTTAGCCATAAAGTTGTAACCATGACCATTTTCCTGACCACAAATTTACATGATGGGTTACCAGAAAAGGGTTTAGAAATTTTGTGGTGTGTGATGGTAAGAGACAGTCTGAAAAAAATCTGACAGTATGATGTGCATGTAACTGTTCATCTGTTGTTGTTTTAATCACTTTTAGTTTGAGAATGGAGTCGGGGGCAGTCACTAGAACCTTCTGCTGACTTGAGAATCAACTGCACACTCATGTTGTGATTATAACGGACTCACAAAACATGCTGAGAAAGGTGAAAAGAAGCATGCTCCCTGCAGAGTGGCAAGTGTCACTTCAAAAGACCTGGTCAGTTAGCCTCCTTTGGATATATTCTCCAGGCCATGCAGGTGTGTTGGAAAAGGAACAGGCAGACAGAATGCTACTTAGTGGTAAATGAAAGCTAGATGTCAGGATCCTTTGGGAGTGAGTCATCAGTGCAGATGCATGAATAGATCATCATGGTGGGGAGAGTGGTGCAGGGGAACTGGCCGACGCTTCACACTCAGAGGAAAGACAAGACAGACACACAATCGGAATGCAGCTGGTACCTTGGAATTAAAACTCTATACTGGCTGCTGAAGACAAGAATGGAACACTTTTATAAATGTGCTGTGATTTTGGTTCTTAACTCAGCTGTTCTTCTGTTTTGTTTTACAGACAGTTCTACCGAGTGTGCTGAGTCGTAAAGATGCCTCAGAGTTGTTATCTGGCTGTTTGAAAAATAAAAGCCAGGCTGTCGTGTGTGACTCAACCATTGTAGCCAGTGAGAGCCTGGTGTCGGACAGCACGTCAGTTTTCTCAGATCTCATGTCAGAGAAAGCAGAAAAGGTGAATATTATGTTTAGTCAGTGCTATGTACCATTAGTAATCACATTTATCCACAGCCTTGTAACTCGTGTTCATCTGTTGAGTTGTCATTGCTAAGCATACACACTTGTTATACATGTTTCTATATGTTATGATGATAGTGTTGTATTAGGTGCCAGTCTTCATTGTGGAGACAGCATAGCATTTGTTTGTTTTTTTTAATTTGTGTTGACCTTGACTGCTAGGTCAAACCTGCCTGCATAGATGAAATGGTTAAATCCATCTGTACAGATGACATGGTTAAACCTGTTTGTACAGATGACATGGTTAAACCTGCCTGTTTAGATGACATGGTTAAACCTGCCTGTATAGATGAAATGGTTAAATCCATCTGTACAGATGACATGATTAAACCTGTTTGTACAGATGACATTGTTAAACCTGCCTGTTTAGATGACATGGTTAAACCTGCCTGTATAGATGACATGATTAAACCTGTTTGTACAGATGACATGGTTAAACCTGCCTGTGTAGATGACATGGTTAAACCTGCCTTTATAGATGAAATGGTTAAACCTGCCTTTATAGATGAAATGGTTAAATCCATCTGTACAGATGACATAATTAAACCTGTTTGTACAGATGACATGGTTAAACCTGCCTGTGTAGATGACATGGTTAAACCTGCCTGTACAGATGACATGATTAAATCTGTTTGTACAGATGACATGGTTAAACCTGCCTGTTTAGATGACATGGTTAAACCTGCCTGTGTAGATGACAAGGTTAATCCTGCCTGTACAGATGACATGATTAAACCTGTTTTTACAGATGACATGGTTAAACCTGCCTGTTTAGATGACATGGTTAAACCTGCCTGTACAGATGACATGATTGAACCTGCCTGTGTAGATGATAAAGTCAGACCTGACTATACTGATGATATACCAAAGGCTAGCACATCATTTGTGATTTATGAAAAGGCAAGAGAATTTACTTCATTGCACATAATTTTATCTCATGGCTCACTGTCTCTGTACAGTAGCTGGTTGCTCACCAAGAGTAGTTCACAAAGCACGAGCTTCATAGCTCCAGCAATTTACTAATGGCAAAAGTTCACTTCCCCAACACTTTACACGTCATTTATACTTTGCATGATTATCAAATGTAATCTATGAAGTATATTCATTTGCAAGTGGATTTGAAACTGCAGGCTTCCAAGTCCCACCCAGCAGTTGCATCCAGTACAGCCGTAGGAGCATCTGGTGACAAACCAGCCCATGTAAAGATGGCTGGCGTCGACGATGGAAGTTCAGCCAGAGAGGATAAAAAGGAGCAGAGACGAAAGAAAGCTGCTAGTAAGTTCCCTCTTCATTTTTCCTCATTTCTCTTTTGAGGGAGGTGCTGCAAATAGATTTTTCTGTGAATCTTGGACAAATTATAATCAAACTACTCTGGTGGTTTCCGAGGCCAAATTTTGGAGAACAAAGAATAGACCCCAAGATGAAAAATTCAGTGGTACAGACATGTAATCAGATCTGACGCCCTCTCAAAAATAATACTACAGGGTTCAGTAGAGGAGAAGAGGCACAGCAAGAAAGATCTGGATACAAAACTTGACTGACTGGAATTCCAGAGAAATTTGACTTAAAAGCTCAATAAAATGGGAAAGCAGACAAACCGGCACAAAACAACACAACATAACGTTTCAGCCAGGCAGCCTTTTTCAAACATAAGTGAACTACACAAACGTAACAACGAGGAGATGAGAGTATGTAGATCTCTAAGGGGTGATGTGAGCAACGTTTTAAAAAATTTGATGTGGAATAAATGAAATGAAATAAACGTGGCTAAAAAATAAGTCACACAAAAATAAACAGTAGAATTGTTAATATATAATATAATACTGGGAATAGAAGAATTACAAATGTTAATGATACATAAATGATACTGATAAGAGATAGATTAAAGTAATAATATGAAATAAAAGAAAAGAAAATAATTAACATTTAAAATGTCATAAGAGTAGAACTATTTAGATGAAGCTATTTTGGATATTGATACCACCTGGACTAAGAACGCCTAGGCTGTGGATGAGGCAATTTTCCAAAGCGAGGCGTGTAGTATGATCGCCAGAGCAAGATTTTAATGCTATGATAGATATATCATCCTAACCTCTGTGGTCAGAGCTATTAAAATCTATCAAGCCTCATGAAAGTGTGTAGTCTGTTGAACAACATCTATCAAGCCTCATGAAAGTGTGTGTGTGGTTTGTTGAATGACATCTATCAAGCCTCATGAAAGTGTGTGGTCTGTTGAACGACATCTATCAAGCCTCATGAAAGTGTGTGGTCTGTTGAACGACATCTATCAAGCCTCATGAAAGTGTGTGTGGTTTGTTGAACGACATCTATCAAGCCTCATGAAAGTGTGTGGTCTGTTGAACGACATCTATCAAGCCTCATGAAAGTGTGTGGTCTGTTGGAACGTCATCTATCAAGCCTCATGAAAGTGTGTGGTCTGTTGAACCACATCTATCAAGCCTCATGAAAGTGTGTGGTCTGTTGAACGTCATCTATCAAGCCTCATGAAAGTGTGTGTGTGGTCTGTTGAACTAGTTTCTATCAAGCCTCATGAAAGTGTGTGGTTTTCTGCTTATTAGCATTGACCAGTTGTAAACTCTGATGGAAAGGTTTTGTTTGTTTGTGTGTGTGTGTGTGTGTGTGTGTGTATGTGTACATGCGCGCGCGTACACACATGCATGCATACATGTGTGTGTGTGTGTGTGTGCATGCATACATGTGTGTGTGTGTGTGTGCATGCATACATGTGTGTGTGTGACTGCTGGGCTCTCATCTTGGTCTAGAACCAGAGTTTTGCTTGTTTTACAAGTCTGGCTTATTTGTGTGCAGATTGTTGGTTTTTTTTTTTTTTTTTACCTCTCAGGCAGATGCACTCTGACGACTTTGAAGGAAAAATCTTTAACTTAGTCGCCTTCTGTCGTATGTTTGTTGGAAAAAAAAGTGTCTCCTGTGTGTGACAGACAGGAAGAAAAATGTTAACTTGTGTACACTCTTTAAACCTTGAATATTAAATGTTATTTTTTTATCATGTGTGGCAGACTGGAAGAAAAAATCTGGCATTTGTAAACCTTGAATATAAGTTATTTTTTTCTCTTGTGTGGCGGACAGGAAGAAAAATTTTATTAGGTCTGTACCAAATATTCGCTTCGGGGCCGAATAGTGGACCTAATAACTATTCGGTATTCGGCCGAATAGTTGCGGTCGGGCCGAATACGAATAGTGGTTACCTTACACCCGTTTCTGGACTGGTGGCAAATAAACATGTCAAGATTTCCCACCTTGGTTCATACTGTCAAGCGTTATCTTTGTGCACCAACTACGAGCGTGCCAAGTAAAAGTCTGTTGAGTACAGCTGGAAATACCTTCAGTGAGACAAGAAGCTGCCTTAATGCTGACAACATGGAACGATTTTTTTTTTGAAAGCTAATGCTGCTTTCATGGATTAACTAAGCTGTCAGTGACAATTTACAAGTTTAGTTACTTGTTTTAAAACTAAGAATACTTTCATTCCAAGGTATTAGTTACCACAGACTGACTGACTGAAGGATGCATAACATGAAATGTTTTTAAATGTTTACTATTCTGGACTACATTTTGCGAAGTAAAATTTTAGCGTACATTTGACATTCTGATTGTTTTTTCTAAGATCTATTTTATTCACGAAAGTGGACGAATGGGCCTCAGTTTGAATAGTGGGAAGACTGAAGTAATGGTGGTATCAAAGACAATAATTATTCCTAAATGTGTAATAAAAGTCAGTTGTTTAATTTTGGGACAAGTACAGAAAATTAAGTATCTGGGCACATGGATAACATCAGAAGGAAGATGCATTACTGAAATAAGAAACAGAATAGGACAAGCAAAAACTGCATTTTATAAAATGAAGAACATCGTATGCAATATATCTTTGTCATTGAAGGTTAGAAAAAGAATTCTTGCTTGCTACATACATCCAGTTTTAACATATGGCTATAAGTCCTGGACAATCGGTAGGCAGGCCAAACAATTTATTGAGGCCTAAGAAATGTGGTTTTACAGAACAATGCTTAAAATACCTTGGACAGCCCTCCACCACCACCACCACCCCTCCCCCCCCCCCCATGGTAACCAAGAGGTTTTGAAAGAGGCGGGAGCCCGAATACAACTACTCACAGACATCAGAAGACGACAGTCATCATTTTTCGGCCATGTTATAAGATGAGGAAAGATGGAACAAGTGGTGACCACTGGAAAGATATGTGGAAGGAGAGATAGAGGAAGACACGAGAGAAGATTCTTGACAGTCTTGTTGCATGGCGTGGAGGTGTGTCAGCACACAAACTAATGCATGCTGCAGGAGATCGCAGATTGTGGCGAGGCATAATCGCCCATGCCAGTCGGCAAAGCACCTGATGATGATGATTCACTCTTCATATTCGTATTCGGCCGAATAGTGAAAATCACTATTCGGTACAGCCCTAGTTTGTACACTCTTTAAACTTTGAATATAAGTTGTTGTTTTCCATTATGTGTGGCAGACAGGGAGACAACTCTGATATTTGTACACTCTAAATCTTGAATATAAAATGTTACTTTTTTATTATATGTGGGAGACAGGATTCATTTGTACACGCTTTCAACCTTAAATATAAAATGTTATTGTCTCTTCTGTGTGACAAACGAGAAACATCTAACATATCTTGGTGTCATTTGTTCACTTTCAGATTTAAAATGTTACTAATTTCCTGTGTTTGACAGCTGCAGGATCCACCAAGAAGGAAGGCACAGGAGGAAGGGAGGTCAAAATGAAATCAACAAAGAAGAAGACTCGAAATCGAGACCATGATGAAGGCTCCGATGATGAAGTGACGACTACTTCTACATCAGATAAGGGAAAAGGTCAGGAGTCGCATTTCATGAGCACCCAAGAGATAGAGAAAGTGAGTGACATGGGAATTTCTTTCAACTGGTTTTGTTCATTCATAGTTTTGAGTGGGAAACATGTTTATTCATTCATAGTTTTGAGTGAAAATCATGTTTATTCATTCATAGTTTTGAGTGAAAATCGTGGTTATTCATTCATAGTTTTGAGTGAAAATCGTGGTTATTCATTCATAGTTTTGAGTGTAAAACAAATTTTACTATTTATAGTTTTGAGTATGAGTCTCATTTATTCATTCATAGTTTTGAGTATGATGATGTGTAATCCATAATTTTTTTAAATCAATTTTAGATGGTATTACAGCTGTTGAGGATCCATGTGTTTGAGATGTGAAATTTATAATTCTTCTGTACTCTTATGTTTGTGTGTGTGTGTTTTTTTTTTAAATGAGTTTTGGGCTCTTGCTTGGTCATTAAAGAAACAAATTGGAACTTTTGAGTTGAAATGTTACAGAAAAATTCTTAGAATGCCCTGGACCAGGTAGAAGAAAAACATTGAGATCCTACATGATCTGAGCCTCAAGAGGATTTGGCTCATAAACAGCATCCTCTCCCGAGAGGTGGGGTATTTTGACATGGAGAGAACGGTGATGGGGGATAGTTTTTGGAAAATAATGCAGAGGTGGACCTCGACGAAGGTTAATACAAGACATTGAAGATGCATTGGCTATGAAAGCACATTGGGCTCAAGAATTGGCTAGAGAAAGAGGGACTCAGATGTGCTATGACAAGAGCAGTGTTCTGTAGAGGGCCTCCTAATTGATGATGTTTGAGATATTAAAGCATTATTTCTCAATTTATAGGGAGTTGGTGGCTGGACACCCGCTTGTGGATCAGAAGGCCGTGGGTTCGCGTTCTGACTGAGCCAAACTTTTTTTTTTTAATGACCTTGACTCCCAGGTTGACTCAGCATTGAGTGGGTACCAGGTGTGGTCCTGGGAATTAAAGGGGGCTGAAAGTGATTCTGACCACATCACCCATCAAGTGCCGTTGGTCTATACAAATCTAGGTCTAGCCGTGTATTCCCAATAGGCCTAAAGGCATGATAAAGGCACCTTTACTTTACTTTTATCACTCTATAAGGAGGCTGTTATAGAGATGCACATACAAAAACCTGTCTGGTATTACCAAACTAACGGATGGTGGCAGTGTGGCCAGACATTTCGCCTGCCACCCCAAAGGTCTTGGGTTTAGAATTGCATTAAGTTGGAATTTTCAAATTGACATTGGCCGTCATCACAAGCCGTTGTGTTGTAGGTGGCTGGACACTTACCTGTGGGTCTGAAGGTCGTGGGTTCACATTCAGATGATCCCTAACTTGTTTCTTAAAAAAATGGCCTAGGATCCCAGTCTACCCAGCCTTAAATGGGTACCAGGTAAAATCCTGGGAAGTAAAGGCAGTTGGCATGACATTGACCACATCATCCATTCAGTGCAAATTGATCTAGCACTACATGCCCAGTACGTCCGAAGGCCTGGAGAAGGGTCCTGAACTCTCATCTACTCATAAAAAGGATACCAGGAAATTACTTGGGAAGTAAAAGGAGCTAGCTTGATGTTCACCACATCACTTAACAAGTGCCAGTTGGTTTACAAAGAGTTCTTTTGTTTAGATAACTAAAAAAGGCTGCATGAACAAGAAGACTTTTGTAGACTGCATTTTTGTCTATGAAACCACAGTTGGTGTCTAGGAAATGTGATGTTCTGATGTTTGCCACAATGTTTCTCACAGGTCTTGAAGTCTCAGGACCGCTTGAAGGACTGCCCGCAGGAACTTATATCTGAAATAGCATCCAGGTTACACAGGTATGTTCTGGAGCAGTGTTTCTCAACCTGTTTACATCCGCAGCCCACTGGTTGAAGAACACTGTTAAAGGGGATATTGCTTATTCCAGATCTCTGGCTGATGTGTAATCTGACAGCCAAAAGGTGTCTTCTAAAGGTTTTGACTGAGGCTTAGGCCCAGAGATGACTTGTCACAAACATCATAAAGAAACATGTATAATGTTGTTTTTTTTTTTTGTTAACATTATGAGGGAAAAAAACTAAACTGGAACATGTAGTGACCATTGGAAGGACAGGTGGAAGAAAACAATGAGGTATGATTCTTAAATCCTTTTGTCGTGGCAGGGGAGAGTGTCAGTGTACAACATACTGTTGGAGATTGCAGCTTATTACTTCATGAAGATAATGAATGTGTCTCAAGTATGTTTCTCCAAAGGCTGGCCATACTTCTCACTACAGACATCTCTGGCTTGGCCGTGTAATACAGTAGTTACTTTTTGAGTAAGATTTAAGAACTGACATCAGAGCACTTGGGAAAGTTTCGTAAGTGTTCCCTCTCCATCTTGACAGCCAGCACAGAAATCTCAGTGATACCAGTAGAAGTTTTCTTCTTCTTCTTCTTCTTTGCATTCACCAGTTGTAAACTTTGGTGGACAGTTTTGGTTGTTCATCCACTTCTGGACTTAAGTCTTGTTACAGAACCTGAGTTTTGCATACCTGTCCTTTGTACAGATCTGAATAGTATCTTGTATTTGTGGCCTGGGTAATCACTGAATGTTCCTGTTAGTTTGTTATTATGTCTTTCCCTTTATGTCTGGGTCGTTTATGTTGGTCTGGCTGAGGGTTCTTTATGCCCTCCAACTGAGTGTGCTTCCTGTTGTTTGACTGAGATTTGTTGTCACTACAAGAATGGCTGGTGAGTCCAGTTTGGGCCTGGAAGGTTCTTGAACAGTCTAGACAGTAAGTGGAGGTTACAGGAAAGGTGGGGCTCTTTTGCCATACAAAAGTATCATTGATGGAGAACCTTCTTCCTGTTGTTTAGACCACTGACCAGACAGTACCAAGAGGTGGCCAAGTCTATCTTTTTAAAGAACTCAGGTACAGACCGCAAGAAGACAGCCCTGGAGATTCAAGACCGGATCAATGGGCTCTGGGTCAATGCTCGTCTCTTTGAGAAGGGTATACAGCTCTGGGAGGGTACGTTCCATTTTTTATTTTATAACTGTTGGTGCACATGCACTCACTTGCCAGCCGGGAGGTCTAAAGTTTAAATTTGCATTAAGGGGGAATTTGTTTTCCTCCTGAATTCATCTTGTGCCAGGTCAGTCCATACTTGAAATGAACACTTGGAGAAGTAAAGGCAGCTAAAATTATCTTGGCCACATGCAGAGTGCTGATTGGTCTATAAAACCCTAGTTGTTGGCACTTTGCCATCTTTCCTGATGATAGTGGTATATTGCGCTGTAGTTTGACCTAGCCTAAAATGGGTAAAGGTAAAGTCCTGGGAAGTAAAGGCAGCCGGCATGATGTTGACCACATTGCCCAGGCAGTGCCGATTGGACTGTAAAATATAGTTCTAGTCCAAAGGCCTGAAGGCTTGGACCAGGGTCCCTTTTTTTTTTTAACTATCCCTAAAATTCAGCTAATAACAAAAAGATCTACAAATGGCTAAGAGCCAGGGTAGCAAGAGTGGTTAGATTTGCATAATGGTCATATGGTTAAATCCACAGCGTTAGCCTAAAATGTGTACCAAAAAATGTTATGAAAAGTAACAGCAGCTGAAAAACAGCACTGATGCTGACCATTACAATACCATAGCTGTTTATGAGATACTGTTCAAATCTGGGTTTTCATATTGTTGTGATGTTATAAAGAACTTATGATGATGTCCCTTTGCTTTCTGCAGCTGTGTCAACAAAACCCCTTTTTCTGGGTCCAAGGGAGGGAAAGCAGTTATTTATTTGCTGTCTTTATGTTTAGTGAATTATTTCCTTCATATTGAAAAGAAAAAAAAAATCACCTTTTCATAAAGTAATGACTCTAAGTATTAAGAATCTAGTATTTTAAGGGACTGGGGTTGTCGTCATGATGCAATAGCTAGCATGCTTGCCTGTCTGCTCTGTGGTCGTAAGTTTCAACTTCCTGTGTTTTTATATAAGCTAACGAAGACTCCAGATTTCTTCTTTTCTCTTTCTCTATTTTCTTGGGGCTGAGTTACAGAGAATTTATAATGAGGCATTTTTTTAAACAAGATTTATAAAAAAAATAAAAATTAAAAAAAATTTTGGGAGTATAATTTTTATTTTTTTATTTTTATGGGGGGACAGGGTTAAGGGAAAACCAGAGAAGAAGAAGAAGAAGAAATGTGGGTTAATGGCATTTGTTTATTGCTGCTTTGAAGCATTTTTTGACATTTTTAAGTATGTTTGATAAGAACTTGTTTCTGTGATGTGTGTCCTACAGATCCAGTACATAGCCAACTGGTGAAGCATTTGCTGAAGACACTGGGAAATGATCTGGCCAACGCGGTTGTTGTGGCTCTGGCCATGGATCACATGGTCAGTGTGTCAGTGACAGAGGAACAGCTAACTCCAGATGTGAGGCTCAGTCTCTACCCTTGGATTTCTCATCTCTCTCCACTTTCTCCTTTCCTCTTTCTGCTTCTTTATTTTTGTTTTTCACCTTATCCTGTCCCACTCCACTCTCTTTGCCCACCCCCCCCCCCCCCCCCGCCCCCACATCTTTCCACATTTTCCTGTAATGACTCTCTTATTGCAGTCAGACAAGACAGTTTCTCTCTTCAGTCAACTCAAATGAAATGGTGAATCATTATCAGCTGCATGTTTCAGTGTCATACATTATGAGGCATCACCCCTCGAGTACCAGTGGGTCTATAAAAATATGGGTCCAGCACCATATGTCTAATGTCCCAGTTAGGGTTGCCAGTTTTTGTAAAATATAAAAATGGAGTTATGACGCGTTTATTTCTAATGACATTTTCCACTACTAATAAGCTATAAAATATAATAATCAGCATACAAAATTTACTTCATAGGAACAAAATTTAGTCCCAAAAGAAAAAGGATGAATCCACGTAAAACAGAGTATCTCGCAATTCTAGGCTAGTGGAGTAAAAGGTTCTTTATGTACGTTATGATGATGACCTGGAGGTAACAAATGATGTTCTTGATTTAACTCTGCGATGTAATACTCATATACTTTCCTATACACAGACTCGCCTCAGGCTAATAACTACCCTGCCCAAAGATATACAGGAGCAGTTGACCAAACTGCATGTCAGCCTGAATGGACAGAGCCTGGAGGATTTCTTCCATCAGTTGGAGCTGCTGTGTGGTCCGGCCCATCTGGGGATTCTTTTGAAGAAACCAGACAAGCGGAAGGAGAGGTAAGCATTGTTTGCTTACTTGTCAACTTTTTTTTTTTTTTTAACTTTTTTTTTTTGTAAAGCTGACCCACGCTTCACTGTTCCTTTAACCCTTTTTGTCCCATGAATGCTTGGGGGGGGGGGGGGGGGGGGGGAATTTTAAGAAAAACTGTTTTAGACAAATGGTTTACGCAGGTCATTAATCATTCTTAGGTTTTTTTTTTGGTTTGATTTTTTTAAATTTACATTTGCAATTTTTTTTTTTATCAGTGTATATATATATATATATATATATATATATATATATATATATATATATATATATATATATATATATATATATATATATATATATATGTATATGTATAAATACACACATACGTACGTATGAGACATACATACATTCATTGAATTTTTACAAAATTTAAACACACATATATATAATTTACACAAAAAAACTTTATTAATCACACACATTTATAAAGAGGAAGTCAATAAACATGAACAGAGTGAAGCGTTAATTCAAATACACTTGTAAGGGTGTAAAAACAAGATGTATCAGGTGACTCATGCCATGACCCTGTGACCTCCATCACTGAGGCTGAATGAAAATTTGACATCAGATGGGCTTTCTTAAAGCTATTGGGGTCATACATTACTGTACTGATATCGTAACCTATTAAACACCATGCAGGTGCACATACTTCTTCTTCTTCTTCAGCATTCCAAGCCCTTGAGGTTTGTTGCTGCAGATATCACCCGCCTCCATTCATCTCTCTGGTCGGCCTTCTCTTTCCAGTTGGTGACACTTAAAGTGTGTTGCAGGTCTGTCTGGATATTATCTCTCCTTCGTCCTTTTGGTCTTCCTCATGGTCTACCACCATTCATCTCCCTAATGTATAAATTGTTTACTTCTCTGTCATCTACATTCTTTCAATATGCCCCAACCATTTAAGTGCACATACAACCAGTGGAATTTAACTACGCTTTTCAAGAATAGGTCACTGCAGAGATAGCCATATATTGGCATTTATAAACACGTGGCACAACCAAAAGTAGCTACATTTAAGCTTCTTAACATGAAAGGGTTGAGGATAGAGCTGCAACAGGTCCATCAAATGGTAGTGGGTTCAAATGTTTTTAAACAATTGCTCATGTAATTGTATATGTAACACCAGAGAAAACTAACCGGCTGTGAAATTAGATGCCTGAGAAATGGTGGAAACAAAACCAGAAGCAATCTTGTGAGACATGGAGAGATTAGAAGAACTGTTGGACTGCATGATGGAAATTAATTTTTTGTTTCAAGTCAACTTGTGCTGCGTGTATCAAGACAACTTGTACTATGTATCAAGACAATTTATGTTGTTTATCAAAGCTACTTGTGTTGTATATCAAGACAATTTATGTTGTGTATCAGTTAAACTTGTGCTATATATGAAGACAACTTGTGCTATGTATCAAGTCTACTTGTGCTGTGTATGAAGACAACTTGTTCTATGTATGAAGACAACTTGTTCTATGTATGAAGACAACTTGTGCTATGTATCAGGTCAACTTGTGCCGTGTATCAGGTCAACTTGTGCCGTGTATCAAGACAACTTGTGCTATGTATGAAGACAACTTGTGCTGTGTATCAGGTCAACTTGTGCTATGTATGAAGACAACTTGTGCTGTGTATCAGGTCAACTTGTGCTATATAAGAAGACAACTTGTGCTATGTAAGAAGGCAACTTGTGCTATGTATGAAGACAACTTGTGCTATGTATGAAGACAGCTTGTGCTGTGTATCAGGTCAACTTGTGCAATGTATGAAGACAACTTGTGCTATGTTTGAAGACATCTTGTGCTATGCATCAAGACAACTTGTGCTGTGTATCAAGGTTAACTTGTGCTATATATGAAGACAACTTGTGCTATGTATGAAGACAACTTGTGCTTTGTATGAAGAAAACTTGTGCTATGTATGAAGACAACTTGTGCTATGCAAGAAGACAACTTGTGCTATGTATCAAGACAACTTGTGCTGTGTATCAGGTCAACTTGTGCTATATATGAAGACAACTTGTGCTATGTATGAAGACAACTTGTGCTGTATATCAGGTCAACTTTTGCAATGTATGGAGACAAATTGTTCTATATATCAAGTCAAATTGTGCTATGTGTCATTCTGTGCTATGTATCAAGCCAACCTGTGCTATATAACAAGGCACATTTATATTCCATGTCTACCTCTGATTACTACCCTACTGACATCTCCCAGGCAACTTGTGTTCAACCATCGGCAGAGTTTGATTGAGCAGTTGAAAGATGAAACTGATCCAGCCATGTGCCTTCATCTGACCGCTGTCCTCCTGTTCCAAACAGTCACCCAGACCATGCTTCACATCCCAGGCAGGCTAGTGCCCAATGTGGTGCAGTACTTGAGCTCTCACTTGGATGCGGACAAAGTTGCAGTTCTAGCAGAGATGCAAGGTTGTATGCTCTCCATGTCTGTTTGATGTAGAGTTTAGTCGAGAAACATTACATTTATCATCCATAACAATGCCCATTTTGGTCTCAAGACTCAGTGAAGGGAAAACCCCAACTGCACCTCCACGCGGTAGAGGACAGTAAACACACTGCGGTGTGGCCAACACAGCCATGGGGACCGAGTATCCGCCGGGATAAGTGGAAACCTCTAGGATGCCCTCTGCTGTTAGCAAGAGCATCACAGAGTGGGGCACTCACTTGCCCTAGCAATCAAAAAGGTTGAGAACATGGTCTAAAGCCAAGTGGATGTGGAAAGCAATGGGAAACTACCACATTACTATCCCAAGAAACTCATCTTGGAAGACAAAAGTGAAACTCAAAGATCTGATGGTGTGGCCCCTAGGCCAGGCAGATCACAAACGCGAACTGGGGAAGAGAACGATGGCAGAGCAAGTAAAGGGTAGTTGTGATGACGGCCTTAAGCCCGACGATACTACAACAGAAAACTCTGTCACCGCCCTGAAGAAAACTTTACAGTTAGGAACATGGAATGTTAGGAGCATGTATCAGGGAAAACTTAGCATCGTTGGCAGCGAATTAGAAATGAATAAAATAGATATACTAGGAATTTCTGAACATAGATGGGCGGGTCAAGGCCATTTTGTGACTCAAACAGAAGATACATTTGTTTATTCAGGAAAGGAAAAGAGTGGTTTGAGCGGGGTGGGTTTTCTGATGACAAGAATTTTCGAACAGAGTAAAGGGAATATAAAATTTAATACTGTCTGTCCAAAAGCACAGTGAAGATCAAAATCTGTTTTTGAATTTAAAGAAAACGAAAATAATGTCCACTGATAAAACTGGCTGTCACCCAAAAATAACAATAAATGATGAAGAAATTGAAAATGTCACAAACTTTAAATATCTAGGCTGTATAATAAACAACAATGGAGTCTGTTCAACAGAAATTAAAAGAGGATGGCCATAGCAATGCAAAGATTGAACAGCCTTAAAAGTCTATGGTTAAGCACCAGCAAGGAGATAAAAATTAGAATTTTGTGGCTACATAAGGATGTGAGTCGTGGACTATTTCTCAGTCTTTAAGAAAGAAAATAGGGGCGTTAGAGCTGAAATGCTATAGAAAGATTCTCAGAGTATCTTAGACAAAGAAGATGAGAAATATTGACATCTTAAAAGATCTGAACATCAAGGAAGATTGGCTAATAAACAGCATCCTTTCTCGAAAGCTGAAATATTTTGGTCATATCGCCACGACGGATTGGAAAAAATTATAGCAGAAGGCTTGGTACCAGGAAGGAGGGGCAGGGGCCGACCGACACGAAGATGGGCACAGGATATAAGTGACTCCTTGAGTGTGAAAGTGCATGAGGCGGGAGAACTGGCGAGGGACTGAGTTTCTTTCAGGCAGACTGTGATGAGAGCGACGTTCTGCAAAGGACCTGCTACATGATGATGATGACAATGCCCATAATGTTTAGATTTTATGTAATTTATATTTATGCCTTTTGTGTTCACCCTTAAAAGTGTGGTTGGCACAGTGCTTGGTTGCCATATCTGCTTTTTTCTGCTCAACACATTTAATGTTAATAAACCCTTAATTAATTACCTTGTTGGGGGGGGGGGGGCAGGGGGGACGATGGGTCCATTCTCTTTCTGCCAAAATGGGATCCTGGAATCCATGGGGGTGGTAAATTAATGGGGATTGCATAGTTTGTTTCCCCCCCCCCCCTCCCTGATGGTGTCCTCACCTTAACGAGGTGGGGGGGGGGGGGGGCTTGAGTTTCTCTGTGACTCTTAAGAGTTCTGGCGGCAGTCTTATAGCTACCTACAAAACCTCTTAAGCTGGCCAGGTCAGAGGGTGCAGAAGAGACTGACACCCCCCACCTTTGTAAAACTTCATCATGAAAATCTAAGCCTCAGAATCAGATGGATTTTTAAAAAGTTGAACTTGAGGCAAACCAACAAAACAATAGGAGAGACCTTCAATTACTTTGAGTCACAAATGGGAAAGATAAAGTTAAAAGTTGTTCACAGAAATTAATGGAGACAGGCTGTGTCTGCAGCCATGAACAGGGAGCTCGGATGACTGAACAAGCAGCTTCCCATATCATATAAGTTGATGCACATTCTAACATGTAGATTTTAGTTATGTGATTCCTATATATGTAGGACCAAAAAAAGGGGAGACATACTGACATCTTGAAAGATCTGAACATCGAGGAAGATTGGCTAATAAACAGCATTCTGTATCAGAAGGTGAACTATTTTATTTTGGTCATATCAAGCACCATGACGGATTGAAAAAAATATATCAGAGGGCATGGTAACAGGAAGGAGAGGCAGGGGCCGACCATCACGAAGATGGGCATAGGATATAAGTGACTCCTTGAGTGTGAAAGTTAATGAGGCGGGAGAGCTGGCAAGAGACCGAGTTTCTTTCAGGCAGACTGTGATGAGAGTGACGTTCTACAAAGGACCTGGTACATGATGATGATGGTTCCTATATATCATCAGTAGATGCATTTTCTAACATGTAGATTTTAGTTATATGATTCCCAAATGTTACGTTATCGCAATCAACGTCACTGCACATTGGGCATTCCCATACATGCTCAGTCCTTCAATGCAGCAGCCACTGATTGTTATCATGAGAAGTTAGTTAAAGTTTCTTCTGTCTTGACCTTGAAGATGGCATAGACGTGCTCTACCAAGCTTTACTCCTATGTCACCATGTATCATCAGTATGTACACATTCTGGTAAAGACGTGGATACAATAGAGACAACAGGGTAAAACCATTGGCTATAGGTTCAGTCATAGCCACACCTGATTGGGGATATAATAGAGACAGCGGGGTAATAACATTGGCTATAGGTTCAGTCATAGCCACACCTGATTGGGGATATAATAGAGACAGCGGGGTAATAACATTGGCTGTAGGTTCAGTCTTAGCCACACCTGATAGGTTCAGTCATAGCCACACCTCATTGGGGATATAACAGAGACAGCGGGGAGAATAACATGTGGCGAGAAGCTCAGTCAACTTCTGATGGGGGAGATTACAGAGACAACAGGGAGAATAACACTAGCTAGAGGTTGACTCATAGCAACATTTGATGGGCTACTTCATTTTTTAAATCTGTGTGACCCTTCTAGTAACAGATGTTTTTTTACTCTCGCAGACTTGATTGTGAAACATGCCAAATTGAAAGCCAGCTCTGAGGATGACCATGAAGCAGAAATTGCCACCATTGCCAGCGCCATGGCCGATCTCATGGATAAAGTCAAGGAGATTGCTGTCACATCTAAGAAATCAAACACGACCTCAGATGACTAACTCTCTCCTCCTCCATACATCTCCCACCACACTAACCCCTCAGTGGAGGCATACAAAGGAAGCTTTACTACGAATTAAGAAATGTTAGTCTTTAGTCATTCTAAATTATGTACAGTGACGGCAAATCAAATGGTTCACCCACTTATATGTGCTGCCACACCATACAAGACATGCACCAACCAAGGAGAAGGACACAGAGCACAAGGTGGACAAGAATAATATGGAAAGATAACATTAAAGAAACTCTACAATAGCACAATGTATTTGTAGTTGAGGCGCACAAAACAGAACCTTGTATCTCTCTCGACCCCCGATGCAAGGAAAGAAGAATTAGAACAAGTCTTTAAGTCATGGTTCCAACTTCACATGAGTTCCCATAATTGCTGTATTCCTGTGCCGGTGAAAATCACACACAATTCATCTGACTGTCCCAATTGATAACTGATAAAACAGATCCATCCTGGCAAAATCCAGAAGCTTGTACGCATAGTATATGCATAAGGCAGCCACCATAGATGCCAAAACCAACAGTCTGCCACCATTCACTGCTGATGGAGGCATTCTTGACATAATAGAAGTTGCATGTGCAATATACAAGAAATGTCCTAGATACTAAGGGATTTTACTTAGTTCAAGAGTTGTCAAACTTATGCTTTCTGAATCAATTTTGCTGGAAGCTTGCACATCCATTAAACGCATAAGGCAGTCGTCAGATGCCGTCACCAACAGTCTGTCATTGTTCATTGTTAATGGAAGCAGTCATGATAAACTTACAGACAAGCAATACACACGAAATATGCTAGATAGTAAGGGATTTTACTTAGTTCAAAAGTTTTCGTGCCTTTGATTTTTCAGTAACACTCGGCCTTTGTCCTCAGTGTTTATCAAATGATTTTTCTGTTTTCTATCTTTTTTTTCTTTTCTTTTTTTTTCTTTTATTTTTCAGTTTTTGGGTTCACTGTTAGCTTTCCTCAGGATTACCTTTACACTTTACTGTCACTACTTCAGTCTGCATTTACCGCTTTCTTTTGCAGTTTAGACAAGTGGGTCGTGAGCCTGAGATTTTGGGGCCACATGGCTAGTGCTGTCACCACGGACTGTGAAGCTTAGGATGCTAATTTTGCCCCTGACAGAAAAACTCTGTCACCTTGCCGGGATTTCAAACTCAGGTCTTTCGTGTGTTAGCCTGACATTGTAACTGCTCGGCCGGTGCACACAAAATTTGAAATTCAAGACTGATTGTAGTGCCCACTTTGTTTTGGATTTGAATGAATACTTTAGATGGCGTCAGATCTAGGGATTGTCATCTTATGCCATTGCAAGTGTGATAATGTGTCTGCTCAACCACTTGTCCAAAGAAATACACAAATTACTTAGTCCATGTCTCAGTGAGTGAGTGTGTGTTACCTGGCTTAGTCCATGTCTCAGTGAGTGAGTGTGTGTTACCTGGCTTAGTCCATGTCTCAGTGAGTGAGTGTGTGTTACCTGGCTTAGTCCATGTCTCAGTGAGTGAGTGTGTGTTACCTGGCTTAGTCCATGTCTCAGTGAGTGAGTGTGTGTTACCTGGCTTAGTCCATGTCTCAGTGAGTGAGTGTATATTACCGCGGAAGACTTGGACTAACCAGCATGTATTTTCTGTTTGTGCAGCAGGTGATACATTTGCAGATCAGCTGTTGGGCAATCAGAAGAACATTCCAGTTAGTCTGAGACTTTCATGTTAACACATTCAGTGAAACAATGGACTGTGGGTTTGTAAATGTCACTTTACAGAGTTCTCTTTTTTAGAATTCTAAATTTTCTTCTCCTCTACTTCACTTCCACTTTTACCGCTTCAGGTTTCGAGGAAGATATCAAGTTCTGCTTCTTGATCTTTTGACCGCCTCGACTATAAACACGCTATGCTGTTGTAGAGTTTCTGTTTTGTCATCTTTCCATCTTGTTCTTGGTCTACCTCTTGGTCCTTGTCCTTACCCTGTTAGTGTATGCCATGTATAGTATGGTGTTACATAGCATTCTCTCTAAGTGGGCAGACTTTTTGATTAGCGGTCCTTGTGTGTACTTTAGAATTGGTTTCTCTGATGACCTCATTCCTGATTTTATATATTCTGATCACTCCTGTAGCCCTTCTCAGACATCCCATTTCCATGTTTACTAACTTTGTTTATAACTTCTGCAGTTGAGAATACAGTGAGGTATACAATTCCAAATATTGTCAATAATAACCTGTAAGATTATGGGTGGTTTGATGGCTGGACACACCAGGAAAGAGCTGGTCACAGGATATGCATTGTTTAGGGCTGAATGAAGTCTATTTGTATTCCTTTTTGGGTTTTTGCTTCAAGCTGTAAGATATCTCCCTTTGGGAGCGAGTGAATAGTGCATCGGCATTTAAAAAATCAGTGCGGTCTGAAGAGAATGGTGCAACAAGTAGTGACCAAAAGATCTAGTCAACACTTAACACAAGACAAAATGGATATACAATTAGATTGTTACTGTTACCATTGAAGTTGGGACTCTGCTTGCTGCCGAAGATGGGGATGGTACGCTGATGGGAATGTCCAAAGTGCTGTGATGTCAATTCTTGAAACTCAACTGTAAGTCATCTGTTTATATTTCTTTGGGGTTCATCTTCACTTTCTTTCATCTTCGCTTTCTCTTTTACCACTTTGGGTGTCGAGGGAGACATTAGATTCTGCTTCTTGCTCTTCTGACTGTCTTGACCACAGATATATCGTGCTATTGTGAAGTTTCTCTGATGTTATCTTTCCATTTTTTTCTTGGTCTACCTTTTGCTCTACATTCTGTCCTCTTTTGGTGCTTGCAGTCTTATGGTATGGCCTGCAGAGTTCTTCACATCAAAGTGTTATTCTTTATCCATTGTACTGTTAAATTGTTTTACAGCTATAAATATTCCTCATCAGTTGTTACATAGAAACCGTTAAAAATGTATTACTTTATTGCCATTTTTGGATTGGGTTATGTATATTTCTGTCCATTTTATTGTTTTTGTCATTTTAAGGGAAGGAGTTTTATTAAGTTAATAATTGTGATTTCAGTGGGGTTTTTCATTTTATTTTGTGCACTTATGTTTCCATATAATTATTTGTGATTATTATATATTTATGCTCACTGAAGAGAATATGAATTGTGTTTCATTAATTATTATTGTTTGTTCAAAAGAAAAAAGTTAAAATACCCTATTTACTCCAGAGATGTGTACTGGATAGATGATGATGAGCAGTGTGTGCTAGATTCTACAGAGGTCTGGTTACCGCCAATGTAAGTGACCTGTTCATGTTTGTTGTAGGCGACGTAAGGAGTGCAGTCTCTTGTGGCTGTGTGAAAGTTGGAGAGGAAGAGAGGCTGTGGGAAACCAAGAGAGAAGATGTTACGAGTAGTTTGCTTCAGAGCTATTCAACTGGCGGCCTATGGGCCAAATCAGGCTCGCAGATGCCTGATAAGTAGCTCACGAATCAGTCCAATTGTATTGTATTAATGATTTTTTTTTTTTTTTGCAGAGGCTTGGGCCACTGGCCCCTGACGATTCATATTTTCACAGTTTTGGCCCCTAGGTTGAATAACCGTATTTTTACATCATGGCATGGCCATAGTTGCTGCTTGGTTCAGAAACTTGGACAATGAACAGGTGGCTAGACAATTGAAACTACTCTCCAGAAATATGGATATACAGAAGAGTAGATTGTATTTGATGGGACAAACACAATCAGATACAGAGGTTTTGAAGAGACTAAGTGAAAAGTTACTGAAAGAAATACAAAAGAGACAATTTAAATATTTTGGCCACATTTACAGATATAACACTCTTTTAAAATTTTTACTGGAGGTAAAGTCAAGGGCAAGAGGTAGATAACGATACAAATTGGAGGGCAACATCAAGAGATTGACGAATGGTAGTCTGAGAGAGTTTATAACCAAGGCAAGAAAAAGTACATCTTGGAGATCCGTAGCTGCCAACCTTCATTATGGGGACAGCAACTGACTCATCATGGCAAGGAAGAAAGTATGTATCAGACGTTTGATGATAATGACATAAAAAGCATGGACTGTAAGACAAGCTGCACAACAAGACTAAATTCTGTAAACAAATGCTACAAGACAAAATTCTGTCAACAAATGCCACAAGAGATAAACTACTGGCGAGACAAAATTCTGTCAACAAATGCTACAAGACAAAATTCTGTCAACATATGCCACAAGAGATAAACTACTGGCGAGACAAAATTCTGTCAACAAATGCTACAAGACAAAATTCTGTCAACAAATGCCACAAGAGATAAACTACTGGCGAGACAAAATTCTGTCAACAAATGCTACAAGACAAAATTCTGTCAACATATGCCACAAGAGATAAACTACTGGCGAGACAAAATTCTGTCAACAAATGCTACAAGACAAAATTCTGTCAACAAATGCCACAAGAGATAAACTACTGGCGAGACAAAATTCTGTCAACAAATGCTACAAGACAAAATTCTGTCAACAAATGCTACAAGACATAAACTACTGGCGAGACAAAATTCTGTCATCAAATGCAATAAGACATAAACTACTGGTGAGACAAAAGTCCGTCAACAAATGCTACAAGACATAAATTACTGGCGAGAAAAAAGGATGTTAACAATTGTAATAACAAATGCCACAAGGCATGAACAACTGGCGGACAAACAACTGTTAACAAATGAAATAACAAATGCCACAAGGCGTGAACTACTGACGAGACAAACAACTGTTAACAAAAGTAATAACAAATGCCACAAGGCGTGAACTACTGGCGAGATAAACAACTGTTAACAAATTTAATAACAAATCTCACAAGACATGAACTACTGGCGAGACAAACAACTGTTAACAAATGTAATAACAAATGCCACAAGACAGGAACTACTGGCGTGACAAGCAAATGTAATAACAAATGCAACAAGTCATGAACTACTGGGTAGACAAACAACTGTTGACAAATGTAATAGCAAATGCCACAAAACATGAACTACTGGGTAGACAAACAACTGTTAACAAATGTAATAACAAATGCCACAAAACATGAACTACTGGGTAGACAAACAACTGTTAACAATTTTAATAACAAATGCCACAAGACATGAACTACTGGCGAGACAAACAACTGTTAACAAATGTAATAACAAATGCCACAAGGCCTGAACTATTGGCGAGACATACAACTGTTAACAAATGTAATAACAAATGCCACAAGACATGAACTACTGGTGAGACAAACAACTGGTAACAAATTTAATAACAAATGCCACAAGGCGTGAACTACGGCGTGACAAACAACTGTTTACAAATGTAATAACAAATGCCACAAGATGTGAACTACTGGCGAGACAAACAACTGTTAACAAATGTAATAACAAATGCCACACGGCATGAACTACTGGTGGGACAAACAACTGTTAACAAATGTAATAACAAATGCCACAAAACATGAACTACTGGCTGTTCCATAAGTTTCCATACACAGGAAAATAAATTTTTATTATTTATTTATTTAAAAAAGGTGGTTTTTTTTTTTTGCTACCATAGTTTTGGAAACACATATGTGAAAAACATGTGCGAGACAGCTGGAGTTATTTGTGGTGTTGGTGATGTGTTTATTCGACGCGGCTTTGTGCATATTCTGAGCAGAATGGGTCATCCTTCTGATTCTTGGAAATAATCTGTAATACAAATTCTAGCAGTTATGAAAATAATCAACTTGCTTAACTTTCTGTGTAAGAAATGAGGCAGGTTGCTACAAAGACTTTACCCTCCCTCCCCCTTGTGCCCAGCCAACCCATCCTCACCAGACAGACACTTGGGGAGAAAGGAAGTTTCCATAAACTTTCAGCCCCCTCCCCCCTTCCCAACAATTTAAATGTTGGAAGTCATTCACCCCCCCTCCCCCAAACCACTGTATACATCTTCTTCTTCTTTCCTCTACTCCTGGAATGCCTGGTCGGAGTCAGGGCAAGAAGAGATCTCTGGAACGGACCTTCCATTCGCTTTTTATAAAGTACTTTTATGTGTCTCTGATATTTCTTCAGTCCATGCTTTGGGTGGTCTACCTCTGGCTCTGTTACCGCTGTATCTGTATAACACTGCTTTCTGTGGTGCCCTGTCTGCTGCCAATCTTGTTACATGACCAAACCATTTGATTTGTTGTCGACCTATAAAGTTCACTATTGGTTTATGTATTTTCGAGGCAAATAATTGGGGGGGGGGGGGGGGGCTCGGGTAATTGTTTATACATTTCATATTACTTTATACATACTATAATATTTACTTGCCATTTAACATAATATTATTAATGTGCTGAACGCTGGAACCCACATGGGTATAGAAATAAAGACAGACCCCCACAACAACACATGGACAAGGTAGCTAGAGAGTTCAGTTAACCTGGCGAGAGCTGCATGCTACAGCGAAGGATAGAATAACTTGGCTGAGTTGATTGAGTGCCTATGCTCCATTTGGGGATGGAAGGTAGAAAAAGAATGTGCTGAATAGCAAATGCATATAAAATACTTGGAATGATATGAAATGTGTAAACACATTCTTTATGGAAAATTTCTATACATGTCTAAACAGGCTTACAAAGTTATAGGGGAGGGGGACAGATAACCCCCTCCCCCCATAACAACAAAAAACTGGAGGTTTTAAGGGAACTGAACCCCCCAGGTGCCGGTGCCGATGTCAGAAATGATGATGTTCATTGGCCAGGTAACAGCAGCTTTCAAAAGCTTAATTCTAAATAAACTTTGAAAAGAGCTGTCATGGTCTAGCGGCTAGATGCTTGCCTGCTGTTCAGCAGGTCGTTGATTCGATTCCTGGTGAGGGCCGGATGTTTTTTTTTTTTTTTTTTTGGAAACATGACCTTGGCTCCCAGGTCAACCCAGCCTTGAGTGGGTACCAGATACAGTCCTAGGAAGTAAAGGCAGCCGGGGTGATGCAGGCCACATCAGTCACTAAGTGCTGTTTGATCTATAAAATATAGGTCTAGCCCTATATGCCTGAAAGGCGTGGAAAAGGGTTCTTTTCGTTACCTTTTATATAATTTTAAAGCTAAGTTACTTATTTTAACAATTTTTTTTTATTTAACACTGGTTAAAGTTGCAGCACCAGTTACAAAATGGAAGGAAAATTAAATTTTTTTTAGAAAAAAAAAAAGCCTAGGGACATTGATGGATACTAAATGGGAATTTTTTGTTTCTTAATTTTAAATATATTGAATAAATAATAGTCTGGACAACAGTTACACACAAAAAGAGGATGACAATATGTTGGGCACATCTTGAGGACACGCACACTGAGAATCACCAAATAGAAATCTAGAAATCACCAATGAAATAAGAAATAAACACAAAATTGAGGAAATGAGGACGTCAAAAACGAAACCCCAAGACAAAAAATTGTGGGAGATCAAAAGTATTGGACTGCATTCCATCTATGATATTGACAGAACTGCACAGGACAGAATGTAAGGATGATATGTGGATACACTTATATGAGACGTGGAAGAGGATGATGATAATGGTGACGGTTCTATGTTGGGGCGCTAAGGTGTGTAATGGCTAGTTCACTTGTGTGCTAGCCTGAAAGTCATGTATCTGAATCCCCGTCAAAGTGGGAAGTCAAAGCGCCATGATATCAACCACACTGACAATCAAACTCCAATCTGGCAAAACTGTCAATTACTGCCTGTATTTCCCATTCTGCGGTATAGGAGGAGGGGGAGGGGGGACGTTTGATGCTGATGATATAGGGTCACATCACTGTCGCCATGGACTGGACTTTTTTAGGAAGGAAGTGCGAGGGGCAGTTGCTCTATATATTTTTGACCTTGGCACCATATACCTAATTCAGCTTCAAGAAAGGGTCTTTAGTTTATTGTTTCAATTGGACAGTTACACCAGCCATCGAGTGCAATTTGGCCATGAAATCATGGACTTTAACCTAATGCTATGTCGGGTATACAGACTTTTTACTCCTCTTCTGCCCAGTAGACTGACTTATCTAATTACTCAAAAAGACTAGATCAAGTAATGTTGTCACTTCCTCATCATCAAGTGCTTTCTCGACTGGCATGTGTGATTATTCCTCTCCAGAATCTGTGATCTTCAATACCATGTATCAGTTCCTGTGCTGACACACCTCCATGCAATGTCAAGAGGCTGTCAATGATCATCTCGTCTGTTTCTCTTTCTACAGATCTTTCCAGTGGTCACAACATGTTCATGTTTCCCTCCTCTCATAACATGGCTAAAAATAATGACTGTCTGCTTTTGTCATCTGTGGTAAAACTTTTGCGTCCCTCGTCTTTCAAAATATTTGGATTTCTTGTTTTTACTGTCCAATATTTTTATAAGCATTCTTTTGAAAACCACAACTCTGAGGCCTCATTATATTGTTTGGCTTCTGTATTAATTATCCACAATTCACGGCTATGCGTTAAAATTTCTTGTTCTAACCTCTATGGACAAGGATTTTATTTTGAGTTAACTTCTTCTTATTTCATTCGCCTGAAATAAGTTGTATATGTCAGCAATTTTGTCTCTTGTATAAATTTCACTGTTGTTGTTAATTCATTCAGTGGTCCATAGAGTTTACTATCCACTGTTGTTCTTTCTGGCCAAAAGGTTTTCCTTAATGTGTCAAATTCGGTTCAGTCCTGCTGGTGCAGGTGCACATTGCTGATACGCCTATCTTAAATTTTTTTTTTTTTTTTTGAGTCAACTGGATACCTGAAAGAAAATGTGTAAAAACACCATCACCTTTATGTTTTTCTGCACATTTTTTCAAAGCATCTGCTGGACCTTTACAATAAGAGGGCTCCTCTACGAATCTGCAAACAGAATAATATATGTGATATAATAGAGACAACAGGGAGAATAACACCTGTTGGTGGGATATAGTAGAGGCAACAGGGACAACACCTGTTGGTGGGATATAGTAGAGGCAACAGGGACAACACCTGTTGGTGGGATATAGTAGAGGCAACAGGGACAACAACACCTGTTGGTGGGATATAGTAGAGGCAACAGGGACAACACCTGTTGGTGGGATATAGTAGAGACAACAGGGAGAATAACACCTGTTGGTGGGATATAGTAGAGGCAACAGGGACAACACCTGTTGGTGGGATATAGTAGAGGCAACAGGGACAACAACACCTGTTGGTGGGATATAGTAGAGGCAACAGGGACAACACCTGTTGGTGGGATATAGTAGAGGCAACAGGGACAACACCTGTTGGTGGGATATAGTAGATGCAACAGGGACAACAACACCTGTTGGTGGGATATAGTAGAGGCAACAGGGACAACAACACCTGGGTGTGGGGGGGGGTGGTGGATATAATAGAGACAACAGGGACAACAACACCTGTTGGTGGGATATAGTAGAGGCAACAGGGACAACAACACCTGTTGGTGGGATATAGTAGAGGCAACAGGGACAACAACACCTGTTGGTGGGATATAGTAGAGGCAACAGAGACAACACCTGTTGGTGGGATGAAGTAGAGGCAACAGGGACAACAACACCTGTTGGTGGGATATAGTAGAGGCAACAGGGACAACAACACCTGTTGGTGGGATATAGTAGAGGCAACAGGGACAACAACACCTGTTGGTGGGATGTAGTAGAGGCAACAGGGACAACAACACCTGTTGGTGGGATATAGTAGAGGCAACAGGGACAACAACCCCTGTTGGTGGGATATAGTAGAGGCAACAGGGACAACAACACCTGTTGGTGGGATATAGTAGAGGCAACAGAGACAACACCTGTTGGTGGGATGTAGTAGAGGAAATAGGGACAAAAACACCTGTTGGTGGGATATAGTAGAGGCAACAGGGACAAAAACACCTGTTGGTGGGAGGCAACAGGGACAACAACACCTGTTGGTGGGATATAGTAGAGGCAACGGGGACAACAACACCTGTTGGTGGGATATAGTAGAGGCGACAGGGACAAAAACACCTGTTGGTGGGATATAGTAAAGGCAACAATTCTCAAGAGCTTTATAAATCCTATCCTGATCTGCGGAAGTGAATCATGAACAGCTGGACGCTTAGTGGACAATTATTTGGAAGCGGTAGAGATGAGGTTTTATAGAATAAAAACACCCTGGACATACAAAAAAATATATAGAAAGAAACTCGTGAAGAGAACCGACTGTTAGCGTAAGAAGTACAAAATCTTCATTATGTAATCATATCATGAGAAGAAGAAAACTGTACTACATCGTAACGGTGGGAAAGTTGAAGGGGAGGAGAGGGAGACTGAAAGAGAAGATGCTGGACTGTTTGACATCATGGCATGGAAGATCATCTGTGTCAGAGCTGACTGAAAGAATACGAGACAGAAGGTTTCGGTTACACATTACTACCAAAGCCACATGGGCGTGGACTATTGAAAAAAAAAAGAATAGGAATGTGGTGTGGTTCTGCGAGTACGTGCGTGGCTGGGTTTTGATTTTAAAAAAGGGGGGGGGGGGGAGGCACTGAAGAAGAATAACAATAATATCAACTGAAAGAAGAACAGGAACAACTGTAGGCTGGGCTTTACGGTGATAATCTTGCCAAATAGCACTTGAGGTTCTTTTCAGACTTCTTTTTCTTCCTCCTCTTCTTTTTCTTCCTCTTTTGCTTCTTCTTCTGCTGCTTCTTCTTCTTCTGCTTCTTCTTCTGCTTCTTCTTCTTCTTCTTCTTCTTCTTCTGCTGCTTCTTCTGCTTCTTCTTCTGCTTCTTCTTCTGCTTCTTCTTCTTCTTCTTCTGCTTCTTCTTCTGCTTCTTCTTCTTCTGCTTCTTCGTCTTCTTCTGCTTCTTCTTCTGCTGCTTCTTTTTCTGCTTCTTCTTCTTTTTTTTCTTCTTCTTCTTCTTCTTCTTCTTCTTCTTCTTCTTCTTCTTCTTCTTCTTCTTCTTCTGCTTCTGCTTCTTCTTCTTCTTCTTCTTCTTCTGCTTCTGCTTCTTTTTCTTCTGCTTCTTCTTCTTCTTCTGCTTCTTCTTCTTCTGCTTCTTCTTCTTCTTCTTCTTCTTCCTCTTCTGCTTCTTCTGCTTCTTCTTCTGCTTCTTCTTCTTCTTCTTCTTCTTCTTCTTCTTCTGCTTCTTCTTCTTCTTCTTCTTTTTCTGCTTCTTCTTCTTCTTTTTCATTTTCCCTTAAAATGACAGTTGGCACATAGTTATGTGGTTTAGAGCTAAGCCGTCCCACAAGGTACTATTTCAGCAAATCCCTAATGTGTCGCCGTTTACGAGAATTTTTTTTTTATGGAATAGTGAATTCTTCCCCCGTTTTTCTCCACGAGGGCCCTAGAACCTACACTGAGACACTACATCGGCAGTAAAGACAATACATCGGTAGTAACAAAACGCTTACTTGGCACATTCTAGGAAGTAGTCTAGTTCCCGTTTGCAAGGGTTGTTATCTGGCCGAGTCTTGTCCTCCCACGCGCCGGTCTCTGGATTTCTGCCCTCGTACATCTTATGAGAAATGGCATTTCCCATGACACTGCCCTGAAAGTGTAACAATGTTTATCAGGTTTCTGCTCATTCTTCTGCTCTTTCACATTCTCCTCATTCTTCTTCTTCAGCCCCCACCTTCTCTTCTTTCAAACAGATAAGATAAGAATTCCAGTAGTGAGAATGAGTATTTGGAAGGGCCCTGTGTAAGATGTGTCTGCTTGCGCAATTTGTGATCCTTTCAAAATACAATTTTTTCGTTGGTCCTTCTTTTCATTCTTCTTTCCCTCTTCTTTCCCCTCCTCTTCCTGCTCCTGCTTTTCCCCTTCCTCTTTCTAACCTTCTTCTGTTGTCCTCCTTTAAAAAATCCATAATATTTACAATAACTGCATTTGCAATGATGATAATGATTGCAACCAATATGTGCTCCAGACAAGATATTTTATAATAATAATAGTGCTTTTTTTTTAGAACAGAGGGTGTCGGTACTCGCCACATAGTGTCTAACAACGGTGCCGGTACTCGCCATATAGTGTCTAACAACGGTGATGGTACTCGCCATATAGTGTCTAACAACGGTGCCGGTATTCAACTGACAGACGATATTACATTAACGCTTTAAAAATTATCTCCAAAAAAGGTGCCGGGACTGCCAGAAAAAAGCCCTGGTATTATTTAAATAATAATAACAACAACAACAAAAAGAAGATTGTGAGTATCGTTGAGTACGATTACAAAAGCCATGGTAACCATAAAGATTCCACTAGCCAGCAGGCGGGGACCACTCACCAAAGCGGATCCGAGGAAAGAGCCGCCAATGATAGCCCCAAGTCCAGGCCCCTTGCCGGCGCCATGGTAACCCGCCGGAGCACTGAACCTCTTGGGGCCCCCTGGTGGAGCACTGAACTTCTGCTGCGGGGCGGTGCGGAAATCTCTCGTCTGCGACGATGGTCTTTGAACTGGTGGTGGCTGTCTAACTGTTCGCGCAGATCCACCCAATCTATGGATTCACACATACATACACATTATTTTACAAATACGAACACAATGATGGAGATAATAGAGATAGAGTCATCTTAAAGAACAAACATTATGAAGATATCACACAGGTGGAAGTTGTAAAGCATGTTCTGAAAAATGCGAAATACATTGCACCCGGGCCTGACGGGGTTAAATATTCCAACATGAAAGACTTGAGTGATGCAGACCTGTTGGAGATGACTGCTTGCTTCAACCAGAGCATTAGGACAGCTTCTGTTCCAGAAGAGTGGATGCACAGCTACCTGATTCCACTTCCTAAGCCTGGCAGGAATCATTCAACACTCGGGGGCTTTAGGATCATAACCCTACAAAACACTTTTGGTAAAGTGCTGGAGAAGATAGTGGTGGGTAAGCTACAAGAATTTTTGGAACAGAGAAAGCTTCTTCCAGGAGTTTTAGGAAGTTACAGGCCAGGGAAGGACACATTGTCAAACGCAGCCACTTTTGCCTTTGATACCTTCTAAGGTTTCCAGAACAGACAGGAAACGGTGGCAGGGATCTGCAATTTCACCTGTACTGTACAATGTTTTCTACGAGCAAGATTGCTTGCCTGGAAACACCCAGAGTTGACATAATATTGGCGTTTGCAAATCATGTTCTTGTATATAGGAAGGGTAGAGGTCGGAATTAAATAGCTCAAGAGTTACAGGCGACCGTAGATATGGTGATCCAGAGATGAGTGCTGTAATCAACCCTGAAAAAGCACGGTCCTGTGGTGTTCTTTAGACAACAGGATTGTTAGAGATGATGTTCCCAGACTCAAAATAAATGACAGGGACATAAAAAGAGACAACAGACTGTGGTACATGAGAATCACCTTTGACAGACGTTTGTCTGTCAACGATCAAATAGAGGAGGTTATGACAAAGGCTCAAAAAGTTCTTAATGCACTAAAGATTGTGGCAGCAACGGACATGGAGCAGAGAATACTGTTCACGCTTTACCAGCACTTAATCATCTCAGTGATTGATTTTGGATTAGGGTTACTCATTGTCTTGAAAAGTCAGCTACAGAAACTGGAGCGCATACAGAATGAAGCTATGTGGCTGATCCTGGGTTGTACAAGAGAAACCCCTATTGTGTGCATGCGATACATCCTTGCATTGCCGACCAGTGCAGATAGTCTAAAAATGCCGCAGGCTAAGTCATACCTCAGATTAGCTGCCGGCAAAGAACACCCCGTGTATGAAGCTTTGGTTGCAGGTAAGAGTCAGAGGTGAAAAGGGGAAAATCGTGGATGGCTCAAGCAGAAGACACAATAAGACAAGTATGCATGTTGGAGAACATTGGGCGAGGAGAGGAGTGGGTCAGAGTACCAGAGGAAAAGTCTGACCTGTGTAGGGTTATGATCACATTGGGCCGGGTGTGGTTAGAGTGGCCAACGGGTGCTACGGAGTTTGAAGTGCAACAGTTGATTCACGACAATTTACGCCCAGGTGATCTGATTATCTATACAGATTGTTCAGTGTTGAGAGGAAAGAGAGGTGTATGTGGGTTCGTAGCGAAAGTCAGTGGAGAATCTGTAGTGCAAGACAACCTAGCATACGACATCACAACAACTAGCATGAGAATGGAGGTGGGGGTGGTAACTGCAGATCTCTGTTGGCTAGAGAACAAGATGCATACACATGTCGTAATTGTAACAGACTCTGAAAGCATGCTGGGAAGGTCACGGTTAGTGAACCTACTTTGGATTTTGTCTCCAGAAAATTCTGGCGTTGTGTGTAATGAAAATGCAGACATACTGGCTGGATCTGAATCACTATGTGGTGACTTGATATATGAAAAGGCAGATGTGGTCAAGGCCCTTTGAAAACAAGCAACGGAATCAGTAGAGAAAGAAGGTCATTATGGCCCGGAGAGAATGAGGCGTCTGGGTGTAACCAGAGGGTCTGGCAGGCACACTACACTGTGAGTGCGTGCGGTTTTTTTTTTTTTTTTATATATGTTGCGTTCTGGATTTTTTTTTCCCCCCACTAGCAAGTCCCTCCGCTATAACTGTTGACCTTAGAAATCTGCATGAAGCTATATGAGCTAACAAATTATTTCGTTATGCGAACGAAGAGTTGTTGAAAGAATATATGGAAATGTAAAGATTTGGGAATAAAAACAAGTTGGAATTAAAAGCTGTGGGAACAACAAGAGCGTTGTTGAAAGTTTGTATGCGATTTAAAAAATATAGGAACGACAGATTCTTGATTATTGAGGACTATCTATCATCACAGTATTCAGGAAAGACTCATATGTTCTCAGATCTTTTCCTCAATAACTCTACAAGCATAAAACCACCAATGACGCTAGTTCGGTGGTGATTACTCTGACGACTCTTGCCCTTGGTGAAATATTGTCTGACTTCTCCAGGCTTCACTTCCATATCCACTACCCTCGACACGATCTTCTTCGCTTAATGCGTCTCACTTGACATTAAAGACATCACTACTGCCCATGTCAGGGAAGTCACAGTAACTGCCTGAGCGTAAGATTAATCTGCGTATAGTAGTGGTAGAGGTAGTAGAATAGTAGTAGTTGTTGTGGTTGACCGAGTGATTTCAACGTTGGGCTTTCATGCGGGAACCCAGGTTCGACCCCCAGTAAGATGATAGAATTTTTCCGTTTGGGGGCAAAATTAAACATCCTAACCTGAATAGTCTGTGGCGACAGCACTAGCCAGGCGGCCATAAAACCTCACAGAAGTGACGATTTTTAAGTTGTTGTGGAGGTTGGTAGTGGTAGTAGTAGTTGTTGTACTCAATGGGAGCGAGTCAACAGTGTGGTGGCACAAAAAATCGTCTCGTCTAAAGAGAATTGTGCAGCCAGCAAGTGACTGGAGGATGTGGCCAACGCCAACACTCGGGGCAGGAGCGAAACGGACATACAACCAGACTGTTACTGATGCCATCGTAACTGGAACTGCGCTTTGCTGCTGAATGTGGGGTCGGGGCTATTATAGTAATGTGTCGAGTGCTATGCTGTTAGGTTTTAATTCGCAATATTATAAGAGAAAAAGGTGCAGGACATACAGCTTTTGATATTCAGACTGCTGTGATGGAAAGTTCTAATTCTATACCGAGCAAGTTAGGTGAAAATATGGGGGTGACTACAGTCAAGCTAATACACAGGAATTCCAGAGAAATTAGACTTAAAAGCTCAACAAAATGGGGAAGCAGAAAAACGTGCACAAAATAACACAACGTAACGTTTCGACCAGGCGGCCTTTTTCAAACAAAAGTGAACTACACAAACGTAACAACGAGGAGATAAGCGTATGTAGGGTGACGTGAGCAACGTTTAAAAAAATGCGGTTTGGAATAAATGAAATAAAATAAAATAAACGATGGCTAAAAAAAATAAAGACACAAAAAAATAAACAGTAGTATTGTTAATATATAATGTAATACTAGGAATAAAAGAAATACAAATGTCAATGATGCATAAATTATACTGATAATAGATAGAATAAAGTAATAATATGAAATAAAATAAAAGAAAAGAAAATAATTAACATTTAAAATGTGATAAGAGTAGAACTATTTAGATGAAGGTATGTTGGATATTGATACCACATGGACTAAGAACGCCTAGGCTGTGGATGAGGCGATTTTCCAAAGCGAGGCGAGTATTATAATCGCCAGAGCCAGATTTTAATACTGTGACAGATATATCATCTTTACCTCTGTGGTGAAAGCTATTAAAATGGAGAGGGATTGGTTTAAGTGTTTTCTTGTTAATATCGGAGAGGTGTTGCCGGAAACGATCATCTAGCTTCCTGCCAGTTTCCCCAATGTATGCCTTACTGTATCGTTTGCAGATAATTGCATAAATTACTTAGCGGGATTCGCAAGGAAAGGGTTCCCTAATTTGGAAAGAACCATTAGGGAAACTGACCGGAGAAGTCTGGACAACGAAAGGACATGTCTTGCAGGTGCTGCGTGAGCACTGAGTAGTCCCAAAAGGAAGTGCTGTGTGGATCGGTGGGAGTCGGTTTCGGACAAGTAGGTCTTTAAGGTTGCGGTCTCGTCCATAAACTAATCTAGGTTTCTCACTAAAGATAATCTTGGTGTCCAGATCAGAGCGGAGGATGTCCAAATGACGAAAGAATACTTTGGAAGCAACCACATTGTACGGGTAAAAGGTCAAAATCAGTTGGGGTCTATCACTGGTGGAATTAATTCAATTACGTTTGGTGGGGAAAGCATCTCTCCCGGTGATTGCCAAAACTTTGTTTAGGGCCCCTTGTAGAATGTGTTCCGGACAGAAACGGGCACGGAAGAAATCAAGAAGTCCAACTGGTTTATCAAAGAAATCAGAATCATCAGAGCACAACCAGCGCAAACAAACTAGCTGTTAATAGTGAATAGAATTTGTATACGGTAGTGGGTGAGACGACGTATAGAGGAGATAACTGAGAATCTGTGGGTTTGTCTGTGGTGACTTTAGGCACGGAAAATCGATGCTAACCGTGATGTCAAGTAAAACAAATTACCGTATGATATTTAATGACCTTTCTTGTGATCGTTTTTACATACCCACGCCCGCCTCCTCCAAAGCCTCTTCCGCCAAATCGAGGCATGCCCTGGGTACTATAGACGTTTAGAGCTCATCCTTCAGGCTGACAGAGACTGAACTGATGACCCAAAGTCTTCAAGTGACCCTTCAGGTGCTAACAATTTTGTCTAGAAGTTTAACGGTGCGTACATTTTTTGAATGCAGCGGAATTTCCCGATAATCATTCTGTTTCTTTTTCTGCTTCTTCTCTTTTCCCAGTTAACTCATCGAATGTTAAATTAAGAATCGACATCACAGCACTCAGGTCACTCCCATATGTGCTCAGTCCCCATCTTCAGCAACAGGCGAAGAATTCAAGTTCCGATGGTTGGTACCAGTAACCGTCTAATAGTCGGCTAAGTCGATGCGAACGCTTCGTAATGCCGGGATGGTGGGTTCGATCCCAGCTGCGGGCAATGCGCCTTGCGTATGTTTCGACAGTGGTATCAAGAAAGCCGACCGTCCAGAAGCAATGACAAACTACTGGACGTAAATTTGCCTAGAAAAACTACACAACAGCCAGGGGCTGTTGGGGTTGGTTCTGCAACGTCCAGTAAAGGATACGCAACTAACCTAAGGTGAAAACACCGTCTAATTGTATATCTGTCTCATCCCTTCCTTGAGTGTTGAGCGTCGGCCACATCCCCTGGTAACTCCTCGCAGCGCCATTCTCCTTAGACCGCAATGATCTATCTGTGCCTCTGCACTGTTCCTTAGCTCCCAAAGGAAACTCACAATTAGGGCTGTACCGAATATTCACTTCGTATTCGCTTCGGGGCCGAATAGTGGACCTATTAACTATTCGGTATTCGGCCGAATAGTTGCGGTCGAGCTGAATACGAATAGTAATTATCTTACGCCCGCTTCTGCATACACGGCCTTAATGCTGACAACATGCAACGATTGGTTTTGTTGAAAGCTAATGCAGCTTTCCTGTATTAACTAAGCTGTCAGTGACAATTTCCAAGTTTAGTTACTTGTTATAATACTTAGGATTCTTTCATTCCTAGTTATTAGTTACCACAGACTGACTGAAGGATGCAAAACATAAAATGTTTTTAAATGTTTACTATTCTGTACGAATACTAACTAGACATGGAAAGAATATAAACTAAATAAAATATTTAATATGAAAATCAAACGAACGGAAACATATAAGTACTTAGGTGCAAACTTCAACTGCTCAGACATGCTGTGAGAAGAAATACAATCTAGAATACAATCTAGAAATAAAGTATACTATGCCCTTCAACATCTGCTAAACTCAAAGTGTCTGTCTCGCAACACCAAGATCAAAATATATAAAACGTTGATAACACCAGTCGTTTTATATGGCTGTGAAATTTGAAGCAGAAATAAAAGAGGTACGGCCTTATTGCAGGTTTTCGAAAACAGTCTTACAACAAATCTTTGGAAGATGCTAACAGCGGAAAATGGAGAGTGAGAAGCAATAACGTAACACATAATATGTTTAAATCACAATTGATCACTGGCATTATGAGAGCTAACAGACTAAAATGGTTGGGGCATACTGAAAGAATGTCAGATGACAGAGAAGTAAAAACGGTATACACCTGAGAGAGGATAGGTGTAGACCACGAGGCATGAATGGAGACGAGTGATATCTGCAGCAGTAAACCTCAAGGGCTCAGAATGTTAAAGAAGAAGATGACTATTCTGTGCTACTTTATGTGAGGTAAAAGTTCAGCGTACATTTAACATTGTGAATGTTTTTTCTTTTTAGATACATTTTATACACTATTCGTATATGGCGGAATAGTTGGTCCCGTATACAAAAATCACTATTCGGTACAGCCCTAGTTTAAATTACATCGAACGAACGGCAGAGCGAACGATGGTTTTGAAAGAGGTGGGAGTGGTGACCACTGGAAAGATCTATGGAAGGAGGGATAGAGGAAGACAAAGATAGAAGATTCTTGACAGTCTTTTTGCATGGCATGGAGGTGTGTCAGCACACGAACTAATACATGCTGCAGGAGATCACAGATTGTGGCGGGGCATAATCGCCCACACCAGTCGGCAAGGCACTCGATGATGATGATATACTATTTGTATTCGGCCGAATAGTTGGTCGCACTATTCGTATTCGGCCGAATAGTGAAAATCACTATTCGATGCAGCCTTACTCACAATATCTAACTTGTCATACATCAATTTACCACCAAGTGGTGAGAGCTAGCCAGCCAATCTGGCTGCTCATTTCTCAACACACTGGCAGACCTGGAGAAATTGAACTCATCGAGAGTTGGGGTATGGAGAATAGAGATCTCATGTGTACACTTTTTAAGTTGCATAAGTTGATTTTCATTCCTTGAAGATTCTCGTTGTGTTCTCGAGCCTTTTTGGAGGAAAAGGGGGGTGGGGGGGGGGGGGGTAGAACCAGCTGCTTCCCTAACAAGCAACACACGACTTATTTTGGATTCTTTCTCTGAAGTCGGAGCACGTCTGATTTAGTTGTGAGGAACCAACAGTCTTCATATAAGAAAGCCATATCTGTAAAAAATTGATATTATGCATAATTCAAATTCTGGGGTAGGGCTAAAGTCCAGATGTGGACGAACAACCAGATTTTCTTTAAGCGTTTACAGCCCGTGAATGCTAAGAAGAATTATTGTTCTTGATGTTGTTCCATTTTTGCTCAATTTTCTTGTTGTTCTGGGTTCATTATACTTGCTTGGTACCCTGTTCAACCTCAGCTGAAGTTATGGCCTAGTGTCACCTGCACTCCTGTGCAGGAAAAGACAACTCCTAATGATGAAAAACAACCAATGAGAAGTCAACACTGTACCAGCTGACATAAGATAATAACCAATCAAAATACATAACTGTATTTTTGAAAATATGTCCAACTCTACAGTACCTTGTAGTCTGGTAGTCTTAGTTTCAGCTTCATAGCAAACGAGTTACCCCATCATTTCTCCACTCCTGTTGTGTGGGTCATATTGTGTGATAGAATAACCCTCACTTGACAGGAAGTTTCATGTGCTATATGTTAGAATCACCACCTCTGCTGGGGCGTGTCCTATATTATAAATGATAGAGCAGCTCTCCCTCTTCTTCCCCTCCTCTGTTACTGTTGCAAGTGCCAGGGGATAATTCAGGTTCTGCTTCTTGTTGTTCTGACCACCTCGACCATAGACACATTGTGCTGTCGTAGAGTTTCTCTGATGTCATCTTTCCAACTTGTTGTTGGTCTGCCTTGTCATTTCCGTGTTAGTCTATGCCTTGTATGGTAGGCCTATGTGGTGTCACAGGGCATTCTCTAAGTAGGCAAACTATTTGATTCGCTATCTTTGTATGTAATTTAGAATTGGTTCTGTGAGAACTGTTTCTGTTATGACCTCATTTCTTATTTTATCTTGTCTGGTCACTTCTCAGACATCTCATGTCCATGGTTACTAATTTTCTGTTATGGTTTGTTGTGAATGACCACGTATGGCACTGGTAGCATAGAATGGAAATGAATATTCTTTTATGAAATGTCTCTTTGCACTGATTGTGATTCTCTTATGCTATAATAGTGGGGCTAGCGGTCCCAATACTTGGTTTACTTTACTGCATCTGATGTTAATTTCTAATCTATTTTCTTGTCTTCACTGAATGTTATTCCCAGATGTTTGTTTAATGCCTTTGCACTCTACTGCTATACGTAGTTTCTGCTTTTTTTCTGCCTGTTTACATTACTATTTTTTTGTTTTCAGTGTTGATTCTCACATGATTATGTGGCGTGAGTGCATACCTAGCATCAGGATGACAGTACTACAGGGCATGAGTGCATACCTAGCATCAGGATGACAGTACTACAGGGCATGAGTGCACACCTAGCATCAGGATGACAGTACTACAGGGCGTGAGTGCATACCTAGCATCAGTATGACAGTACTACAGGGCATGAGTGCACACCTAGCATCAGGATGACAGTACTACAGGGCATGAGTGCACACCTAGCATCAGGATGACAGTACTACAGGGCGTGAGTGCATACCTAGCATCAGGATGACAGTACTACAGGGCATGAGTGCACACCTAGCATCAGGATGACAGTACTACAGGGCATGAGTGCACACCTAGCATCAGGATGACAGTACTACAGGGCATGAGTGCACACCTAGCATCAGGATGACAGTACTACAGGGCATGAGTGCACACCTAGCATCAGGATGACAGTACTACAGGGCATGAGTGCACACCTAGCATCAGGATGACAGTACTACAGGGCGTGAGTGCATACCTAGCATCAGGATGACAGTACTACAGGGCGTGAGTGCATACCTAGCATCAGGATGACAGTACTACAGGGCGTGAGTGCATACCTAGCATCAGGATGACAGTACTACAGGGCGTGAGTGCATACCTAGCATCAGGATGACAGTACTACAGGGACTCATGTGTATGTTCTGGCTGGGATTTGCACGAGTGTGAGCAAATGAAAAATCAGATTTTCTGGTGACAAAAGCGATAGCTACAGGAATACTTGTACTGGACAACTGAAACATTCTGAAGACCATTTTCTTAGTGCTGATGGTAGATGACATAACAAGAGTAAGCATTTGTGAACAAGGAATGAGGTGTGGATCAGGGAAGGATAAATGTATGAGAGGAAGAAAATTACAAGTTTATAATTAGCGTGCCACAGAAACATTTAGCATCTGCACCTTAAGAAATTTGCCTGCTGGAGACGGAGCACCTATGGGTATGCCTGGTGTGGTATGATGTTGATTCTTAAATAAGTAAATCAGTAACAACTATTACTTTTATATTGTTTATTGACAGAAGTTTGACACATGTTAGCTTTGCTATAACTGTGCTATAACTGATAGAATCACTTCTCCTGGTAGAAAGTACCACATGATTTAACTGATAGAATCACTTCTCCTGGCAAGAAGTACCACATGCTATAACTGATAGAATCACTTCTCCTGGTAGGAAGTACCATATGCTATTACACATAGAATCACCTCTCCTGGCAGGAAGTACCACATACCATAACTGATAGAATCACCTCTCCTGGTAGGAAGTACCACATGCTATAACTGATAGAATCCCCTCTCCTGGTAGGAAGTACTACATGCTATAACTGATAGAATCCCCTCTCCTGGTAGGAAGTACCATATGCTATTACACATAGAATCACCTCTCCTGGTAGGAAGTACAACATGCTATAACTGATAGAATCCCCTCTCCTGGTAGGAAGTACTACATGCTATAACTGATAGAATCACTTCTACTCGTAGGAAGTACCACATGCTACAACTGATAGAATCACTTCTCCTGGTAGGAAGTACTACATGCTATAACTGATAGAATCACTTCTGGTAGGAAGTACTACATGCTATAACTGATAGAATCACTTCTCCTGGCAGGAAGCACTACATGCTACAACTGATAGAATCACTTCTCCTGGTAGGAAGTACTTCATGCTATAACTGATAGAATCACTTCTGGTAGGAAGTACTACATGCTATAACTGATAGAATCACTTCTCCTGGTAGGAAGTACCACATGCTACAACTGATAGAATCCCCTCTCCTGGTAGGAAGTACTACATGCTATAACTGATAGAATCACTTCTGGTAGGAAGTACTACATGCTATAACTGATAGAATCACTTCTCCTGGTAGGAAGTACTACATGCTATAACTGATAGAATCACTTCTGGTAGGAAGTACTACATGCTATAACTGATAGAATCACTTCTCCTGGCAGGAAGGACCACATGCTATAACTGATAGAATCACTTCTCCTGGTAGGAAGTACTACATGCTATAACTGATAGAATCATTTCTCCTGGTAGGAAGTACCACATGCTACAACTGATAGAATCACTTCTCCTGGTAGGAAGTACCACATGCTATAACTGATAGAATTACTTCTCCTGGTAGGAAGTACTACCTGCTATAACTGATAGAATCACTTCTCCTGGTAGGAAGTACCACATGCTATAACTGATAGAATCACTTCTCCTGGTAGGAAGTACAACATACTTTAACTGATAGAATCACTTCTCCTGGCAGGAAGTACCACATGCTACAACTGATAGAATCACTTCTCCTGGCAGGAAGTACCACATGCTACAACTGATAGATTCACTTCTCCTGGCAGGAAGTACCACATGCTACAACTGATAGAATCACTTCTCCTGGCAGGAAGTACCACATGATACAACTGATAGAATCACTTCTCCTGGCAGGAAGAACCACATGCTACAACTGATAGAAACACTTCTCCTGGCAGGAAGTACCACATGATACAACTGATAGAATCACTTCTCCTGGCAGGAAGAACCACATGCTACAACTGATAAAAACACTTCAAGTGTTTGGGAGTATCATGTGCTGTTAACTCTCTCTCTCTGTTTGACTCTCTCTCTCTCCCTCTCCCCCCCCCCTCTCTCTCTCTCTCTCTCTCTCTCAGCTCTACAAAAGTGTTCTTTTAGCCATTCTTTTCCGTTCAGGCACCAAATATTCATAGTTTATTGGTAAATGCACGTTTTTCTTCATATTTCTTTTCATGCAGCAGTACTGATTTTCTTCTCATTATCATATGCCCTAAATAATTAACTATTATACTAATGGCACAATAAATCCACTATTTAAATAGCACAATGTTTTTAAGATTATCCAAATATTCATAGTACAATTTCTATCTTAATCACAAATCAAAAATGTTTGTTAACAAAGCAATATTTGAAACAAAAATACACATTATATAACCCTCTTAAACAAATAATTATACAATGTATAAAAATAAAAAATATATACTTTGAGAACTTGGTGAACACTTTATATCCCAGTTATAAACTTTAGCACTAAAATATTGTTCACCTGATTCTTACAAGTTAACTAAAAAGCAACTAGATAATTATTATTATTTTTGTCAACACTACTACTATTATTAATACTATTACTTTTATTAAAACTACTAATTATATTATAATTATTATCATCATCAGACATTCTTGTTTGAATCTGCAACCATGGTCAGACTGGAAAAACAGCAAGTTAAACGAGGTGTCGTCAAACAAGAAGACTACACGGGTAGCGAAAGAAGAAGAATAAACCAACACAGAACTGGTGTCGTGAGCTGCTACATGCTGCGAGATTTGCTGAGATGGGGATTCGAGTGCACTGAGTGGACTGAGGGGTTCGACATTCAATGAGGATAATTTGTTGACTAACTAGCAACTATCAGACATTTAGAAATTTAAACCAACACAACAAAATTATGGCTAGAGAGCACTAGGAAACATTTGAGATGAACTAAGTGGCCAGATTCATTTTGAAAAACTTGCAATTACTGACTGACAACCATAGCGGACCAAAGAGAGCATCGGGAAACTGTATCCTTTTTTGTTTATTTAGTGACTGCATTCACAATTTCTCCCAAGGAAGCAGATTTTCTGACAGCAACAGCATCTAGTGCTGTCAGCCAGTGACCAAGTTTAACAGAGATAGCCAGCTGAAGCTCAGTGGGAGCAAACATTTCATCTCCTTGCTTTCTCCTGCCGATGTCCTTGAGTTGAGGAGATTTCTTGCGATCTGTGTGAAGACAACAGTTAACTTCAGCAACATTCAAATAGAACATTAATGTTTTATGTTTCAAATGTGTTTTTACTTATTTCTTCTTCTCAGTTTGGCTTTAAAAGGGCAGTTAGCACGTTATTTTGTTGATATTTCTGCTTCTAGGCCAACCTACCAAATTTAAGAAAATCTTTAATTACTCATGTTTTTTACTACATTCTTGTTAGAGAGAGATGGATCTAACCTAACTTAAGCAGTAGCAGATGTTCCATTAGCTGAACATTCAAATTTGATATCACTGGATTGAATCAATACAAAGCTATCTGCAAATGTTGTTTGTTTCTGTGTCCCCCACATTCATAAACGTCTGCCTTACTTTCCTCAAACTTTACCCTTAATCACCTTTCCCTCCTGGCCACCGCCTGATTTAACCCAGCAAAACTACCCCAGCTTTCTGGACAAGATGTTGTTTATGAGCCAGTTATCCTCAATGCTCAGATCATGTCGGATGTTGGTGTTTTCCTTGTTCTTGGTCTATGGTATTGTAAAAAATGTTCTGTAGTATTTCACTTCAAAAGCTGTAAATTTTTTCTGGCTGAACAACAGTCGATGACTCACATTCATAAGTTGCCATGGGAAAGATACATGATCTCAAAATGTTTGATTCAACTCACTTACAAGTGCAGTTCCTAGGGTTGTTGTGTTGTTTAATATCTGATGCATGTCCTTTTCCAACTTCTTTTGTGCAGACCCAGTTGTTGTTAATGGCTGTTGTTCTAGGTTGTTGTTCTAGGTTGTTGTTCTAGGTTGTTGTTCATGGCTGTTGTTCTAGGTTGTTGTTCATGGTCTTTGTTTCTGGTTGTTGTCCATGGTTGTTGTTCCTGGTTGTTGTTCATGGTTGTTGTTCCTGGTTGTTGTTCCCAGCTGTTGTTCATGGTTGTTGTTCATGGCTGTTGTTCTAGGTTGTTGTTCATGGTCTTTGTTTCCGGTTGTTGTCCATGGTTGTTGTTCCTGGTTGTTGTTCCTGGTTGTTGTTCATGGTTGTTGTTCCTGGTTGTTGTTCCCAGCTGTTGTTCCTGGTTGTTGTTCCTGGTTGTTGTTCCTGGTTGTTGTTCCTGGTTGTTGTTCCTGGTTGTTGTTCATGGTTGTTGTTCATGGTTGTTGTTCCTGGTTGTTGTTCATAGTTGTTGTTCCTGGTTGTTGTTCATGGTTGTTGTTCATGGTTGTTGTTCATGGTTGTTGTTCTAGGTTGTTGTTCATGGTCTTTGTTTCCGGTTGTTGTCCATGGTTGTTGTTCCTGGTTGTTGTTCATGGTTGTTGTTCCTGGTTGTTGTTCATGGTTGTTGTTCCTGGTTGTTGTTCCCAGCTGTTGTTCATGGCTGTTGTTCATGGCTGTTGTTCTAGGTTGTTGTTCATGGTCTTTGTTTCCGGTTGTTGTCCATGGTTGTTGTTCCTGGTTGTTGTTCATGGTTGTTGTTCCTGGTTGTTGTTCCCAGCTGTTGTTCCTGGTTGTTGTTCCTGGTTGTTGTTCCTGGTTGTTGTTCCTGGTTGTTGTTCCTGGTTGTTGTTCCTGGTTGTTGTTCATGGTTGTTGTTCATGGTTGTTGTTCCTGGCTGTTGTTCCTGGTTGTTGTTCATGGTTGTTGTTCATGGTTGTTGTTCCTGGTTGTTGTTCATGGTTGTTGTTCCTGGTTGTTGTTCATGGTTGTTGTTCATGGTTGTTGTTCCTGGTTGTTGTTCCCGGTTGCTGTTCCCGGTTGTTGTTCCCGGTTGTTGTTCCTGGTTGTTGTTCATGGTTGTTGTTCATGGTTGTTGTTCATGGTTGTTGTTCATGGTTGTTGTTCCTGGTTGTTGTTCATGGTTGTTGTTCCTGGTTGTTGTTCATGGTTGTTGTTCCTGGTTGTTGTTCCCAGCTGTTGTTCCTGGTTGTTGTTCCTGGTTGTTGTTCCTGGTTGTTGTTCATGGTTGTTGTTCATGGTTGTTATTCGCGGTTGTTGTTCCCAGTTGTGGTTGTTGTTCACTTCTTAGCCTAAATATTAAAAACCTGGACATTTTTTTAAATCTCTCCATTACTGATTTAATATATGATTGCTGTGCTGTGTTCATTGTGGACAAGAACGTGTGTAAGAATGTGTATGCATCTCTCTCTCTCTCTCTCTCCCCCCCCCTCTCTCTCTCTCTATCTCTCCTCTCTCTCTCCCCCCCCCTCTCTCTCCCCTCTCTATCTCTCTCTCTCCCCCTCCCCCACCTTTCTCTCTCTCTCTCTCTCTCTCTCTCTCTCTCTCTCTCTCTCTCTCTCTCTCTCTCTCTCTCTCTCTCTCTTGCAATTTAATTCAGGAAAAAAAATATTCTTCTTCACTGTGCTTTTTGACTGTATTAAATCTTCTAAGACCTATACACTGTTGGAAAGGAGGATGTGTGAGTGGAGCCACCAACTAGTCCACAAAATATGACTCCTAATTTCTTGGTCCACAGGTGTCAACAAGAAATTCCAGTGAAATGTTACTAAAAGGCTTAGCGAAACGGGGAAGCAGAAAAACATGCACAAAACAACACAAAATGTTTTGGCTGGTGGCCTTTCTTGAACAAGTAATAAACTAATAGACTACACAATGGTAACAAAGAGGACAGTTTTTGAATCTCTACAAGTTAAAAAAAAACGCTGCTCTAGAATATTTACAGCTAAACAGCTTTACTGAGTGAAAAGCTACCGCTGCAAATGCCATCGACTACAAACAAGCCTGTCAGGCCTGGTGTCAGGGGGCTGAGGAACTATACTCCATTGGAGGATAAAAGAAAGAAGAAGAAGAAGAAAAGATAAGATCAAATACTGGGATACTAAGCAACACAGAAATCAGTAGCAACACAGAAATCAGTAGCAACACAGAAATCAGTAGCAACACAGAAATTACTAGCAACACAGAAATTAGTAGCAACACAGAAATTACTAGCAACACAGAAATCAGTAGCAACACAGAAATCAGTAGCAACACAGAAATTACTAGCAACACAGAAATCAGTAGCAACACAGAAATTACTAGCAACACAGAAATCAGTAGCAACACAGAAATTACTAGCAACACAGAAATCAGTAGCAACACAGAAATTACTAGCAACACAGAAATCAGTAGCAACACAGAAATCAGTAGCAACACAGAAATTACTAGCAACACAGAAATCAGTAGCAACACAGAAATTACTAGCAACACAGAAATCAGTAGCAACACAGAAATCAGTAGCAACACAGAAATTACTAGCAACACAGAAATCAGTAGCAACACAGAAATTACTAGCAACACAGAAATTACTAGCAACACAGAAATTAGTAGCAACACAGAAATTAGTAGCAACACAGAAATTGGTAGCAACACAGAAATTACTAGCAACACAGAAATCAGTAGCAACACAGAAATTAGTAGCAACACAGAAATTAGTAGCAACACAGAAATTACTAGCAACACAGAAATTAGTAGCAACACAGAAATTACTAGCAACACAGAAATTAGTAGCAACACAGAAATTACTAGCAACACAGAAATCAGTAGCAACACAGAAATCAGTAGCAACACAGAAATCAGTAGCAACACAGAAATCACTAGCAACACAGAAATTACTAGCAACACAGAAATTAGTAGCAACACAGAAATTAGTAGCAACACAGAAATTACTAGCAACACAGAAATCAGTAGCAACACAGAAATTACTAGCAACACAGAAATCAGTAGCAACACAGAAATTACTAGCAACACAGAAATTACTAGCAACACAGAAATTACTAGCAACACAGAAATTACTAGCAACACAGAAATTACTAGCAACACAGAAATTACTAGCAACACAGAAATTACTAGCAACACAGAAATTACTAGCAACACAGAAATTAGTAGCAACACAGAAATTAGTAGCAACACAGAAATTACTAGCAACACAGAAATCAGTAGCAACACAGAAATTACTAGCAACACAGAAATTACTAGCAACACAGAAATTACTAGCAACACAGAAATTACTAGCAACACAGAAATTACTAGCAACACAGAAATTACTAGCAACACAGAAATTACTAGCAACACAGAAATCAGTAGCAACACAGAAATTACTAGCAACACAGAAATCAGTAGCAACACAGAAATTACTAGCAACACAGTAATTAGTAGCAACACAGAAATCAGTAGCAACACAGAAATCAGTAGCAACACAGAAATTACTAGCAACACAGAAATTACTAGCAACACAGAAATTACTAGCAACACAGAAATTAGTAGCAACACAGAAATTACTAGCAACACAGAAATCAGTAGCAACACAGAAATTACTAGCAACACAGAAATTAGTAGCAACACAGAAATTAGTAGCAACACAGAAATTACTAGCAACACAGAAATTAGTAGCAACACAGAAATTACTAGCAACACAGAAATTACTAGCAACACAGAAATTACTAGCAACACAGAAATCAGTAGCAACACAGAAATCAGTAGCAACACAGAAATCACTAGCAACACAGAAATTACTAGCAACACAGAAATTAAGTAGCAACACAGAAATTAGTAGCAACACAGAAATTACTAGCAACACAGAAATCAGTAGCAACACAGAAATTACTAGCAACACAGAAATCAGTAGCAACACAGAAATCAGTAGCAACTCAGAAATCAGTAGCAACACAGAAATCAGTAGCAACTCAGAAATCAGTAGCAACACAGAAATTACTAGCAACACAGAAATTACTAGCAACACAGAAATTACTAGCAACACAGAAATTACTAGCAACACAGAAATTAGTAGCAACACAGAAATTAGTAGCAACACAGAAATTACTAGCAACACAGAAATCAGTAGCAACACAGAAATTACTAGCAACACAGAAATTACTAGCAACACAGAAATTACTAGCAACACAGAAATTACTAGCAACACAGAAATTACTAGCAACACAGAAATTACTAGCAACACAGAAATTACTAGCAACACAGAAATTACTAGCAACACAGAAATCAGTAGCAACACAGAAATTACTAGCAACACAGAAATTACTAGCAACACAGAAATTACTAGCAACACAGAAATTACTAGCAACACAGAAATTACTAGCAACACAGAAATTACTAGCAACACAGAAATTACTAGCAACACAGAAATTACTAGCAACACAGAAATTACTAGCAACACAGAAATCAGTAGCAACACAGAAATTACTAGCAACACAGAAATTACTAGCAACACAGAAATTAGTAGCAACACAGAAATTAGTAGCAACACAGAAATTACTAGCAACACAGAAATCAGTAGCAACACAGAAATTACTAGCAACACAGAAATTAGTAGCAACACAGAAATTACTAGCAACACAGAAATCAGTAGCAACACAGAAATTACTAGCAACACAGAAATTAGTAGCAACACAGAAATTAGTAGCAACACAGAAATTACTAGCAACACAGAAATTAGTAGCAACACAGAAATTACTAGCAACACAGAAATTACTAGCAACACAGAAATTACTAGCAACACAGAAATCAGTAGCAACACAGAAATCAGTAGCAACACAGAAATCAGTAGCAACTCAGAAATTAGTAGCAACACAGAAATTACTAGCAACACAGAAATCAGTAGCAACACAGAAATCAGTAGCAACACAGAAATTAGTAGCAACACAGAAATTACTAGCAACACAGAAATTAGTAGCAACACAGAAATTACTAGCAACACAGAAATTACTAGCAACACAGAAATCAGTAGCAACACAGAAATCACTAAGCGACGTCCGTGGCTTAGGCGTTGCAAATCTGACTCATAATTCCAATGAACAGCGATCGAATCCTACTGCTGGCTGCGTGGATTTTTATCAAGGTATGGGCAGTTGCAGGTCGACACAGCCTAAAATGGGTACTAGGGGAAGTAAAGGCAGCCAGTGTAATGCTGACCACATTACCCACCTAGTGCTGATGGTCCATGAAAATGTGGGTGCTTTTCCCATATTCCTGATGCTCCTAAGGGATGAAAAGGGATCTTTACTTTACTTACTTACAGAATTACTAGCAACACAGAAATCACTAGCAACACAGAAATCACTAGCAACACAGAAATCACTAGCAACACAGAAATCACTAGCATCACAGAAATCACTAGCATCACAGAAATCACTAGCAACACAGAAATCACTAGCAACACAGAAATCACTAACCTTTCTTCACGGCGGGCGACTTTGAAGATGCCTTTCTTTTGTCCATTTTTTTATCCTATCAGAAGAGTTTTAAAAAGTCAAAACCTTCAACTATAAACAACTCATTAACTTTTAGTATTATCATCACAACTATCATCATCATCATCATCACTACAATGATCATCATCATCACCACAATCATCATCATCATAGCCACAACCATAATCATCATCACCACAATCACCATAATCACGCAACCATCATCATCACCACAATCACCATAATCACGCAACCATCATCATCACCACAATCATCATCATCACCGCAACCATCATTATCATCACAATCATCATCATCACCACCACAACCATCGACTGCATCATCATCATCATCATACTCATCATTACCGTCTAAAAATATTGAGAGAGACACACACATACCTACCTACCTACCTACCTACCTACCTACCTACCTACCTACCTACCTACCTACCTACCTACCTACCTACCTACCTACCTACCTACCTACCTACCTACCTACCTACCTACCTACCTACCTACCTACCTACCTACCTACCTACCTACATACATACATACATACATACATACATACATACATACATACATACATACATACATACATACATACATGCACGCACACATGCATGCACGCATGCACGCACACACACACACAGACAGACACATGCCTACATGTGTACATACACACATGCCTACATGGATACATACATACAAGCATATAGACACACTCCTGCATAAACAGACAAACACACACAGACATTCACACATACAGTCACATACACAGGCACACACACACACACACAGATGCACACACACACCCACACAGATACGCACACATACACATGCATACACATACATACAAGAACTTTCGCTCATACACATACTCTCAAATTCAGATATCTACATGCCTACACAAACACGTAAACATACAAAAAACAACCATACATACACAAGCACCCAAACGTACATAATTACCCATGCACACACTCATACATACACAGAATCACACATATACAAACACAGCTATAATGCACACACACATATATGTCACAAATATACATACACACATAAATACATACATACACACACACACACACACACACACACACATTTCACACATATACATATCACACATACATGCATACATACATTTCATTCACACCTTATCTGATTATAACTTGATAATGCAATATGGATTATTAACTTCATTTGAGGTCACACATAATCACTTGTAAGTGTGAAATGAAAAAGTTTGTAGTTAAATTAATAGGAACTCTTTGTAATTTTCAGATCAAGTGGAAGATGGTTCCATAAAGGAGCAGCAGAATATGCAGAATATGCAAAACTTGTTTTATATAAATCTATTCTAGGTTAAGACAAATGTAACAAACTTAGTCATCTGCTGTTTGTCGGATTGTATTTAATCAACTAAAAGTAGTTTGCAGTATTCTGAGATAACATTTTGTGAATAAATGTGGCCTCGTTAAAAATTAAACGTTTACTAAATGGCAGAAGTTTTAGATGGCTACAGAGATTATTTTTATCTCTATTTGAAACCAGGCGTAGAGTGAGATTTTGAAGGGAACTCAATCTTTTAACATTAGATTTGGCCCAACCATCCTATACTTTTGAACAATAGTCAATGGATGTAGGTCGTGCAAAATAGTTTTTGCTATCTTCATCCAGAAAGTGCTGAATTTTGGCAAGCTGATAAATTTGTTGGTGCTATTTTCTTAGTTATGACACAAAGATGAGAATTCCAAGTTAAATGACTGTCAATCATAAGGCCTAATAATGTAATGTGTTTCATTACATTACCAACAGGTGATTTATCAATGTAGAGCTCAAGTGGTGGCTTGTGCATTACTAATGTTTGTAACTTTTTTTTCTGGTTATTATAAGCATAGATTTAGTTTAATTTATGTTATGCTCCATTTACAAAGATTATCTACTTCCTTCTGTATAGAACTTCCCAACTTATTATGATTCTCATGACTAGTATAAATTTTACAGTCGTCAGTGAATAGATCGGATGTTCAAATGAGATGTAGTGAAAAGTCTTTAATATACGTGGCAAAAGGTAGTGGAACTCCTCATAGCACAATAAAACACTATCGTCTAGGAAAGCCAGAACAATGCCAACAACAGAACTGGTTCAGCCCATACTGAGTGATTGACACCCGGTGACACAAAGTGCACAGCATGGCTCTTTGGATGAGAACCTCCCAGGTACAAATCAGAAGTAGTGGAATGTATGAATGAACGAACGAACGAACAAACAAACTTTATTTTCAAAGGGTCACAAATCAGCCATTCAATTCACTTACAATCTTTTCCTCAGACATTTTACTCAGGATTGATGTCTGCGACACAACGTTGATCTTGGTAAACGTGTTTTTATACTCCAGTTCTCCATTAAGAAAACACTCCAAAGGGACATGAAATGAGGCAATATTCGTTAATTTAGGCGGACTTTTTAAAAAATCCTCTGTCGATGCTGTCTTTTTCTTTAATCGTTCTTTAGCTTTCTCTGGTTCCTAGTTGGGAAAAAATACAAGAAAAAATTTTAATAGGGAGATCAACTCATCTGTTCTAGTCTTTAGAATCAATTATCACTATATTCTTCTTTATCTTCTTTTTGTCCTCTATTTCTTCTTCAGTTTTCACCCTTAAAAGGGAGACTGAGATGACTCATTGTGGTTAACAGCTAGGCTGTGATATCTGTACCTTTCAGACCAACACATACAATTTTAACAAACCCATAATAAATTACTTTAAAAAAAAAATATTTTCAAGAGGAATTTTCTGTACCCTACCCTGTCTGGACTTTACTGGCTCAAGCCAAATAACCACGATTAACACGCATCACCGCGTGTTGAGGCATGAGCATGCAGGGGAACAAAAGAGCTTGGAGAGACAGGACTCGGAGAGTTGTGTGGTGAGACTGGACGGGGATGAGACATAGCGTTTCGACAAAGTAAACGTACATTAGGTTAGTGACGGTTAGTTGAATAGGATTTTTGTGTTTAGTATCTGTGATAGGCTGTGTTTCCATTTAATGTTTCGACTAGATAGTGTAGAGTTAATGTTCCTTGTATAGTAGACATTCCATGCAGTATTTGTTTGAGCAGTTAGTGAAGGTGTGACACACATTGTTAATGGCGGTAACACTGCCCAGTCACGCTTAGGCCATTCACCTTACGTGTGCCGCTGAGTCCCATGTGGCAATAGACGGCGGTTTAGTTAGCACTGATAAACTGTTAGTTTGGAGTCGTGTTTCTTGTAGATCCATGAGGACCTGCTTGGATTGACCAGTGAATGTAAAAGCTGCTCAACGTCAGCGGTTTCGGATAGGAGCTGCCTACTTAGTTGAGGTGTCATAGCTGTTTTGTTCATTGTACATTAAAGATTATGTTTGTACTCAGCAGGCGCGTGTCTTAAGTGTGTCCAGGGTAGTGAAGTCTGTTAGCTGGCCTACCTAGCGAGCCATATAAAATGATTTTTGTAAATTAGGTCGCTGACAGTGGATTTTGATTATGGATCTAAATGGGTAGGAGGAAATGTTCTGGGAAGTAAAGGTGGCCAATATTATGTTGACCACGTCATCCATTTAGGTCTGACTGGTCTATAAAAATATTGGCCAATCGCCATGTGCTCATGTATTGCTCCCCCACCCATATTAGTGTCTGTATTTACGACATGTGTGGTGGGGGGTAAAGGGGGGAGGGTCTTTGAGGGTGAGGATTTAAGGTCGCGTGTCTAGTGCTGTCACCACAGACAGAGCAGGTGGGGATTTTATATTTTGCAGCCGGCAGAAAAAATCCATAATTTTAGCGAGAATTCGGAACTGGGTCTACCACATGAAAGGCCAGCATTCTTATCCTTGGAGCCTGCCAAACAGGCAACCATACATAATGTATTTCTTGTGAGCCAAACTAAAATGAATTATCTACCTTGGTTTTCTTCTTATCTTTCTGTTCTCTTCCTTTGGGTTCCATTTTGTTGTTAGAGCCAGTAACTGCCCATTGAGGATATGCTTCAACCTGAGAAAATTTTTAAATAAAAAAAAATTAAATCAGGAAGTAAACTGTATTTACATACATTTAGCATTTCTGTAGAGGACAGTGACGGAGGATGCAGTTTGCCGAAAACTAGGCAGAGGCCGATCTGACCTCTGCGAAAGTTGAAATACAGAAGATGCATTGGTTATGAAAGCACACAGGGCTAGAGAGACTTTCAGGCATGAGGCCTGCCGTGACGAGAGCTGAGGATAAATATTTCTTCTGTGCGACTGTGGGTTACAGGTTAAGGGAGTGGCTCCACAGTTACATCCTCGACACACCAGGATTTGATTCCCCCTGTGGTTGGCTTAAAAAAAGAACTGTTTTTGTGGCTTTCATGTAATGATTCAGGAGTCACACCAAGGAAGAGATTGGGGACACCTCATACAGATGATAGTGGACACACTGTAGATAAACTACATTGTAGAAACAATAGCATTTTCGAGAAAACAAAATTATGGGAAGGACACTTCTTCTTCTTCTTCTTAGCATTCGTCGGTTGTAAACTAAAGTGGAAAGTTCCGGTTAGTGATAAGTGATTAGCAAAGGTTATCATCACAGCACACTGAACAGATCCATCTTCTCCTCAAAGGCTCCCAAGTGTAAAAAAGACTGATGACACCAGTTCTATGTTAGTTAATGAAACGTCTTGTTCCTTTAGCAAAATGTTCATTTCTTGCCGCTCCAGACTGCACCCCCATGTCCATCAGTCTAGACAGGGATACAGAGTCATGTCCTCTAGCGTGCTCCTCCTCACGGTAAGTGCCGCTCATGGCATTAATAACATTGCTTATGTCCACTATTGCACCAGTCATAGCAACAGGAGTGTTAGCAAGATAATCTGCACACTTGTTCTCTTGAACACCAGCATGAGTTGGCACAAAGATGAAGGTTAGGGCTGCTATTAGCAAAATGCTTAGTGTTACAATCTATTCTTGCCTGATAAAACCAGCTTGGATTTTTTTAAGCATATTCATTGAGTCACTAAGTATGCACATGTGGGTGAACTCTTGAGTACCAAGCCATGCTAATGCCCTTGTTACAGCCATAGTTTCCATTGTAAGGCTACTAATTGTAACAGCAAAGGTGCCATTCATCTCCTTGACGGTTTTTCCCCTTGAGCTTACTGTGCATGACCATGCACTTTGCTTGCCCCGAATTACTGATCCACAAACTAAAGTTCTGGTTCTTCATCCATTACTGGAGTTAAGTTTTGTTCCAGAAGTTGAATTTTACATGTTGGTAAGTAAATAGGGGGTGGGTAAGTAGGTAGGGGTGGGTATGTAGGTAGGTAGGTAGGTAGGCAGAGATTAGGTAGACATGTAGGCTGATAGGTAGACATGTAGGCTGATAAGTAGACATGTAGGTTGGAAGTTAGACATGTAAGCAGGCAGGTATCTACAAAGCTCAAAAATGAAGAGGTTAACATCTCTTGAAAAACCGGGAAGGCTAACCCGGTCAACAAATGCCCGCAGAAGTCAGATAGGTTGGCCAAAAAGTGCAAATATTGCAGCCATGCTGTAAACAGACACAACGCAATTACATCTTCAGATGAACGTTGAAGAAGAAGAAATCTCTTGAAAAGACAGTAAACAGCCTATATAGTGCACAGACAAGTAAGTACCCAAATAAATATTGAGAACTTGCATCTTTCAACAGACAATATACGGATTTTCATGGGAGATAATCTCACAAGCAAAAAAACAGTAAAGTAATGGACCCTTCTCCACCCCTTCAGTCCCACCAGTCATATCTTGTTTTTCTTCTTCTTTGTTCATCTACTGTAAGCTCTAACAGGAAGTCCTGGTTGCTCATCTATCTGGACATTGGCTTTGTCCTAGGACCTGAGTTTTATGTTTACATCTATTTTACTGGCTTATTTGTGTGCAGCCGGTTGTTCCTTGCCGCTTAGGCAGACGCACTCCGACTTTGAAAGAAGCCCCCAATTAGTCGACTCCTCCAACATGCTTGCTGGGGAGGCAGTGGGTCTATTCTTGTTTTTGCCACAATGGAGACCCGGAACCCACACGGGAAGTATCAGTCAAATAGGGCTAGACCTATATTTTACAGAACAATTAGGGCGATGTGGTCAACATCACACAATCTCACAAGCAAGAGAGATAACTACGGCTTTTTAGCTTGAATGTTACAGAAACATTCTTGCAATACTATGAATCAACATGAGTTAGATGACAAATGATTAGATCTATTAACTGTTTGTTCCACAATGTAGATGGAAGTATTTTTTTTAATATAATATTAATATATTATAATAATTTTATAAGCATCGTTCTCATGGTTTCTGCACGAGACACAACGTAAGAGATTGGGGCCCAACCACATATTACGTAATATTGTCAGTATCATAGAGAGTAGTAGTTTACTGTATCCAACTTTTTCTGTGAAAATGGCAAACAAATGTTGGTTTGTTTTAGTTTGTTTTGTTTTTTTAAAGGACATGACAAAAACAGATAAATGATTAGATTTATTAACTGTTTGTTCTAGGGCATGCAAAAACAGAGAAAATTATCACATCTATTAACTGTTTGTTCCATGACATGCACGTCCATTCCTGTTCTGAAAAAATCTCTAACAGTTAAGAGATCCTTGAGAGTGACATCCCTTGTCCAGTTAAACTGCATATGATCATCCCAGGGCAGGAAGCTGGAGTTGACTGGTTCTGTCAATGTCTGTGGTGTCCCTTCTGTTTCTGTGGGTTGTGCAACGTCAATGGGTTGTGATGGGTCAACAGTTTGTGTGACGTCAACAGTTTGTGTGACATCTCTAGGTTGTGTGATGTCTGTTGTCACTGTAAAGTGATAAAGAGCTTGTTAAAAACCAAATTAGCAGAAAACTATATTCAAATACTCTGTTATGCATCATCTTCATGTACCAGGCCCCGTCACATCTATCCTTAAAGAAACTCAATACCTCATTGGCTATCCCCCCCCCCCACCTTGTACACTTACCTGCCAAAGATTTCACCAATGCCTTGTGACCACCTTTATGCTGGTCAGCCCCTGCCTCTTTTTCTTAGTAGCATTAAAAAAAACTGCCATTACTGCCAGTATTTGCCCTCCTTTTTGGAGTAGACAGGGGAGGTAATTTAACCTGGGGATTTAGGGCCACATGGCTGAAGCTGTTGCGAGGGACTGTGCAAGTTAAGATTTTATTTTTGTCGAGATAGAAAAAATTAATGACCTTACAGAGGGTTCAAAATTAGGTCTTCCGCATGAGAGCCAAGCATTCTTAACCATTCAATCAACCACTCCTCTTCGGCCAACCGCTCCATCTGGTAGCATGGCCTCCATTATTATTCTTTTCAAACGGCTAGTTGCTAAAGGCTGAGGACATGGTTTGAAACCATATGGATGTGGAATGGAAGGGGAAACTACCCCATTAAGATTTAAAGAAACTTATCATAGAAACTCTTTCATGAGAATGAGCAATATTATGAAAAGCACAAATATAACCAGCACAATTATTTTATTTACCACTGGAAGTTGAAATTAGTGTGATTTAGTTCCGCTTCCTGTTTCATTGGGAGAAGAAAGTAGTGTGGTTTAGTTTAGCTTCATATTCCACTGGGAGGTTAAAGTAGTGTGGTTTAGTTGAGCTTCATACTCAACTGGGAGCTGTCAGCCAGAAGAAGAATACCTATGCTGCCTTGCTGGAACCTCTTCTGGTGTTTATTATGCCTGGTATTCCATCAAAGTGATGAATTTAGACAGGTGATAACTGCCTTGCTGGAACCTTTTCTGGTGTTTATTATGCCTGGTATTCCATCAAAGTGATGAATTTAGACAGGTGATAACTGCCTTGCTGGAACCTTTTCTGGTGTTTATTATGCCTGGTATTCCATCAAAGTGATGAATTTAGAACAGGTGATAACTGCCTTGCTGGAACCTCTTCTGGTGTTTATTATGCCTGGTATTCCATCAAAGTGATGAATTTAGACAGGTGATAACTGCCTTGCTGGAACCTTTTCTGGTGTTTATTATGCCTGGTATTCCATCAAAGTGATGAATTTAGAACAGGTGATAACTGCCTTGCTGGAACCTCTTCTGGTGTTTATTAAGCCTGGTATTCCATCAAAGTGATGAATTTAGACAGGTGATAACTGCCTTGCTGGAACCTCTTCTGGTGTTTATTATGGCTGGTATTCCATCAAAGTGATGAATTTAGAACAGGTGATAACTGCCTTGCTGGAACCTCTTCTGGTGTTTATTATGCCTGGTATTCCATCAAAGTGATGAATTTAGAACAGGTGATAACTGCCTTGCTGGAACCTCTTCTGGTGTTTATTATGCCTGGTATTCCATCAAAGTGATGAATTTAGAACATGTGATAACTGCCTTGCTGGAACCTCTTCTGGTGTTTATTATGCCTGGTATTCCATCAAAGTGATGAATTTAGACAGGTGATAACTGCCTTGCTGGAACCTCTTCTGGTGTTTATTATGCCTGGTATTCCATCAAAGTGATGAATTTAGAACAGGTGATAACTGCCTTGCTGGAACCTCTTCTGGTGTTTATTATGCCTGGTATTCCATCAAAGTGATGAATTTAGAACAGGTGATAACTGCCTTGCTGGAACCTCTTCTGGTGTTTATTATGGCTGGTATTCCATCAAAGTGATGAATTTAGAACAGGTGATAACTGCCTTGCTGGAACCTCTTCTGGTGTTTATTATGCCTGGTATTCCATCAAAGTGATGAATTTAGAACAGGTGATAACCGCAGCAATCTTATTCTTCTTTGTGTTCACCAGCTGAAAGTTCTGGTTGTTTGTCGGCTTCTGGACTTAAGTCTTGTTCCAGAACTTGTGTTTTGTGTGCACATTAGTTTTACAGATTCTGGCTTTTTTGTATGCAGACTATTGGTGCCTCACCTGTTAGGCAGATGCACTTCAACTTCAAAGGAAAATCCAATTAGTCAAATTTTACAACATGCTTGTTAGGGGGCGGTGAGTGTATTCTAGTGTTCTCCACAAATGGGCCCCACAACCCACATGGTGATCTGTAGCAATGAACCTCAAGGGCTCGGAATGCTGAAGAAGAATTAAAAGAATGTATTGTTAGTACTGACTTCTAGAAACATCTACCGCAGACACTTGTTTTTCCTTGGATGTATTCCTTTCTAGTAGATTCTTCTCAGGCTGTGGCATCTGAGGTTGATGATGACTTGATGTACCATACCCAAGTGGCTGTCCAGTTGAGGGTGATTTCTGGAATGACATCTGAAACACAGAAGATGATTGAGAATGTTATCAAAAACTAGACAATCTTTCTGCTTCTACCCTCCATGCCTGTCTGCAGATTTGAAGTTTCAGTGCTGATCCTGCTGGCTTCTGGGTTGGAGAAATGAAAGGGATCTCTGCATCACAGTTCCTATGCAGTTGACACTTTGGCTAAAGGTTCTAACCTCCATGCCTCACTGGAGATGTGAAGTTTCAGTGTCGATCATGCTGGTTTCTGAGGCTGGAGAAAGGAAGGGCATCTCCGCATCACAGTCCCAATGGGGGTGACACTTTGGCTAAGGACTGGGTGGGTAGTCTCAATATCAACCTTGCTCAAATATATGCAAGCGGTTGTTAGAAGAAGTCTACAGAAGAACTGGTGTACCTTGACTGATAATCTCCTCTGACTCAGCAAACCTCAGCACAAGAAATGAAACTATAAAGAAACACAAATTACATAAAGCATCACGGATCTAATGACACTGCCCAGACACACAAAACAACCACGATTAAATGACACAGTCCAGTCACACAAAATATCCAAGATCAAATGACACTGCCCAGACACACAAAACAACCACGATCAAATATCACTGTCCAGTCACACAAAATATCCAAGATAAAATGTCACTGCCCAGACACACAAAATATGATGGATAAAATGACACTGTCTAAATACCTAATACACCAAAAATAAAACGACACTGTCCAGATACACAATACACCAAAAATAAAACGATGCTGTCCAGACACAAAATACAGCTATGATCAAACAACACTGTCCAGACACACAAAACACCATGTATGAGTACCTGCTCTAGTATACCTTTGTCCATTTCTGGCAGTGGTGTAATCTCATTGGCTGACTGCATGTCTGTAAACAGATAGGCACTTGGAGCTTCTAATTTTTCTACCGGTTCTTGGTACACCCTAGGGAGCATAAACTGAACAAAGTAGGTTCTTTCTATCACAGGGTAGTCTGGCTGGCTGTTTGGATTCTGTAGGGGAAAAAAATGTAATCAATACGTGAGACATAAAGGGAGAACCCCAAAAACTGCATGGAGAAGGGGATCAGAGAGCGAAAGGAAAAGATGGGGTGGACATGGGGTGAGCTGCCTGTGAGGGTGAAGTTTAGGATGACCTGGCAAGAACCGGTTGAGGACCTGGCAAGAACTGGTTAAAGACCTGGCTAGAACGGTTGAGGACCTATGCTCCATAGTTACAGAAAGATGAAGAAGACATGAGACATGTTTTAATTTAATTTTGATAAACTTTATTGAGTGTTTAAGTGTCTGCATTTAAACAGTGTTGGCATTTCTGTACGAAGAGAATAGATTTTCCACATCAGATGGGGAAAATCTACATTCTTTGGTCATGTTATGAGAAGGGGAAAATGGGAATGTGTCATGACAGTGTCAAGAAAGTTAGAGAGCTTAAGAGGCAGAGGGAGATAAGAGAGAAAATGCTGAATAGTGTGACATCATGGCATGGAAGATCATCTGTGTCAGACATTACTGAATGTACACAAGACAGAAGGTTGTGGATAGACATGACTACGAACACAAGGTATGGACTATAAGAAGAAGACAGGAGACAGAAGGTTGTGGATAGACATGACTACCAGCGCCACAAGCTATGGACTATGAGAAGAAGAAGACACGAGACAGAAGGTTGTAGACAGACAGACATGACTACCAACACAAGGTATGAACTATAAGAAGAAGAAGACAGGAGACAGAAGGTTGTGGATAGACAGACATGACTACCAACACAAGGTATGGACTATGAGAAGAAGACAGGAGACAGAAGGTTGTGGGTAGACATTACTACCAACACAAGGTATTCACTATAAAAAGAAGAATAGGAGACAGAAGGTTGTGGGTAGACATTACTACCAACACAAGGTATTCACTATAAAAAGAAGAATAGGAGACAGAAGGTTGTGGATAGACATGACTACCAGAACCACTAGCTATGGACTATAAGAAGAAGAAGACAGGAGACAGAAGGTTGTGGACTATCAACAATAGAAAGGAAGTGTCTGGGCAAAGTCAAATGTCATGAAATGTATAATTTATATGCAATGACTCTCTTTAATTTAGTCTCTGGCTCTTGTCAACTGCTTCTCAAATCTACACTGACGCAAGCATTTAAACATGCTGAATGAATGAAAGAGATCAACGCATAGCTAATTTCAATAGGTTTTTGTTACACACAGCTATCTCCGTGCCAGTGCACACAGAGGGAACTGTCTAGGCGACCACAACTTTGCCATTGAAAGCAACACATCAATTCTGATAATATTACCTTCACAGCAAAATTCAAATTGACATTCTCATGGCGACAGCATGACAGTAACCTTCCACATTCAACAGCCACAAAGGCAACGACCAGCCTTGACCAGAAATGTCAGACCAAACAGGTAGCCAGATTTGCCTTGGAACTCACAACCAAATATAATTCAGTCATTCACTTTCAGTTCGATTCATTCAGTTATCAATCTCTCCATGCCAACATTCCTGGATCCCAAAACTAGACTGGTCATTCTCGATCATTCCTGACTTAAGTAAACTTTTTCTTCTACGTGAATTTCAATCATTCAACTCACATAATATTTGATCTATTTAATTTGGCATGCTCTAGTCAATCTGCTCGTTCGACTCGCATTCAGTGTGTATCCCACTTCATCCTTAACCTTATTCACCTGAACAAGTACCTAATTTATGTTTCGCATCTAACCTCATTATTAATGCAAACATTAATTATCAGGAGACAATGACTACTTACAGGAGATACAAAGGAGGTGTTTGGATAGATAAGTGTCAGGGAATGACCTATATATACAGGAGTTACAAAGGATGTGTTTGGATAAATGTCAGGGAATGACCTATGTTACAGGAGTTACAAAGGAGGTGTTTGGATAGATAAATGTCAGGGAATGACCTATGTATACAGGAGTTAGAAAGGAGGTGTGTGGATAGATAAATGTCAGGGAATAACCTATGTATAGAGCAAAAACATAGGAGGTGTTTGGACAAAGCTGAGTAAGGTTACAAAGACATAAACTGGATCAGTTTGTCTGTCAAAAATTCTTGATGGGGAGAAATGAGGAGAAATTAAAACTTAGTCATAAGTGACAAACTTGACCTTCTTCTTCTCTTTTTTTTTTTTTTTTTTTTTAAAGCGTTAACAAGCAGTTATTTTCAGTGGAAAGTTAAGGTTATTCGTCCATTTCTGAACTTTGGTTTGTTTCAGAACTTGTGTGTACATCTGTTTTACAGATCTGGTGCATTATTATTAATAATTTTTTGTTCCGTGCCTCTCAGGCAGATGCACTCTGACTTTGAAGGTAACACCCTAACAGTTAGGGATCAGTGGGTCTATTCTTTTCCACCCAAAATGGAGCCAAGGATCCCATTCAGGAAGCAAAAAACCCCATTCAGGAAGCCAAGGACCCCATTCAGGGAGCAAAGGACCCCATTCAGGGAGCAAACTTGACAAGAGATAAAATATCTAGAAGACTCACACACATGGCATAAGCAAGACACAACCCCCGGCCTGATCCAAGACTGGTGATCATCTGAGTCAGCAAATCATAACTGCCTACAGTGTGTGTAAGTGTGTTAGGAAATTAACAGGCAGACAGATAGGCTGGTTCTGCACCAATAGGTGGTAAACTGACAAGCTAAATGTGGTCAGCGCCTTCTGGAAGCAAGTGAACAATAAGGAAGCCCAAATATTTCATTGTGGTAAGGAGAGAATTGTGTTGCAGGGAGTGCCCAGAAAATCTGGCCAACACTCAACATTCAGAGGAAAGGCAAAATTATGCAAACAACCAAACTGCTACTAGTACCGTCTGCACTGGAACTCTTTTCTGGCTGCTGAAGATTAAGAAGGAGCATTTATGGGAATGTCTCAAGGCTGTGATATCAGTTCTATTAACTCAGCTCAACTGTCATGCTCATCTCATTTCACATGATTTCAGTTTTCAAGACATGCTGATCATGCGCCAGTGTTTCTCTTATTGTGTGTATGCACGCACATGTGTGTGTGGATGTGTGTGTGTCATCATCTTTTGTGTGATGTTAGACATCACAAAGGGCTCGTTGATTCCTCCACTTTACTCTAATGCATGCAACTCTCTCATCAATTTCTAACAAGCATTTTTCGCTTGAACATTCTCTTTTTCTCAGACTGTTTGTTTCCCATTTTAGTGCTTGTTTTGTAATTCTTTGCTCATTTCATCTGAGTGGGCCCAGCATATTTCCACCTACCTTGTCTCACTGCAGTCAAAACAGGTATTTGTTCAGATGTTTCTATCTCACTTTTTTTTTTATTTATCCCATATATACACACACATACATAAATATAGTGACAACACACACACATATACATACACACACATATACATACACATACATTTACATACATACATACCATAATTTCTGGAGGACATTGAAGGCCTTTGAGACTTATAACCCCAAGCTGGACTAATGCTTCGTCTCGAACTAATTCTGAAAATAATAACAGTAACATGTAAATATACAATTACTTTATTCATCTCATAACCGCATGGATGAACTAGTTAGTATTCGTGAATGTATTTCTGTGTCCACAACACCAGAAATCAGTTTTAGTATAGTATACAATTAGTGTCATAACAATGACATATTATTACCACTTTGCATCATTAATAGAAACTGTGTTTGCAATTTACTATGTTTCCAATGTAGCTGTCATCTTAGCATATGTGACTGGCTTTTCTTCATTGTTGCTAGAAGTTATGTCACATTTGACTGACTGATTCTTTCTATTCACCAGATATTGTGTCACATCTGATTGGCCGATACTTTCCAAGTACCAGGCATTATGTCACATGTAATTGGCTTGTACACTATGTCACTTGTGATTGGCTATTCTTTCTTTGTATAATACATTGTGTGATTTGTGATTGGCTATTCTTTCTGTGTATAATATATTATGTCACTTGTGAGTGTGATTTTTTTCTATGTACCAGTCATGATGTCACATGTGATTGGCTATTCTTTCTATGTATCATACATTAAGACACTTGTGATTGGCTATTCTTTCTATGTATCATACATTAAGACACATGTGATTGGCTATTCTTTCTATGTATCATACATTAAGACACATGTTATTGGCTATTCTTTCTATGTATCATACATTAACCCTTTCGCTGCTATGGACGAGATAACTCGTCTGCCCGGCAGACTGCTAAAGACGAGATAACTCGGCTGCAATTTTCTGTGCCCTCACTGCTAAGGACGAGATATCTCGTTCTGGACATTTTTTTACAGATTGCTAAGGACAGTAATTCTTAGGGGTGAAATAGCAATACACATTAACTTAATCTGATCAAACTGACCCGTTTACATACAATTAAAACCCTTATCGAGTGAGTTTAGGCGTATTAAGATGCATTTCACGTTATCCTGTTTCTTTGTTACCATAGAAGTATTGTCGGTGATCGGTAATTTTTTTGCCCTGAAATATATTTCTGGTTTTGCGTTAGTCTAATTTTTTTTTTTAAATACAAAATAACAAGAACATTTGTTTAAATAAAGAAGAATTAATTGAGTTTCTTTCAAGGAGTAGTAGTAAGGATCACTTTAAAACGTGTGAGTTATATGAGCTGGGTTATCTTCGCGGCACGCCGGCGGACACGTGTACTTCTGGCTGTGAACAAGACTGACCAGTGACCATATGACCTAGCTATCTACATCGACTGGATTTGAAACGGATCCAAAATAATCAACAACAAAAAAAGATATAGTCACGTACTGACGTGATGATTAATATTAATTATATACTATACAACTGACATAAATGTGTTTGTCTATTAAAGTGTACAATACTGGTCTTTTTTTCAGTTCATAGTTTCATGTGAATTTCTAGTGTAGTTGGTATCACGTCTGCCTTACAATCGAAAGGTCCAGCGTTCAACCCCTACGTGCCGTTTTTTTTTTTAAATTAATTATTTTAAATGCAAATTTTAAATTTAAGCTGTTAGCATTTTCGGCAACAGATAACCAAAGAAATAATTAATTAAACATCCTGTCACGTGCGTTCAGGTGGATTTAGATGCTTTACACGTTATGTGAAGCGTGGTTGGTGTACTGTGCACATTCATTATATAAGGTTGTTGTGGGGAAAAACACACCTGTTGCCGAATTTCACTTAATGTTAGTAAGAGAAATTCTACATAAATATTGCAAGGAAAAGAGAAAAAGTGTAGGAGGACAAAAAAGTGAAGATCTGCCACTTCGTTTAGTACAAAGGCATTCCCCTTCAATAATAGAGTCCGTAACATCGCAGAAAAAATTCCCAACCAGAAAGTGTGTGGTATGCGCAAAAAGCAAAAAACGACGGAAACCCAGATACATGTGCAAGGAATGTGATTTGGCATTGTGTGTCGCACCTTGTTTTGAAATATTTTACACACAAAGATATTATTAATAATAATAAAAACCATGTATTTGCTTACTAAAGTGTTTTGTGTTTGCTTTGTAAGTTTGTAGTGTTTTCTTTTTGTTAATGAGTTTTCACGGCGTAGTAATAGCGCGTCTGACTTGTCAGCGCAAAGTTCAACCACACGCCTTCAACGATTTTTTATTTTAGGTGTACAATTTTTACCCTGTGCCGTAAGCGCGTCTTCTGCTTTTGAAGGAAAAAACGGTATTCAGCACAGGGGGAAAGATTAGCTCTCGCCTGGCTTAGCACAGTGGTTACGTTGGCTGGCGGAGGGCGCAGCAGCGAAAGGGTTAAGACACATGTGATTGGCTATTCTTTCTATGTATCATACATTAAGACACATGTGATTGGCTATTCTTTCTATGTATCATACATTAAGACACATGTGATTGGCTATTCTTTTTATGTATCATACATTAAGACACATGTGATTGGCTATTATTTCTATGTATCATACATTAAGACACATGTGATTGGCTATTCTTTCTATGTATCATACATTAAGACACATGTGATCGGCTATTCTTTCTATGTATCATACATTAAGACACATGTGATCGGCTATTTTTTCTATGTATCATACATTAAGACACATGTGATCGGCTATTCTTTCTATGTATCATACATTAAGACACATGTGATTGGCTATTCTTTCTATGTATCATGCATTAAGACACATGTGATCGGCTATTATTTCTATGTATCATACATTAAGACACATGTGATTGGCTATTCTTTCTATGTATCATACATTAAGACACTTGTGATTGGCTATTATTTTTATGTATCATACATTAAGACACATGTGATTGGCTATTCTTTCTATGTACCAGACACTATGTAATTTGTGACTTGCTATTCTTTCTAAGTACCAGACACTATGTAACTTGTGACTTGCTATTCTTTCTAAGTACCACACATTATGTCACTTGTGAGTGGCTATTATATGTAACATACATTTTGTCACTTGATTGGCTATTCTTTCTAAGTACCAGACATTTTGTCACTTTTGATTGGCTATTCTCTCTATGTACCAGACATGGAGCAACATCATAACAAGTACTGTAGGTACAGGACAAAGAGGTCACCAACCTTCCAAAGTTGCTAGGCCATTGAAGCTGTACTTCTCATCAACAGAAATCTGCTTGTCATCAAGAACTGTCAGATTCCGCAAGCTGTCAATGACATAGCCTCGATAACCTGAAATGAGCTGAAAAGACTGATGACATTACTCGATGGCCTGCTAGTTTACTCAAGTTTACAGTTTACAAATGCTTTCTGTATATAATTTTAAAAGGACAACAGACATCTTTGGCATAGCATTCTTTTTGCCTCTGTCTGTGATGAGTAAGAACAGTCTTTGAAATTTGTTGGATGCATCAAAGATGCAGATAGCAGAGAATTGAGAGTGGGAAGCAATGAAATTCATAGTCTGTTAAAGTGACCAATAATTACTGGCAGTACGAGGGCTAAAAGAATGATAGTCTGGACATATAGAGGGAACAACAGAGAGATACAAAAGTGTGTGTCTGTGCGCACATACACACACACACACATATACGTGGGCTCACGTGTATGCACATACACATACATACACAGTTGAATTAGGGTAGATCATGAGGCAGACCAAGGAGGCGGTGGAGAGATAATATACAGGCAGCATTGACTGACCACAAAAACACATGGAATCACCAACTGGAAAGAAATGACCAGTCACCGATATTAATGGAAGGGGGAGTGTGATATCTGCCGCAGTGAATCACAAGGGCTCGGAATGCTGAAGACGAAGGAGGAGGAGAGGAATAAGAAGCAGCAGCATCAGAAGAAGTTAAATCACTATTGTCCCATCTAACCGCTGATACCTGATCCCAGTATGAGTTGCTAAATAAGTCTGATATCCTCTGAATTAACTGTTCCTGTTGTAGGTCATCCAAACAACTTTGAGTCCAGTGTTCTTCAAACATGTCACACTGACAGACCAGCAAAACAAGAAAAACGGTTTCATGGACCACCAGACAGATGATAAAACACAGAAACATATGTAGATATTTTATTTGTGAAGTCTGATGACACATCATTTCAATATATCAGCTAATGTAACATCCCCTGCTGACAATCAAGACAGCAATCTTGTGATGTAATCATTCAGCTGAATCCTGATTAGGCAGAAATGTTTGGTGCACCACCGGTACATTATTGCAGACCACTGGTTGAAAAACACTGCTTTTAGTTTATCGTTGTTGGCAACTTTCTGTCTCTCCGGATGATAGTGTTATTTAGTGCTACAGGTAGACACAGGAATCATGGCAACGGTGAGAACCCCTCTCCACAGCACAAAGCCTGGGCAGTGTTGTAGACACCATCTGTTGCCCAAGCATCAGGATCCCTGACTCAGCCTGCCTTGTTTATTCTAAAGTAAAGGTAACACCAGTATGTTCTGGAACAAAGCACACTGCACAAGCTGTCTGATCAGAAAAGTAATGCTCTGTCTGCCTGTCAGAGCTTCCCTCCAGGACCAGCTGCCAGCCAAGGTTAAGGGTCTGATCTGCCCTGTTGGAGCTTCCCTCCTGGACCAGCTGCCAGCCGAGGCTAAGGCCCTGCCATAAAATAAAGTTTTCAGGTTGCATTTCCTCTTTCTAGGTTAAAGCTAGCATCCTCTCCAATGCACTCCCCCCCCCCTAACGGAAGTCATTGTCACAATTTGGAATGTTAGGTTTGAAATATGCCATCCAACATCTGCTGTTAACCAGACAGTATCGGCTACTATTATACGTTAGCTCAGTCATATCTGACCAAACCCTGACACTGGTTTCAGTTTATAAAACACACATTATTGTTAGAACTACAACAAAATTGACAGCTTACCGAAACAGGATTTCCCTGCAAGGTCAGATTCCTTAACTTGGGTAACGTGCTGAACATTTTCACAAGATCTGTCAGCCCACAGAGGTCATTGTAACTCAGATCCAAGGACACAAGCTCCGGCCTTGGGATAAAGAAAACAAAGCACTGACTATCAGTCAAAATTAAAATCAAAAGAAAGGATTTCACTGCATCAGGTTATCCCATTTAGCTCTGTCTCTTCCTGCAAAACATCTAGCCCCCCCCCCCCCCTTCTTCCCTGACAGGGTGGTACAAAGCACAAACACTGTAGCCCCAGTGAAGATCCCCAGAGAATTCCGTTAAAAACTGTACTTGTGAACTAAAAGACACGTCTATGAAACGAACACATTATCTTCAGAACATGAGGCAAGTGGCTGGATCCTTTTTCTACGGAAACCCGTATATTGACTAAAAACATTGAAAAGTAACAGTTAGTTGACACATCATCATCACTGCATTCAGAACTACTTAGTAAACAGTCCCAGAATGCTCAGACTGCTTGTTGGTATATACATCTGCATGTAGCTGCTGATGATACAGTCATCCTCTTGCGGTGGATCCTCTACAGTACATTGCTCACATCATGGTCTGCCTGAAAGAAGCTTGGTCTCTCACCAGGTCTTCTGCCTCCTGCACTTTCCTTCACATGCTTTCACTTATACCATGTGCCCATTTTTTTTTTTAACTGGTTGGGCCTCTTTCTTGTACCATACCTTCTGCTAAATCCACCGTGGCACTTGATATGGCCAAAATATTTCACCTTCCGAGACAAGATGGCTGTTTACTAGCCAACAATCTTCTTTAATGTTCAGATCTTTAAAGATGTCAGTAGATGATCATATCTTTTAGGATGTCTGTAGATGTTTGTATCTTTTAAGATGTCAGTATATGTTCATATCTTTTAAGATGTCAGTAGATGTTTGTATCTTTTAAGATGTCAGTAAATGTTCATATCTTTTAGGATGTCAGTAGATATTTGTATCTTGTAAGATGTCAGTAGATGTTCATATCTTTTAGGATGTCAGTAGATGTTTGTATCTTGTAAGATGTCAGTAGATGTTCATATCTTTTAGGATGTCAGTAGATGTTTGTATCTTTTAAGATGTCAGTATATGTTCAAATCTTTTAGGATGTCAGTAGATGTTTGTATCTTTTAAGATGTCAGCATATGTTCATATCTTTTAGGATGTCAGTAGATATTTGTATCTTGTAAGAGGTCAGTAGATGTTCATATCTTTTAGGATGTCAGTAGATGTTTGTATCTTTTAAGATGTCAGTATATGTTCAAATCTTTTAGGATGTCAGTAGATGTTTGTATCTTTTAAGATGTCAGCATATGTTCATATCTTTTAGGATGTCAGTAGATGTTTGTATCTTGTAAGATGTCGGTAGATGTTCATATCTTTTAGGATGTCAGTAGATGTTTGTATCTTTTAAGATGTCAGTATATGTTCATATCTTTTAGGATGTCAGTAGATGTTCATATCTTTAAAGATCTCAGTACATTTTTATATCTTTTAAGATGTCAGTATTTCTTTTCTTCTTTGTCCTTGGTATTCTGAAAACCTGTCTACATCAGTTCAGTTCAAAAACTTCTTTTTTCTTCATTAAGGACTGAGATAGTCAACAACTCAAGTACATATGAATATGGTACCACACAATTTGGAACTCTTCTCTGGCTGCTGAAGAGGGGAAAAGAGTGCTTAGGGGAACATCCTGGTGCTATGATGCTGGTTCTTGAAGTTTAACTCAATATAACACTTTCTCATGTGGGTTCCAGGGCCCCATTGTGGGGAAAACAAGAAAAGACCCACTGCCTCTCCAGCAAGCATGTCGTAAGAGTTGACTAACTGGAAGCTTCCTTCAAAGTCGGAGTGAATCTGCCTGCAGGCAGGAAATCAACAGTCTACACACAAATGAGTCAGATCCGTAAAACAGTTGTGCACGCAACATTCAGGTTTCGGAACAGAACTAAACTCCAGAAGTAGGCGAATAACCAGAACTTTCCGCCTGAGTTTACAGCCAGTGAACGCAAAGAAGAAGAAGAATATAACACTATCATCTGGAAAGATAGTAAAGTCCAACAACAAGAACAACAACAACATTAACAACAACAACTGATTCAAACTTCCAAGCAATTGTATTTTCCCCATCTACAGGGTGGATACGTTTTTATTTTTGTTTCAACAGACCAGACATGATTCATATGTAGGTCTACATCTCACCAGAAAGTTCCAGAAACACAGTTTCCAAGAGTAGAGATTCGGTTCCTGCCAAGACCTAGATGACGAAGTGGCGGAGGTCTGCTGCAAAGGTCAGTGATGTCATCAATGTCATTGGCACAAAGTTCCAGCACCTGGACATCCATGAAACAAACAGTTTGAGAATATTTATATCGTGGTTGATGAGGATTTTACTGTGATTATTTATGCAGACGGTTCAGTGTCAAGAGGCAAAAGAAGTGACTGGGAGTTCTTAACAAAAGTTAATGGCTGACGTTTGGTGCAGGAGAGCCTAGCATATGATACCACAACATCTAGCTTAAGAATGGAGGTGGAGGTGGACACTTCAGCTTTCCACTGACTACAGAAAACACACACACATCGTGATTGTAACTGATTCAGAAAACATGCCGAGGAAGGTGATGACACTCATGCTTCATGCAGCATAGCATGCATCACTTTGGAGGTCACAGGTGAGGAGCATTGTCTAGAACTTTTCCCGGATTACGCTGGTTTGGTGGGAAATAATCAGGCAGACAGATTGGCTGGCTTTGCACAACTTGCTGGAATACCGATGCATGATAAGGCAGATCTGGTCAAGGCCCCATGGGAGCATGTGTAAAATTCAGAGGAGTAAATGCATCATTATTCTGGAGAGAGATACAGTGAGGAGAGGATCTGGCCAATTCTCGACTCTCAGAAGAAAGGCAAGACGGATGTAGAATCAAACTGGTACCATTGGTACTGGAGCTGCCCTGGCACAGAGTTACACCCACATTTTTAAAGTACAAAAGTGAATCCTTTCCACAGAAATACGCAAATCACAATGTCCTAGGTTACAATGTACATCTCAACACTGGACATTCAAGATTAGCCAAGCAATTACCATGGTCATTTTAAATTGACCACATGCTTTTCAAATTTTGTTTTTTTTTTCAGAAAGAATCTTAACCACTATAACACTGTGGCTCTCTCTCTCTCTCTCTATATATATATATATATATATATATATATATATAAAGATTTGTTGCTACTTGTTTTAGGTCTTGAATTTTTATTAGGCCCACAGCAGAAATCTGATTCCAAAACAAAGGATCTATTACAATGGTAGCTTGTCGGGTCATTGATCAACAGTCTTTCCACGAGTGGATATGTTACAAATCTCTTCACAGTTGGAAAGTTAAAGGGGTGCAGACATACAAATGAGATGTTGAACCAGAACCAGGAATGATCTATCAACATCTCTCAGTGTCATCCTAGAAACAGGTTCCTGACTGGCAGCTTGGCCAATACAGACAGAATCTAAGTTTCCTTGTAAGCTGGAGCCCATCTGATTGAGAGGGAAGGAACTAACAGTCAACAGGCAAAAAAGCCAGATCAGTAAAATTGATGCACACACAAGATTCAAGTCCTGGAACTACACTAAAGTCTAGAAGTGGAAAAAACGACTAGGACTTTGGCTGGAGTTGACAATGGATGAGTGCAAAAAATGAAGAAGAATAAAAAGTTAAAATGAAATAATATGCTGAATATGAGAATGTCAAGACTAAATTTGGACGAAGACAACCTTCATAAAAAAAAAACATGTAGATTAAGTGTGGTACTGACCTAAATTTATTAAGACCCTAAGTGGTATTTAGGACAAGTATTGTGTTGAGATTACCCTTGTGTGATTTATGAGGGAAAGCCGGAGCACTTACCGTAAACTGAGGCGTATAAGTCAAGTTCTTTTTCTTCTTCTTTTTTTGTTGTTGTTGCTGTTGTTGCTATGATTCGACTGCCTTGCACGTCAGGGCAAGAAAAGATCCCTGGAACGGTCTCTTCTGTTCATTTTGTATATGGTACTTTTCAGTGTCTCTGTTATTTCTGCAGTCCATCTTCTCATGGACGACATCTGGTTCTGTTACAGCTGTATTTGTAAAACACTGTTTTCTGTAAAGCCTGTATCTAGTTACAGGACCAAACCATTTGATCTAGTCTGTCAAGTTTTCCAGAATAAAAAACAAATTTTTCCAAAACTAGGGGTCGACTCAAACAGGTGGTATAAAATGTGCCAGACAGATATAACCTTCAGCAGTCGAAGCTTTAACAAATAAAATCAACAACCCCCTCCTTTGTAAGCAGACATAATTTATAGTAAATCTGAAGTTACCCTGGTAAGTCATGTAACTATGGTGAACTTCCGGTGACTAGACAAACCATGATGCATCGAAAAAGACTACTCACATTTCAGTTGGTTTTATTCAGTTTTGTGTGATCTTTATTTTATGTTGATGTAACTCTGTAGTAATGCACCTGACGAAATACAGCAAAGTATACCTAGCAATAAATTGTGCAATGTATTGTTTGTGTCCACATTATTTAAAGACAGTTATAGGCCTAAAAAATGTTAGGCTAAGAATCTTGAGGTTGACTTGTGTGCCACAGTAAGTAATTATATACATTACAGAAATGATATTTTTTTCAGAACTGACTACAAGAAAATAAGAACCATAACCATCACATATTTACCTTCAATGAAGCTGGCAGATACGATGAATTCACTGTTTTAATATAATTTGCACTGAGAGTTATCTCCTCCAAGTTTTTGAACCTCAAGAGTCCCTCATCTATTTCTGTTACCTGTTGAATATATCACATTGGCCTTTACAATTTTATCAAGATCTAATGAAAAGATTGTCTTTATATTTTATTTATACAATTCCAAGTGGTTCATGTTAATTTGTGATTCATTTTGGATATATTGTATCCAGTTTTCTTTGTGTTATATGATGGTTACTGGACAAATATAATTTCTTCTTATAAATTTCTCTAAACATACCATCTGTTTATTGACTAATAATTAACTTCTAACACAATTTATTTTTGTAGCAGTATTCTAGTATTATCAATCTCTGGTCACTTTGAAGTATAATATGTATATGTTGGGCAGCAGTTGAATTGGTATGGTCTGTTCTAATGTGTAACACTTGTGGAATATCAAAATTGCATTACCATCCCTTGGGCCTCTGAGACTCAAAGAGTTAAGAAGAACACTCAGTTAACATGAATATAATTTTGGTCCTAGCTTAGATGTTAATATTATAAGTCCCCAGTTAGCACAATTTTATTTGTACATGAACTCTTGATTTTTTGGTCTCTTAGAATTTGTGTTAACGAGGTATTACTGTACCTTAAATGAGAGGTCCCCACTCTTATAAAAAACATTACTGCAGTAAAATGTTTAAGAAAAGTGACAAAAGGTAGACTGTGGTCATCAACATTATGTGCCAAGCTAGTAAGTATGGGGGCAAGCATGGTTCACCATCTGACACGAGCACCAGCATCAGGGATCAGGTCTGTGATCTTGTCATGCCTGTGCCATGTGGAAAACTTACATTAGGAAAAGGATTAATATAAGTTTTTCAGTGTGTACAATCATGACAAGAGACAGAAATTACTGTCTTTAACTTCTGCATCTATCATCATAATCATGACAAGAAACAGAAATTAATGTGTTCAACTTCTGCATTTATTATCACAATCATGACAAGAAACAGAAATTATTGTCTTCATTTTTATTGTCCTAATTATTGTATATTGATTATCATCAATAGTTTTATTGCCCAGCTTCTGAGTTGAGTGCATGGCATGACACTGTGAGCTACATGTGTTTTTCGTTGGCACAAGAGTGGAGCAACTATGGAGTGACCCATTTGCTATGAAGCTGAAACTAGGATTACCAGATTGCCAGATTGTCTTTAACTTCTGCATTTATCATCATAATCATGACAAGAAACAGACATTAATGTCTTCAATCCATATTTATCATCATAATCATGACAAGAAACAGACATTATTGTCTTCAATCTACATTAATCATCAAAATCATGACAAGAAACATAAATTAATGTCTTCAACTTCTGCATTTATCATCATAATCATGACAAGCAACAGACATTAATGTCTGTAATCTACATTTATCATTATAATCATGACAAGAAACAGAAATTAATGCCTTCAACTTCTGCATTTACCATCATAATCATGACAAGAAACAGACATTAATGTCTTCAACCTATATTTATCATCATAATCATGACAAGAAACAGACATTAATGTCTTCAACCTACATTTATCATCATAATCATGACAAGAAACAGACATTAATGTCTTCAACCTACATTTATCATCACATGAGGCTCACGTTCTAGTCTTCCATTTTGTACTTAGTTCGTTAATCAATAGATTATCATCACTGCAGATCGGATAAGTCCATAAGCGCTCAGATCCCATCTTCAGTATATCCTCCAGCATGTGGCGACTGATGTCACCAGTTTTGTGTTGTTTTACTATTCTTCTTTGGCTCCCTGTCTAGTATTAATGTTTAGCGACACCTCTTTTGACCTGAAGTTCTTGTAGTCTTTTGAGTGTTGCCAATTCAACGTCGTCTCCTGAATCATCTACTCATCCTGCCTCCTTGAGAGCATTGAGAATGTCGACCCAGTCCGATGCTTTTCCGGTGTCTCAGGTGGTCCTGCCAGCAAGCTAATCCTGTGCAATTCTTTCAATATCAAATGGAGTCCAGCACAGCTGCTCTTGGACAGTCTCATTTCCTCAATCTATCTGTTTCCCATTTCAGTGCCATCTACATTTATTCCATTGTTTTCTTTAACTGTTGGAAGGTAACTGTATTTTGCTTGTTTGCACATTTTTAGGCAACATATTCTATTTCTTTCCCAACATTTGGTACCCATATCAGTCTGTCCAACAAGTTGTAGAGGATTTTTCCTGTCTCTCAACTCCATGTTGTATCTGTATTTATTTTCTCTAGAAAGAATGCACCCAAAGCCCATTTAGAAAGCAACATTCCCCAGTTGAGTTTCAGGGCTTCATTTTGAAATTTAAAAAAACAATACTCTTTGCTCCAAAACAAGCATGTCATAAAGCAATTAATTAGGAATTTGCTGAAACTGGATGTGTCGTTTAAAGGTAAAGTTACTGCAGCCCAGCTGTAAACCACAACACAATGACTCAACTGCCCTTTTAAGGGCGAACACCCAAGAAGAGGAAGAATAAAGCCCAGGGAGGCCGTATGACCGTAAAGAAAAGGCAGGTACAACAAACAGGTATTTCTGCTCCACAAATAGGGTTATATTATTGCACAGCCTCATCGTCTGCAACCACTATGTCCCTACCGTACATGCAAGTATTGGCCTCATTTGATCTATTAGGCCTCCTTTTTGGAAACAATTACAGATTCAATCTAACCAACCTTTATTTTGGAAGTGGCATTTGATCGACTGGCTTACCGAGTCCAGCTAGTTGTGGTTGACCATATTAACCCAATAAGTGCTGAATGGGCTATAGAAATACAGGCTTAGCAACTACTCAATGGCAAAAGATGTCTGCTGGGAGAGGCCGAGCTATATGTGATAAAACCCACTGCAATTAATTCAGTTCTCTCAACTTGAGTTTTAGAAGGATTCATTGTTGTGCTTCATTGTATGTCAGTCCAGTTATGTAGAATACACCTGGCAAGCTATAGACAACTATGCCAGGTAACAGACTGTGCAATGTGCTTTTGTGTCACCATTATTTGATCTTACATCTAAATATACTTTCATCCCCATGGGGGATCCAGGGCCCCATTCTGAAAAAAAAACAGAATAGACCCACTGCCCCCCCCCCCCTTCCCCAAACAAGCATTTCTCAGAAGTCTGCTTTAAAGTCAGAATACATCTGCCTGAGAGGCGAGGAACTAGCAGTATGCATACAAATAAGCTACATATGTAAATTAGATGTGCACATAAAACTCATGTTCTGGAACATGATCAAAGGGCAGAAGTGGATGAAGAATCAAAACTGTCCAACGGAGTTTACAGCTGGTGCACGTGAAGAAGAAATCAACTTACAGATTTATCATCAATATTCAGAGTTTGGAAACAGCTGTATACAAAGTCTGGCTTTATTAGCCATGGTGACTTGATTGCCTTCTCCTTTAAGGTGCCAGCCTCCTTGCTCCAGCTGTATTCCATGTACCATGGCGACCGAGGATCAGTGATCAGCTCAATCAGCTGGTCGCTGTTTTCCTCGTCTGCATCATCTGAGACAAAACAAAGATTAGAGCTTGTCAATGATTCTGCATCATCTGAGACAAAACAAAGATTAGAGCTTGTCAATTATCCTGCATCATCTGAGACAAAACAAAGATTAGAGCTTGTCAATTATCCTGCATCATCTGAGACAAAACAAAGATTAGAGCTTGTCAATTATCCTGCATCATCTGAGACAAAACAAAGATTATAGCTTGTCAATTCTTCTTCTTCTTCGTGTTCACCAGCTGTAAACTCTGGCGGAAAGTTCTAGTTGTTCACCCTCTTCTGGACAGTAGTCCTGTTCCAGAACCTGAGTGTTGTGTGTGCATCCGTTTTACAGATCTGACTCATTTGTATGCAGACTGCTGGCTCCTTGCCTCTCAGGCAGATGCACTCCAACTTCGAAAGAAGCTCCCAATTAGTCGACTCTTACGACATGCTTTTGGGTAGGCAGTGGGTCTATTCTTGTTTTGCCTATAATAGGTCCCCAGAACCCACACGGGGTAGCTAATCAATTATTCTGCGTCATCTGAGACACAACAAAGATTAGAGCTTGTCAATTATTCGGTATCAAACCAACCACAAAACAGTTATCAGTATCTAAAATATGTTTACAATATGTGAGTAAAGGACCCTTATCATACGAGTGGCACATCCAGTGGTTGGCCGACGGTAAGAACTGCTGGGTTCTCATGCTGGAGAGCTGGGTTAGAACCCTTGGTTAGGTTGGGGATCTCTATTTCTGCCGGGAGCAAAAATCAAATCCTAACTTGCACAGTCCGTGACGACTGCACTAGCAATGCAGCCCTAAATCCTCCAATTACCTCCCCCCCCCCTTCCCCGATAAACCGCAAAAAATGTCAATACAGGCATTAATAGCATTTTGTTGGTTGTTGTTGGGGGAGGGTGATTAAACATAATATTCTAGACATATCTTATACACCAACTGGCTTTTGATGCAGGACGAGGTGAGCATCAGCTGCCTTTATTTCCCATGACATTACCTGGTACCAATTTCAGACTTCAGTGACTGGGAGCAAGGATTTTTTTTTATTAATTTTTTCCACATCCACCCTGTTTGGATTCAACCCCAAGATGTTTGGGTCAGCAACCAAGGAATCCAGGCACTAAGCTACTTTGACTCGCAGTTACAATATGTTTGAAATGTGGATAAAACGTTTTCCATAACTGAAACTTTATTCCAGTATGACTAAAACATGATTAAAATATGACTAAAATAACACCATTCAAATATGAATTAAATAGGATTAAAAAATGATAAAAAAACGATTAAACTTTTTCAGTGCAAGGTTATCACAGCAGATATCCACTAAGAGAAATATCCTCTGTGACAAATTGTTTATGCATAACTTTCAAAGAAACTAACTACATCCCCTGTGGGTAGTGGTACCTCATTTTGGCAGGAGGTGGGTGGGGGAGGGGAGGGTGGAGAAAAGGGGCTCAGACCCACCATTCTCCTAACAAGCATGTCATGATATTTGACTAATTAGGGATTTGCTTAAACTGGATGTGTTGATCCTAGCTGTAAACCACAATACAATGATCTAACCACAATTTTAAGGATGGCCACAGAAGAAGAGCAGAAGTGATGGCTTCTTCTTTTTCAGCACTCTGAGCCTTTGAGGTTCATTGCTGTAGATATCACCCACCTCCATTTATCTCTCTGGTTGGCCTTCTTTTTTCCAGTTAGTGCAACATGTGTTAAGAGTACAGTTACACAAAACAGGCATCAAATTATCTTCCAGTTACACAAAACAGGCATCAAATTATCTGCCATCTGTAAATGCAGTGCAGGCAGACTCCTGGGTTGGTACTGCAGGATTGTCCTAACTACTCTTAGCAGAAGTTAGGATCTGATCCAGCAGAAGTGTGTCACAAAACAAGCTGTTGGGGGACCTATGGTGACCTTGGACACAACATCCTGTTTGTAATCTAGATGATACTGAATGTTTAGCATGATTGACTTAGAACACAGTAGAAGAAGAACAAGAAGAACAAGAGCAAGAAGAAGAACAACAAGAAGAAGAAAAAATGAAGATAAATTACCATAATATTTTTTAAAACACCATATAATTACCGATATCCAACTGCACGTCCTCATATCTGTATATCACTTGTGCCCCAGATTTCCTGTGTTTGTTCTTGGACAAAAGATCCGTTTTATGCTTTAAGAAATCAAAAAGACATCTACAAAAATGTTCTGTCAACAATGACTCATCAAACAAGAGCAGGATGTTAACATTTGATCTACCAAGCAACACAGCACATTTTCATCTGCTATTCTGAAAGTTTTCTGTCAAACAAATGAAGTGGTGACCTTCTGTGGTTAACTTACTCCTTCTGCCCTCAAAAAAAGTACATTTAAAAAAAAAAGTAAAGGTCCCTTTACATGCACTGGTGCATCTGACATATGAGTCTACACTCGTATTTTTTTAAAAGACCAAATGGCCCTCAGTGGATGATGTGGTCAACCTCCCACCAACCACCTTTACTTCCCAGGACTTGGCATGGTACCCATTTAAGGCTTGATTAGTCTGAGAGCCAAGGTCATGTATGGAAGAAACAAAATCAGGTGCCATGTAGATTTGATCTCCAGGATCTTCTTTCTGTCCAAAAGTTGATATAATTCCAAGTCCTTCAGATGCAATCATCATCTGTTTGTAAGTGAAACTATCTGGGACATAAGGAATTGTAATCATTCTTGACTGGGACAGAACGAGTTGGACACTTTTGTTTACACTTTGGCTAAAGCCAAAGTTAATATCCTGTAATATCTGTGTTGGTTCTGGGGTCCCATTATGGGGGCAAACAAGAATAGACCCAGTGCCTCCCTAACAAGCATGCTGCAGGAGTCGAGAAACTAGGGGATTCCTTTGAACTGAGAGTGCATTTGCTCCAGAGGCAAGGAACCAACATCTGAACATTATCAGGCCAGATCTTTTTTTTTTTTTAACTGTGGGCACAGGCAAAACCTAGGTTTATAAACACAGCTAAAGTCTAGAAATTGACAATCAACTTGGACTTTCCAATGGGGATTTCCAGCTGGTGAACACAAACAACAATAACATATCTCAGCGTGCTGATTGTGACAAGAAAAACGTTAATGGATGGCATGGCACGCAGTAGTTTCAGAATTAGCACAACGAAATGGACTGGAGAACATGGTGATGACTGGCAAGATTGTTGGGAGAATAGCAAAGGAAAGGCAAAGAGGTGAATACCTGAAAGTTTGCGGACATGGGTGGGTTAAGACAAGAACCCTGGCCTTATCCTGGTGATCGTGTGAGATGCCGAAACATGACGGGCTACACGTCAGAAGAACGCCTGATAATAATGATGACAAAGTGCTTAGCTTTTGATATGCATACCCAGCTGCCAGTGCCGCAAGGAAAGTCTCGCAAACACAGTGTTTTTATTTGGTCCTGAATGGCTTTAAATGCTGTCAGAGGGACTATATCAGCCATGGTTTCATGCCTGTCTGGTACAATCAACGCCGCTTCTGTTGAAACTCCCTCGACAGGAACTCCATTTTGACGCTCTTTCTGTTTACTTCCGTTACTATGAAAACTCGACATCGGTACGGTACCGAACTGTCTTCATTGTCTCCTTCTTATAAACTACGAAGGGTTGCCGAAACCATTAGGAAATATGAAAGGGTGGTAAACAGGGAATAATGAAACTTAGGCAATTTGTGGAAACGACACCTTGTACTAGATTTATCGAGAAACAGCAGATTAAGTGGTTTCGCCATCTCGTTAGAATGAAGAAAGATTAAATACCATCACCAGCACTACATCTCAGAAGATCAACTACAAGAGCAAGAGGACAGCTGCGGAAACATTGATCAACAACATTAGAGACACTCTATGCCTTCACGACCTGACAATAGCCAGTGGCAGCCAGCGTGCATTAGATCGCTAATTATTCCTCTCCGTGGGCTTAACGGCAGAAGTGGTTTATGATGATGATGGTGATGATAATAATAATATTGATAATGATGATGATGATGATGATGATGGTAAACGGTCCCCATCTCTTTTTAAGTATCAGTTTATTTATTTCATGTTATTTTAAACACATTATTGCGTGCATTTTCTTTTTACTTAGTTATTATTATTATTATGCAATCAAACAAGACATGCCCATTGAAACCCAGTCCCCTTTAAAAAAATGCTAAGAGGCTAATCCTCTCCCTCCTCTCCTAGCACACTCATTGTGTCGACGCCTCTGATTTTGTTGAGTTGAACCGACATCATAGCACTCGGGGCATTCCCATAAGCACCCCGTCTCCCTTTTCAGCAGCCAGCGCAGCGTTCCAGTACCAATCGTGCCAGTAGCAGTCTGAATATATGTCAGTCTTGCATTTCCTCTAAGCATCGAGCATCGGCCAGATCTCCTCGTCACATCACTATCACTAGACTGTGATGATCAATTTGCTGTTCCTTTACGGCAGTGAAACCTGGACTGCTAAGAAAAAAAAGTGTGAATGCCTTCCACTAGAGCTGTATGAGCTACATTCTCTGTATATCATGGCGGGACTTTGTCCAGATAAATAAGTTAGATATGCTTCAGCAAATGCAGAAATAGAGCTTTAAAACACATTCCCTTTTCAATCCCGTTTGCACAGCTGTTTTATACTGAAGATCCATTGCAGCCAATCTTCATTGTGGAGACGGCACCTGATTGATTGATTTATACTGTAGATCATTGTGAATCGTGTATGGAAACCCAAAATGGTCAAAATTTACGATTTTCATCATAGACCCTCCCCTTAAAATAGCAGGATTTCTAATCATGTACGTTCTACTGAAGCAAGGACGCCTGCGTTGGTTGTTGAATGCTGCTCGTATGGGGGCCGGTCGCATTCCGGAGAATCTTCTGTATGGTAAACCGGTGACAGGCATAAAACCTGCAGAAAGGCAAAAGCTACGCTATAAGGACATATGCAAACGTGACCTGGAAGGTATTAACTTTGACACATACACTTTGCAGAGATCAGCTGCAATCCTGTGGATGCAGACATTTAAAGACGGACTGTCGCAGTTTTAAAGAGGTCAAACGCAGCAAGCGACAGGGAGAAGACGCATGAGAACGATAGCGGATTGATGTTTCTTTGTGGACTATATGACAGAGACTGCCACTCCCGCACAGGACTTCACAGACATAGCAGACTCACAACGCCACTGTCTCCAGGGAATGATGGTTGCCTACTACTAGTCCACATAGCGTTGATGATATCAGTTCTGTCTATACTTCTTCTCGTCTGCATTGGTGCATTACTTGTCAGACTAACGTCTTGAAATGGACGAAAAGCCAGTGAACCTTAAGAAGATTTTCACAAGTTCTTCAAATTTCATCCATCTTCAACACTCAATAATTCTTGGCTTTCATCATCGTCTATTCTTGATTCTCCTGTACCTTACGGTGTCAAGGTGATTCACAGTAGTAGTAATTCAATCAATCAACAATATCCTGTTCAACAAATTTGGGCTATATTTTTTCATGTATCTCATAATGCGGTAGATGATGGTAAACACACTGAGGTGGGGCCAATGCAGCTTAGGGGACCTCGTATCCAGCGGGATAAGAGGACAACTCTATGATGCCCTCTGCTGCTAGCAGGAGCATCACAGAGCAGGACACTTACTTGCCTGGCAGTCTACAATGTTGCTGAAGGCTGAGAACATGGTCTAAAGCCGCATGGATGTGAAAACCTAAGGGAAAACTACAACATTATTATTACAAGAAACTCGTTTTGAACCTAAAAACGAAACTAAACACGAACTGAGGAAGAGATATACGACAGAACTAGTCAGAGTAGTTGTGATAACGATCCTAAACCCGACGGTACTATGAACATCGAGAAAAACTGGCTAGTAAAGAGCATCTTATCTCGGAAGCTGAAAAATTTTGATCATATCAAGTGCCATGGCGTATTGGAAAAAATAATAGCAGAAGGCATGGTAAAAAGATGGAGGGGCAGCGGCCGACGAAGAAGGAGATGGACACAGGATATAAGTGATTCATTGAATTTGAAAGTACACGTGGCCGGGGAGCTGGCGAGAGATCGAGTTTATTTCAAGAAGACGGTGTCAGAAGCGACTTTCTGCAAATAACCTGCTACATAATAATGAACAGAAATAGATTTTCGTGCTTATTGATTTTTTTTTTTTTTTTGGTTATTTAGTATTACAAAGCTTATGTATTAGCCAATCAAGTCGATCGTCTCGATAGCCAAAGTCGGATTGTAAATAACGGAACAATTCTGTAGCTTATAGTCTTCATAGATGACGTCTGCTTTTGTGCTGTTTCTTTCATATATATAGTTATTTTGTATTAAAAGAAACTTGTTAGAAATAATATGTAATACTCTTGTCGAACTGTTAATTGTTCATAGCAATAAATAAAATTGATACAATGAAAGAGACCTCACTAACACGAAAGTCCAGGCATAAATCGAAGTCACCAAAAAGAAAGAAGAAGCGCCGTGAAACTTCGGATTCCAGCTCGTCGTCTTCTTCATCGTCGTCCCCTGATCAAGGTAGTAAATCAGCGACGAGGAAAAGGAGGACAGCCTCGACGTCGGATAGAAAGAACAGCTTCCAGGGCGCAAGTGCTGGCCGATCGAAGTCTCAGTCTGAGTCTCACTCTTCCAAAACTAGGAGAAAGAAAAAAAGGAAAAGGTTTGACTTTGATGCACTTGATGTTTTCCTGATTTCTGTGTAATATTATGCGGTTAGAACGTCATATTCTGATTTACAGCCAGGCTGTGACATCTTAGCCTGTCGGCACGAGACATCTAATTTCTGTAAACCCTCAATTAGTCTCAGACTTTAAGGATGTGCTTGCATCTCACCTCCTCCCCGAACCCACAGAAATAACCATTTAACAGGTCTTTTGCAAGTCGATCCTGGCCCTGGCCCCGACAGTCTCGGCAAGTCAAAGGCCCTTGTAGCCAATAAGTTAACGAACACTTTGAATCCAGATTATAACCCTGAGGGTTGAACAGAATATTTTTTTATGTGCAAATTTGAAATATTACTATTACCTTGAGGCATGCTCAGTTCACCAGACTCTTATATTTTTGTGTTAAAGACATTGCTCGCCTGTATCCTTCTTAACTCTTAGTATGAAGGAGATATCATGCCTTTATTTATATCTAATTTAACTCTGCCCTCTGGTACCCAAAGAGTTACTACTGGTTGACTCCTGTCTCTTCCTCCAAGTACCATGGTTTCTTTTACTGTCATTAAAAAAAAACATTGCGGCATTTAACATATCCAAAGAATTTCAATTCCCGACACTTGATGCTCTTTAACCACTTTTGTAACCATGTACAATTTTAGCATTCTTCTTCATCCTGATCCATGGAATTCTAAAAAAAAAATCTGTAAAAATGAAGATCAAATCACCATTTTCTTTTTAGTGACTGTAAAAGTTTTCCATGACTCAAATGATTTTATAATTGTGTATTCGAACAGCGTAAAAGGAGTAGAAAATTTAATATTGTCCGTCCAAAAGCACAGTGAAGATCAAAATCTGTTCTTGAATTTAAAGAAAACGAAAATAATGTCCACTGATAAAACTGGCTGTCACCCAAAAATAACAATAAATGATGCCGAAATTGAAAATGTCACAAACTTTGAATATCTAGGCTCTATAATAAACAAAAATGGAGACTGTTTGACAGAAATTAAAAGGAGGATGGCCATATCAATGCAAAGATTAAACAGCCTTAAAAGTCTATGGTTAAGTACCAGCAAGGAGATATAAATTAGAATTTTGAGAGCTTGCATCTTTCCTGTGGCTACATATGGATGTGAGCCGTGGACTATCTCTCAGTCCTTAAGAAAGAGAATAGGGGCTTTTGAGCTGAAATGCTATAGATTCTCAGAATATCTTTGACAAAGAAGATGAGAAATATTGACATCTTAAAATATCTGAACATCAAGGAAGATTGGCTAATAAACAGCATCCTTTCTCGAAAGCTGAAATATTTTGGTCATATCAAGCGCCACGACGGATTGGAAAAAAATTATAGCAGAAGGCATGGTACCAGGAAGGAGGGGCAGAGGCCGACCAACACGAAGATGGGCACAGGATATAAGTGACTCCTTGAGTGTGAAAGTTCATGAGGCGGGAGAACTGGCAAGAGACCGAGTTTCTTACAGGCAGACTGTGATGAGAGCAACGTTCTGCAAAGGACCTGCTACATGATGAGAGTGTATATATATGTGGGTATATTAAATTTCTTATTCTGCAGGTACAGTCTATACTAAGCATCAGTCCAGTCTTACTTAAATTCTGTACTGACCATCAGTCCAGTCTTACTTAATTTCTGTACTGACCATCAGTCCAGTCTTACTTAATTTCTGTACTGACCATCAGACCAGTCTTACTTAATTTCTGTACTGACCATCAGTCCAGTCTTACTTAATTTCTGTTCAACCATCAGTCCATTCTTACTTAATTTCTGTACTGACCATCAGTCCAGTCTTACTTAATTTCTGTACTGACCATCAGTCCAGTCTTACTTAATTTCTGTACAACCATCAGTCCAGTCTTACTTAACCCTTTCGCTGCTATGGACGAAATAACTCGTCTGCCCGGCAGACTGCTAAAGACGAGATAACTCGGCTGCCACTTTATGTGCCCTCACTGCTAAGGACGAGATATCTCGTCCTCGACATTTTTTTTACAGATTGCTAAGAACAGTAATTCTTAGGGGTGAAATAGCAATACACATTACCTTAATCTGATCAAACTGGCCCATTTACATACAATTAAAACCCTTATCACGTGAGTTTAGGCGTATTTAGATGCATTTAACGTTATCCTGTTGCTTTGTTACCATAGAAGCATTGTCGGTGAACGGTAATTTTTTTGCCCTGAAATATATTTCTGGTTTTGCGTTAGTCTAATTTTTTTTTAAATACAAAATAACAAGAACATTTGTTTAAATAAAGAAGAAATAATGGAGTTTCTTTCAAGGGGTAGTAGTAAGGATCACTTTGAAACGTGTGAGTTATATGAGCTGGGTTATCTTCGCGGCACGCCGGCGGACACGTGTACTTCTGGCTGTGAACAAGACTGACCAGTGACCATATGACCTAGCTATCTACATCGACTGGATTTGAAACGGATCCAAAATGATAAAAATAAAGATATGGTCACGTACTGACGTGATGATTAATATTAATGTTAATTATATACTATACAACTGACATAAATGTGTTTGTCTATTAAAGTGTACAATACTGGTCTTTTTTTTATTTCATAGTGTAGTGTGAATTTCTAGTGTAGTTAGTGTCGTGGAATGATAAGCCATTACGCATCACCCTAACAGAGTTGAGACCTGTATTACCTGTGCTCGACACAACTTTCAAACTTGGACTCGTCCGGGATGGTTTATAGTCCCTTATATCGATATATGCCTTTATCGGACATAATTATAATATCTACATCTTCTAGTTGCTTTGACTTAGCGTCATTTTTAAATTTGCAACTATTTGATAAATATTACTGAAGTTATTTGAGGTTTCTTAGAAACCGGTTTACTCCTTGCTCATGTATACAAGGAACTCCTTCTTACCAACGCCTGAAGTGAGAATTTTGCACCATTCTTTCTGCCGGCTTTCCTAGCATTCAGACGTGTCCATCGACACCAGTACATTTCATTTTAAAAAGGCGGTCTGTGGTGCCTAGGACTTTTCCTATGCTTGGGTAAGTTAATTATAGTTTACGAGTACCTAAAATGATGTCTGTTAAAGTGGTCACTGCTGTAGAGAGATCAGAATCGGCTGTGGGATCACACATAGTTCGACCGTTCTTGATCGCTAGAGAAGCGGATTCGAACTTAGACCTTCCTTTGTACAGACTAAATAGCCTATGCCCTAAATAACCCACACATACTGGTAAAACTAATAACCTTACAAGTGTGTACTATTTAAACTAACAACAGAAGTTTGTGCATACAAATGGGGAAAGAGAATTTAGGTCAGGACTTGGTCAGGCAGCGTTGCGTGAGTGTGTTTGACCCAGATCAATGAATGTGTGGGACTGGCTTGAGAGTCGTAGGGAATAGGGGTATTGACGGTAAATATTGGTGTCTGTGTGCAGATGGGAGGGGGGAGAGATTGATATATGTGTGAGAGTGTCTATCTATCTCCACTATATATCTGACTTTCCATCTCTTGCACTAAACAGACAGATGAATGATAGGAGACAGTGTCTCCTGGTCTTGAGAGTGCACTCTGAGGAATGAAACAGGGGAGCAGAGGTGGAGTAGGCTGATGTGGGATGGTAACTGATACTTATTCTATCTTTCCTGTCAAGATGTTACCCTCTTGGTGATGACTAATTCTGAGTTCTTTCTTGGCAGGATGAAACCTTTGTGAAGAGCTGGCAGAAAAATCACAGTCCAACCAACACCCACCATCAACCTATTACCAACCAATTATCACCCAACTACCAGTTGTGAAGACTGACATCAATTTGGGGTGCCATATACCCCAAACATCCTACAGTGCCAGAGCATGTGTGTAGCTCAGGGACAGTGATGAGAATGACTAGTGGGAGAGATTTGTTAAGTGCCTATCCAGTTGCTGTGTCCTTTATGGTGAGGTACTCCTCCACCATCTGATCCAGTTGAGGCAGAATTACCAAAGACAGTCGAATCATCAGGAGCTGAGGGAAGCATCAACGATAGAAAGAGGATAAGTGCCAGTTAATGCCATGTTTTGCTATATTCCCCACAGCTCCCATGTTTCCCAAGGATGAAGATGTGTCATCTCCAGATCATTCTGGCTTTTTGGTTGTCTTTGTAATCTGGACATTGTATTCTGGAATCCAGCTATTGAGATCTGGCATCTACTTCACTATTATATATATGTATATGTTGTATTGATTACATGCATTCATTTTCATGGCTGACTTAGGTGTCTCTATTTCACCTTTTTAAGTGTTTAGCATTTGTGTGTGTATGAATCTTAAATATATGTGTTAACATGGTTATGATAATGAACGATCATAACCTGGGGGCTTTCTTTAGTAAGTAGTGGGGGTGTCCAGCCAAGTGTGCCTAGGAATATTGTATTCATATACAGATATATTTTGTAGTGCCAATACTTGAGTTGCCCTACTCCAGAAATAAGTTGAGCGTATATTGGCCACGGGGAATCCCTTAGACCAATACGAGCCAAACGACTCAATATAATTATTTCTGAGTGCTGTTGGTTCTGAAGGAGAAATCCTTATATCAGACATGTGACAGGAGTGATATGTGACAGTTAGTATCACGTCTGCCTTACAATCGAAAGGTCCAGCGTTCAACCCCTACGTGCCGATTTTTGTTTTAAATTAATTATTTCAAATGCAAATTTTAAATTTAAGCTTTTAGCATTTTCGGCAACAGATCACCGAAGTAATAATTAATTAAACATCCTGTCACGAGCGTTCAGGTGGATTTAGATGCTTTACACGTTACCCTGTTCCTTTGTGAAGCGTGGTTGGTGTACTGTGCACATTCATTATATAAAGTTGTTGTGGGGAAAAACACACCTGTTACCGAATTTCACTTAATGTTAGTAAGAGAAATTCTACAGAAATATTGCAAGGAAAAGAGAAAAAAGTGTATGAGGACAAAAAAGTGAAGATCTGCCACTTCGTTTAGTACAAAGGCATTTCCCTTCAATAATAGAGTCCGTAACATCGCAGAAAAAATTCCCAACAAGAAAGTCTGTGGTATGCGCAAAAAGCAAAAAACAACGGGAAACCAGATACATGTGCAAGGAATGTGATTTGGCATTGTGTGTCGCGCCTTGTTTTGAAATATTTCACACACAAAGATATTATTAATAATAATAAAAACCATGTATTTGCTTACTAAAGTGTTTTGTGTTTGCTTTGTAAGTTTGTAGTGTTTTCTTTTTGTTAATGAGTTTTCATGGCGTAGTAATAGCGCGTCTGACTTGTCAGCGCAAAGTTCAACCAGACTTCTTCAACGATTTTTTTTTTTAGGTGTACAATTTTTACCCCGCGCCGCAAGCGTGTCTTCTGCTTTTGAAGGAAAAAACGGTATTCAGCACAGGGGGAAAGATTAGCTCTCGCATGGCTTAGCACAGTGGTTATGTTGGCTGGCGGAGGGCGTAGCAGCGAAAGGGTTAATTTCTGTACTGACCATCAGTCCAGTCTTACTTAATTTATTTACTGACCATCAGTGTTAATTTCTATACTGACTCAGTCTTACTTAATTGGATTTCATGTTGCCATCTATTCTTTTCTTTCTGTTATGCACAGTTGTTTATGAATCTTTGTAGTTGATTGGTAAATGTTTTAGATATTCTCCATGTTTTTGGTCTAAACAGTAGTACCGGTAAGATTTTAAGAGTTCAGAATTCTAATTTAGTTCTCTACAAATATTTATGTGCTATGATAGCTCTTCTTGCCTTTTGTATCCATAATTTTAAATAGCTGTACCCAAATATGGGTACCTTTTACTCATTAAAAAAATCTAGTTATTATCAGTCTTAAATACTTCAAGATCTGCTAGAGTGTTATCGGTTGCAGTTCCAGCTTCACAGCTGGAATTACTCCATCTCTATGCTAGTAAAAACCACACAAAATGCTCATCAGGTCCCATAAAAAAAGTTAAACAGACAGCAGTCCCAGCAAATAGTGACTGCTTACGCACACATTAAATGCTCATCAGGTCCCATAAATAAAGTTAAACAGACAGCAGTCCCAGCAAATAGTGACTGCTTACGCACACATTAAATGCTCATCAGGTCCCATAAATAAAGTTAAACAGACAGCAGTCCCAGCAAATAGTGACTGCTTACGCACACATTAAATGCATAAGGCATTGGCCAGAGTTGCCAACAGCCCACAACTACAATACTAGAATTGTAATTCATTAATGATGGAAGACACACTGATGACAAACCAGCATTCAATCATTTAATACTGCATAAGGCAAACTGCCAGATTTATCACAACCGTCCACCCACCATTTTCAGAATATTCAGTTTAGGTGCAGAGAAACTGCACTGCATATAAGAAAAAGTAACCATGTTGACGTTCTACATCTACAGGTATTTCATTAAATTGTTTCATTAGGGTGTAGTGACATTTTCTGTTGCTGAATTTCGATGTTTTATTCCTAGGTCCAGTTCGTCTTCCTCCTCTTCTTCATCGTCATCTTCATCATCATCATCATCATCTTCCTTGGAGAGAAAGAAACGAAAGAAAAAAAAACACAAGAAGAAGAAGAAAAAAGAAAAGAAAAAATCAAGAAGAAAAACTATAGAAGAAACCAAGGTTCCTGTTAAGATTGATGATGTTTCTGAAAAGAACAAGCCAGGTGTATCAATACCTGGTATGTATGTAATATGTATTTTGTATTTTAAGATAATGACCCTCTATGTAAAGGCAGTCGGCATCTGTGGCTTAGGCATTGTGAACGCGCTTCGTATTGCTGGGGTGCCGAGTTCGATCCCAGCTGTGGACAGTTGTCTTGCATTGGGTTCGACAGTGGTACCAAGAGCTGACCGTTCAGAAAGCAATGGCAAACTACTGAACTTAAAATTTGCCAAAACAATGATGGAGCTGGTTCTGTGACGTCCTGTAAAAGATAAGCAATTAACTTTTATGTAAAGGCAGAAAGGTGGCTGGCTGAGGGGTTGAGAACTCTGGGATCTCATTTGGGTACCAGGTTCAAATCCTCAGTGATATGATGGATTTTTCATTAGGGCAAAATTAAATTCTTACCTGCACAGTCCTTGGTGAGCAACTGTACTAGTCATGCAGTCCTTAAATCCTCAGACTCAAGACTGCACCCATTTCTCATTGACTTGTATAAACAGATTGTTATTTTCTTTTAAGGATTTTTGTCAAAAATGTCTAGTGTCTTTTTTTTTCCATTTTTTTTTTTTCAAATATTACTGTGGGCAACATGGTTTAGTATCAACATTCTAACATTGCTCGTAGATGCTCCGTCATCCGCAAAAAATATTTCAACATGTAGTTGCTGACCGTCGGCTCTGTGGCTAAGTCGATGCGAACACTTCGCTTCGTAATGCCGGGATGCCAGGTTCGATCCCAGCTGCGGGCAATGCGCCTTGCGTTGGTTTCGACAGTGGTATCAAGAAAGCCGACCGTCCAGAAAGCAATGGCAAACTACTGGACGTAAATTTGCCTAGAGAAACCACACAACAGCCAGGGGCTGTTAGGGTTGGTTCTGCAACGTCCTCTAGAGGATACGCAACAACCTTTCCAGTTGCTGACCATTCCAGTAACATACTGGTTGTATGGGGGTGTACTCTTTCTCTCATGAGCATATTGTGCTAGTTCTGTAAAACACCCCACACTGGGATTGCTGTGGTCAGTATCACACCATCACCTTTACCTCCCATAACACTTCCTAGTAATTATATTTTGGCTAATTGTAAATGACAACCCAGGGCATTTTTTTTTTTTTTTTTGTCCTCCCAGTGTTTCCAGGCTACATAGATTATTAATGTTGCCTTTGGGGTCAGTGTTGCATTTTTTCCATAATTATCTCCCATTGTTACATAGATGTATTGTCTTAAGGGTCAGAGCCGAATATTTTTGCATAATTATCTCCCGGTGTTCCAGCTCAACCAGGTTTCATTATTTAAAGTTCTTATTAGCTGCTTGTTTGTTTTGAGACCTAATTGCAGTATACCATAGATTCCTAAATTTATTTGGACAACCTCGCTGTTTTAAGTTAAAAATTACACAGCCTTCCCCTCCCCTGGACATCTTTTTTAAGATATTTCTATGCCTTTAGGCATATAGGGCTAGACGTATATTTTATAGACCTCTTGGTAGGTGATATGGTCAGCATCACGCCGGCCATCTTTACTTCTCCGGACTGCACCCGGTACCCACTCAAGGCTGGGTCGACCTGGGAGCCAAGGTCATTTTTGAAACAAAATCCAGCTTCGTTAGGGAGCGAACCCACGACTTGCAGATATGCAAGCGAGTGTCAATCCGCTCCGCCACAGCACCCCCATCTCCCCCCCCCCCTTTTGCCCCCGACATCTGCCATCTTTAATTAACAATAAAAATAAAAAAGTGATACATGTTGAAAATTCTGTAATCACTCCGAGTTTAACTGTTACTTAACAGATGAAAAACTGCAAGCAATTTTTTCCCCAAGCTTATACAACGGATCAACATTATAGCACAAGGGTGGTAACCCATAAGTTCTCCGTTCTACTTCGAATTCAAGCCTGAATTCGAAGAATCTCAGCTTAGTGCATGTGCTCCATAGCACCAGCGAGGATCCTGAAATACTTTGGGTAGATTTTAAACTCAAAATGTTGCCTGGGTAGCTGCCAAGTGATGTTTTTTTTTTTTTTTTTTTTTTTTTTTTTCTGTTACATGCACAAAAACACACACGGGCGTTCGGTCTTACTACCCAGAGACCAGGGGAAATTACTAGAAGTCTACATGAAAAAATCCCAGCCATTACCAGGGCTTGAACCCAGGACCTCCAGCATTTGAGGCGGACACCATGTCTCAAGATCACTCAGCTCCCGAAATGTTCTGCCTTTCTCCTTTAAACAAAAATGCTTTTACCACCTCTTTATTTGTATTCAGTGCCCCTTCCCATATTAGCAGTTGTAACTAAGGCTTGAACCCCCTCCCCCCCCTCCCCCCCCCCCCCCCCAACCCAACTGCATATTGGCTACTCTTACCCACTAGCTAATTCCAGTCTCACCAAGATGGTGGTGTGGCTGAATTTAGTCAACGATGCTGTACACTGTAGTACTTCAATCTTTGCTGGTCTATCTGCCTTGTCATTGCCAGGTGTGTTAAGATAATGTACCCAGGTAAATGTTAAAATAAAGTACCCAGGTAAATGTTTAAATAAAGTACCCAGGTAAATGTTTAAATAAAGTACCCAGGTAAATGTTTAAATAAAGTACCCAGGTAAATGTTTAAATAAAGTACCCAGGTAAATGTTTAAATAAAGTACCCAGGTAAATGTTTAAATAAAGTACCCAGGTAAATGTTTAAATAAATTACCCAGGTAAATGTTAAAATTAAGTAACCGGGTAAATGTTAAAATAAAGAAACCCATTATAAATAATAATGAAGACGTCTTGAAAGAAACTGACTCATGAAGAGAACTGATTGCCCACATCAGGGGGAGACAATCTACTTTCTTCAATCATGTGATGAGAAGGAGAAAACTGGAGTACATCAGGACGACAGGAGAGTTGGAGGGGAGGAGAGGCAGAGGGAGAGTGAGAGAACAGATGCTGGACAGTTTGATATCATTGCATATAAGATCTTCTGTGTCAGAGTTGATTAAAAGTACATGAGACACAAGGTTGTGGATGGACATGACTACCAATGCCACACAACGTGGACTTTGAGAAGAATATTGATCGTACCTTCTTCAGCCAGGCATGCTACCCAATGTTTCACAGGGTCTAACTAAAATAATCGGTAATCTTGTATATTTCCTGCATTTTTTTCCTATTTATTGGTTGGACGCTATTTTTTTTTTCTCAGTCCTTTCAGGTCCAAGGTCAGGGCCTAAGCCTCGTATCATGAAACCGATGACGAAAGAAGAGTGGGAAAAACAACAGAGTGTTATTCGGAGAGTGTATGACGAGGAAACAGGCAGGGAAAGGTCAGAGACCCTCTTGTTGTGCATGTTCTACTCAGGCTTCCAGAAGTTTTAGAGCACAGTTTGAATCTCCCAGCAGGCTAGCGATTATATGAAATGTCATGGCTGCAGCGGTATATGACAGTAACGATAAAACAGAAAGGTATGTTGAGATCATATGGAGAAACAACGATCAGTCAGGGATGGGTTTTGGGCCCTTCATTTGGGAGGGAGGGGAACACAATAGACCCACTGCTTTCTAGCAAGTGTGTCAAAAGATTTTACTGAAAAGAGATGTTTTCTGAGTACATCTGCCTGAGAGATGAGGAACCAACAGTCTGCATCAAATAAGCCAGATATGTAAAATGGATGTAATGTAAAACTCGGATTCTACAACAATACCAAAGAGTAAGAATCAGGTACCATCTTCACAATAAAGGATGGCTGCATCTAATCTCCAACAGGTTCTCTTAGACTGCCGTCATCCATCTCTTGATATTAACCTTCCACTTGCATCAGTGTCTGCCTCTTGTTAACCTGTCTTTAACATTTCCTTCCATTGCTAGCTTTAGGGCATTACATGGCGAGGTCCCAGTCTCCTCTACCATGGTCAGCCATGTTCTCTGTTGTGTCCTGAACATGTGTCATGAGTGTCATGCACTCTGCTTTTCGCATTACAAGCCGTTGCTTTTTACAAATTCGCCCACCTTGTTATCAGCCCCAGTCTTCATGTTATCAGGGATGGACATTTCCCTGTAGTAGTATCTTACTCACACTTCACCCATCTAGTTTAGTTCATCAGCCAAGACTGTTGCCTGTGGTTTAGTCACGGCCGTACTCAAGTAGTATCTGTGGAGCCTCACATGAGTCAGGTAACGAGGTGGGAATCCACTAGGATCCTGAACTATCAGTTAAGATCAGAAACAAGCTTGTGTGCAAACAGTGTTGTGAGATATATACATCCGACTGTGCTCAGTGTTTCTCCACATGATCTTAACACACATTTTTTGGTTTCATTTTATTATTAACTCTGTAATTATGCGGCGTAGCATCAAAGTAAGTGGGACAGTCCTCAAGTAAATTGATTTTTGTGTACTTGATATATGTACCCTGATAACAGCAGATGGAAGATTAAATAAAGAAGTTAAATGTAGAATAGCTTAAGTATAGGCAGCATTTTACAAAATGAATATTCTATGCAATCTTTCATTACCAATTTAGGTGCGAAAGAGATTTCTCAAGAGCTATTTAATCCTGATGTAATATACAGAAGTGAATCGTGGACAGTTAGTTGATTCGTGAAAAATTCTGTGGAAGCAGCGGAAGTGGGGTTTTATAGGCGAATGATAAGAACACCCTGAACAAATAAAAAGAGTAATGCTGATGTGTTCTGGACCTACAGTGCGTGTGTATGAATGTACAGTATGTGTATGATAGTGGTAAATGTAGTGGTAAACCTTAGTGACAGAAGTCACCCATAAAATCTGTACTGGGTTTTCCCTAGTGAGGTTGAAGGAATGTTGAATTAAGAATCAACATTATAGCACTCGGGACACTTCATAAGTGACCCATCCCCATCTTCAGCAGCAAGTAAAGAGTTCCATTTTCCCTGGTACCAGTGACTGTTTGAATGTATATAAATGTTGAGGTTGAAGGGAACATATGGAGATGTGACATGAAGAGAAAAGGGAGACTGACTGTTCCTTGACCGTGCCATGTGTTAAAGTGTTATGCAGTGTATTTATTGATAGCGATGTTCCCCGTTGTGTTTTCTACATGACGGTTTGGTCAACATATCAGAAAACCAATTGTTAGTACAATAAGTCCCACAAAGTCACTATCCGCAGCTTTTTTTTCTGCTGTCCACGCAAATAAGTCACAAGCCATAAGCCTAACATGGTTGTCAGTTAATGAGGTACCATAATAACATTCTGAACAATGACACCTTAAACAGCATACCTCGGCACCGTCAGCGGATCCACATGACAGGTTAAAGTGACAGTAAAAGCAGGAACTGTGGGTAACCAGCTGGGATCGGGATGCCAGAAGGAACTGTGGAACCCAAAGTTAAAGGATTCAAATTATCCAAAGGATCTTTAGGGTGGTTCGGCTTTGGCTATAAGTGCAGAACCTCCCACCAGATGCTGTGACACTATATCTGCTATAAAACTTTATGAGAACATTGCAGGTGTGTTTTCTTTCTAGGTCATTGATCTGTCTTTGATGTTCCCAGATAACTCCCTTACTTGAGTCATAGTCAACACGTAGAGACAACTCCGTGGCAGGATGTCTTGACAGAAACTGGCTAACTAGGTAAACTGATTGCCCACATCAGAAGGCGACAATATGCAGGCTTTGGTCGCCCACATCAGAAGGCGTCAATATGCAGGCTTTGGTCACCAACATCAGAAGGCGACAATATGCAGGCTTTGGTCGCCCACATCAAAAGGCGACAATATGCAGGCTTTGGTCGCCCACATCAAAAGGCGACAATATGCAGGCTTCGGTCACATCATGAGAAGGATAAAACTGGAGTAAATCATTATGATCGGAAAGTTGGAGGCCAAAAGTCGTAGAAGGAGACCAAGAGAGAGGGTGCTGGACAGTCTGACATCATGGCATGAAAGATCATCTGTGTCAGAACTGATTGAAAGTTCACGGGACAGTTGTGGATAGCCATGACTTCTAACCCCACAAGGCATGGACTTTGAGAAGAGAAGAAGAAGTGATATCACAATAATCACTAAATGTCTTGTCTTGCCCAAGACTGTCTCAAACCAGATGGAAGAAGCTGCGCCTTCTCTTCTGTTAGGGAATTGATGGGCTGCGTGGTCTCGAGGCATGGCATCCACTTTGAGTGCTGGAGGTCCTGGGTTCAAGCTCTGGTGAGGGCTGGGATTTTGTCACCATAAATTCTAGTAATTTGCTCTGGTCTCTGGGTAGTAAGATCAGATGCCCATGTGTATTGTTGCACATGTTAAAAAAATCCCTTTACAGTTGGAAATAAAAAAAGTGTAGCCTAATGGCCCTGCCTGATCAAAATTAGGAGTTAGAAATCTGCCCAAAGTATTTAAGGAGTTTTGTCGGTGCGGTGCTACAGAGTTCGTGCACTGTGCTGAGTTTCTTTAGACTCCGGCTTGAGTCAGAAGTAGAACAGAGCACTTATGGGTTACTACCCTTGTGCCATGAAGTTGATCCGTCGTCGAAACCTAAACCTTGTTAGGGAATGCCCCTAGCTTACTGCCCGTAGAAAAAATTATCACAAATAAAATGCAGTAAGAACATTCTTTCAGCTGTTTTTTTTTTTTTTATTGCAATGTCCAAATAAAATCTGCAGGCTTATCAAGGGAGATGGAGAAATCCTGGAGGAGATTGTGAGCAAGGAGAGGCATGGAGAAATCAACAAGGTTAGTCATCAGTGGACTAGATAAGTTTGACTGCTGATCTTCTTCTGTGTCTCTTTGCCAACTTATTGGGCATTTTCTCCCTCTTGTCAGCCTGGATCTCTATTGTCCTCAGTTTTCCTGGTTGCCACAGCCGTATCCAGAATTGTTTTCTCAGAACGTGATCCAACAATGACACTTACCTTGACCAAGCATAAGTAATGAAATGTTTTTGTGAACCAACCTCTGTCAGTGCTTAGATTATAGTGTTCTCAGCCGTCAGTGTCACAGTGCCACTTATTAGTTTGTTTTTATATAATAGTTATATCTGTCTCATGTTGTTTCTTTGTCTGCTTCATGTCTGTTTATTTCTGTCATACCTGTTTCTTCATCTGTCTTCTATCTGTTTCTTCATCTGTCTCATGCCTGTTTCTTTGCCTCATGTCTGTTTCTTTGTCCATCTCATGTCTGTTAGTTTTCTGCCTCCTGTCTGCCTGGAAGCATGATTTGCCAACATTTCTGCCTCATGCTAGCTGAAGTCCATTTCTGTCTTTCAGTGACAGGTTTTGAAGAGGCATCTAGTACCAGCCCTGGTGTATATACTATGTGGATGCTGGTGTTCAGAAACCCCATCTATCCATTGCTTGCCTGGGCAGCCTCCTGTTCTGCTTTCATTGTGTCTGAGTAACAGAGCTCTGTGTGGTGCACTGTCTTGTGGTAGTCATGACACAGTGTCCGAACCATTTGATCTTTTGTCTCTTGATGTAGTTTAAAACTAGTTCTATCCCAATAGTTCTAATACACCCGGCCTCAACTTTCCCCCATGCCTGTGATCAAAATCAGCTCACCACAAAGAACAGTATAAAACTTAACCTATCACCATCAGAACACAAGGCAGGTGGTTGAACCGCATTGCCACGAAGACCGCCCTATGAAGTAGAGCTTCACAACACAGGGAAGATGGTACTTTAATGTGAAGTGGTTGAGCCATATGTTATTAAGCTATTACTCTTTTGCTAAGTGCAACCGTTCCTTTGTCTTATCCGCAGACTGCCACAAGAGGGGATGGTAAATTCTATGCAAAGCAGATGGGTTTGAAGTGAATGGACCTTGTGGCTGTTACTGATGCTGTACTCCATCAAAGACAGTCTCAGTCGCTGACATTAATGTTATTCTCTGCCGGGCACAGTCTAATGACAGAGGGGCAGCGTCAGGGGACATATATTTGCTAAATGAGACAGAGCATCTGTGGGTTTGCCCAGAGTGCTGTAATGTTTGTTCTTCTATAATCAGTAAACATTTTTATCTTGGCTACCTTTTTATTAGTGTTTTTTTTTTCTTTGGTGTGTTATAAAAAGGCAGAAATTATGTAAGAACGGCAGACCAAAAGTCAGAAGAATTTAAGACCACTAGCAGAGTTAGACAAGGTGATATTCTCTCACCTTACCTCTTCCTTCTTATGATGGATGATGTCATCAAGACCTGTAAGGAGAAGACAAAGAAGTACTCTGTAGGGTACTGGAAGATGAGACCAATCTGTATATCAGAGCTGGCATTTGCAGACGATGTGGCCCTGATAGCTAAACCAGAGGCACACCTTCAGTCCAACCTACTTGTCTGGAAGGAAGAGCTTGAGAAGAGAGGGATGACCATCAGTATCTCCAAAACTAAAACCACGGTGATCTCAAGAGAGAAGAAACACCAGATCATGATGCATTGGAGCAGGTCAACCAGTTCAAATACCTTGGAGTTGTATTAGACTGAAATAGAGGCATTAAGACTGAGCTGGCTACACGAAAAGCAGCTGCTGGGAGACTCTTCCAGGCCATAAACCGAGGGTTTCTTAGCAAAAGATAAATTGGCAAGAGGACGAAAAAGGTTGTTTACCGCACTACCTATGTACCAGTCCTGTCCTATGGGTGTGAGTCATGAGCAATGACAACAGCTCACAGAAGCCAGCTTCAGGCCTCAGAAATGAGATGTCTGAGAAAGGTGGTCCAAGTGACAAGAAGGGACAAAGTCCGCAATCAGACAATACGTCAAGATCTTGATACCCAGTCCTTACAAACCCGAATGGATCAGTCACAGTTACGAGGGTTTGGACATGTATGCAGAATGGGAGAAAATCGGCCACCATGGGAGGCTAAGAACCAAGGAACCAGACCTCTAGGGTGCACTGGGAAGACAACATACGACAGTCTCTGATAGAGGAGTGTAATGGAACAAAGCCAGAAAGAAAACTGCTGATAGAGAGGTCTGGCTATCTCTCTGGCAAACCTCTACACCCCAAGTTAGAAGAGGAGTGACTAAGTAAGTAAAGTTTTATAAAAAGTACTTTAAAAAAAAACTTTTTAATTCGGTGTTGTATATACATTTGTGATATTTTTACTTTAAAAGTGTTGTTGTGTACTATCTGAGTTACACACTAATCAGTACACTTCCAAGTGTCTACAGATATAACTTTCGCTCCCGCACTCTCGAAGCAGGACTCGACGACACTAGTTCCGTCACATAGCATATTTATTCGACAGAACACAAGAGGGTATACACAAGCCCTCACATCAACAAAACTGCAGAGACGTAGACATTGATCCTAATTGGCATTCGAACATAGTCCAATGAGTCCTCACTCTCTCTCTCAACTTGTAGGACAAACTCTCCTATCAACTGGACCTTGATATTACTTCCGCAGACAACCACGGCTGACTGGAGAGGGACTTCACTTGCCCGTTCTTCAAAGCACACAGGACATCAGCCTGTCGAAGGACTCCGATGACCAACAGGACTTCTAACACAAGTTCCCTCTAGCACACAGCCGTTCCCTACTGTTCTGTTTCCGTGGTGACCTTACGTCTCCTTGCGCCGTCACCCAGAACAGTCATTATTGGAGCATCCAGTCCCTTTGGACTTACTTCGCCAGCAGGATATACCTTCGACCAATACCGCAACCACAACCCTCATTCAGACCTTGATGCCTGATAGTTGCACGGTACTCTGTCTGTCTCACTCGAGAGATACTGACTGACCCTGACTTGGTCTCTCTCTCTCTCTTTCTTGCTCGGACTGACTACGCAGCCCCAATATATCTCTACCGAACCCATGTGGGTGACTGATGTTACATGAGAATCACGCTGTCACGTAGTTCAGACTTTCTCTCGGTGTGTCATTAGCCATGCTTGTCACTCACACAGTGCACCCACGCGTCTGCTTTCACAGGCGTGCATGCCTCGTTCGTGATAATACGTTTTTACTGGTCAACATTCTCTCCCCCTCAATACTCGTGCCAATGTTGACACTGTTTCCCTTGAACTCCTGGAGAATACTGTCATACCACTCTGTCCCTTCACACACTATTACACTCTCCCAGATCAGCAAGTGTCTTACCTTGCCATGGTGAGAGAGCTTGTGCCTCTTAGTTACACTGAGAGCTATGCCGGTGGTAGTTCAGCTACCAGCAGGGCCTCCTAAGCCAGACTGATCACAGCCTAGGAAACAAACAAACAGAGACAGCCTGGTCTTTCAGGTTGGAGGTTGAAGCCCACCTCTGTAAAACCTAATTTTTCATCATGAAATTGATTTCTACGCCTTGATTTCAAATGGATTTAACCCTATTGCCCCAGTGACCTATAAATAATGACAAGAACACACATATTAGAAATTATAGTTTTTTTTTTTTTTCAAACACATTTTTTTTAAATAATTTTACACAGTTCACAAAGAAATTCCTAACAATTTTATGTTTAAACACACACACAAATTACGCACTGGTGAAATGGAGTAACCAATGAAAATAAATCCTGCCAAGAATCAACTGGGTTACATCTTCATAATGTTATATAAATGTAAAACCGTGAATAAATTATGTTTTTTTTTTTTTTTTTGCCTGCAACTAACAGGAAGTCATAACATCATAATTTCTATAAATATCGCAAGAAAACACCCACAAATGCTATTAAACATTTGTTAATGTGTAAACAGAATAATTGCTTTTAGCAAGTATCTCATAAACAAGTCACTATAGCTGGGTCAGTTACGCAGCATTTGTGGAAGCAGCACATACTGGAATTGTCGATTTTGGTGCTTCTCAGCTGAAAGGGTTAAATGACCTACAAGCACTTGGTGTCGCCATCTGAGAAAAAGAAGACAACTCGGAGATATAAATGGTGATGGTGATTTCTGCATCACTGGACATCAAAGTCTCAGAATGCTGAAGAAGAAGAAAGTGTTTCTCTCTCTCTCTCTCTCTCTCTCTCTCTCTCTCTCCTCCCTCCCTCTCTCTCTCTCTCTCTCCCTCCCTCCCTCCCTCGCTCCCTCCCTCCCTCCCCCTCTCTCTCTCTCTCTCTCTCTCTCTCTCTCTATGCGATCTTATATGCAACATATCACCATTTTACTACTAAAAACTGATCAGATATGTGCAGTTCCAACTTCATAAAAATCATTTCACTCACAGCTGCTCCATTCTTGTGCCAACGAAAACCACCCAGAATGTTCATCACTATCCCTTGTGAAAAACTGACTCGGACTGCAGTCTCGACCAATAGCTAATAGACTATAACAGCCATCAAAAGTGTCAGTACAAGCACTCTGGCACTAGTTCATTGACGATAGAAGCAGTAGTTGCACACACAATTTATCCCATAAGGCAGCATTGGCTACTCACCATTTCCTGAACCTGCAATTCATGACACAAACCAGCACTGGTCACAGTTTAAAAGCATTTCAAATGAAATCCACAGCTCACAGTGTAATGCCATGCACTCAGCTCTGTAGCTGGGCGACGGAACTATATCCTTTCAGTCTATGTATTGAGGAAAATGAAGCAGCTAACTATTGGTCAGAAGCACAGACTTGACATGACTAAAAAAAAAAGTAATCCTGCCTCTCCGCCTGAAGTCATCTAAAGTACTGATCAGTAGGCACCAGTCGCTTTTGCTGCCAACACATTCTGTTTGTCACAAAGAATGAGATGAGGTAATAGACAGTAAAGGTCCCTTTTCACTCCAGCAGACGATGACCTCCTGCAGCTTTTAATTCTACAGAAGGCATTGCATCAAACATATAATACTGCTAATATATTGTCTAGACCAATCAGCCCTCAACGGGTGATGCAGCCATGCTGGCAGCCTTTACTTCCCATCACATCTTGGTGCCCATTTTTGACCGAGTTAACCCGGGAGTCAAGGTAATTTTTAAGAAAATAATATCCGGCTTACAGTATAGCTGAAGAACTATGCCTAACGAATGTGCCGGTACCGCATCTTGTTAGAAAACAAGCTCTGGTCAGGCATCACCTGCCGAATGCACCACAGACGGGAAATAGTCTTTTCTATAACATGATCAATAAACAAAGCTCATGAACAGAAAATCACCTTCTTCTTCTTCTTTGCTGTCTCGCTGTTACCAGGTTGTAGTCTAGTGTTGGGGTTTCCTGTATTTCTCTTGCGCTTCTTGGGTGGCTTGAGTGGTGGATTTGTTCACATTTTTGCAGGTTTCATCTACACCATTTATCCATATCTTTCTTGGTCTTCCTTCAAGATGTTCTACAGTAAAAAGTCTCACATTCAGTCTGGTCTGGCTGCATTCTCATTAGATGGCCGAACTAGTTCATCCTATGTCAGTACAACCCTAACCATCTGAAAACAAGTAAATAATTATGCTGTCAGTCAGATTGGGGGAACAACATAATTTACTAGATTCAGCGAGGGACAGCAGATGGTACTTCAATCCGCAAGTTACCGGGATAGTCCAAAAAATCAAAGTGTTTTCTTTTACGGCTTTTTTCGGTTTTCTTTATTTAATGTTTGTTTTGCCCCAATGCAGCACATGCCCTCAACCAACACAGGCCAGGTCATTCTATCCTTCGCTATCGCATGCAGCTCTCTACATAAGAGACCTACTACATCCCAACAAGTTAATCTTCAAAGTCTCCTAATTAGGATGTTTCCTTTTAAGTCGGAGTGCATCTACCTGCGTTGCAAGAAAGCAACAGGGATTTAAAACCTTCAAGTGAGGGGAGGGGGGCAGTGTTGCCACTTTTCTTTGACAAAAAAGATCCAAAATGGGGTTTAAAAATATCTAAAAAGATCTAAATTTGCGTGGAAAA